ATAAAACTATACTTTTATTTTAATATTAAGCTTTATAGTAACTTTCTAAAACTTTATAGTAGCTCTTTAAAACTATATAAAACTTATAGTATTAGCTTTAGTTATAATTAATAAGTTTCTAAATAAGTATATATATAGCTATATATAGTAAAGCTAAGTAAGTATTTAGAAGTATACTTCTACTATAATATAATATAGTATAACTTAATAGCGTTATACCTGTGTCTTATTACTAGTATGTTAATTAAATTAATAATTTTCTTTTAAGATAATATATAGTTTTTTTAGATATATATATAAGTTTATATATAGCTTATTATCTAAGAATAATACTATTAGTACTTAATTCCTCCTATTTTTTTTAAACTTATCTAGTAGATTAGATTTATTCTAGCTCTTAGATATTAAGTATATCTTAATAAAACTTTCCTTCTAAAGTTTCTAAATTTGAACTTTAATTTAGTTTCTAAGATATATTCTAAATATTCTATCTTAAAGAATATATAGTAGTAATATATCTATTATAGAATACTATTATACTTCTAGTAGTAGTAGTAGAGAAGCTATCTAGCGCTAGTATTATAAAACCTTTAACGCGTAATTATATTATATATATAAAACACCTAGATATAGAAGGTTCTATAGTTTCCTTAGCAGTAATAAACTAACAATAACGTAAGGTTTATTCTACATATATGTATAGGATCTCAACTTTGCAATTCATATTTTTATATATAACTAATGTACTTTCTGACTTAGAACGCCCACTGCTTAAGCCACTTCTCTACAACACGTCTATCTATAGCCTTTCCTTCGCGTAGAGTAGAGCTGGCAGCCTCGGCTCTGCGTGTTTGCAGCGTTGGCAATCCTATACCCTTCATCCCAAGACTTTCGTAGAAGTCCAGCAGTTTGAGCCCCGGTACACGTTCTGCGTTCTCCTTTGTTTGCGGTATGCGTGCCAGCTCGTCAACCCAGTCGCTGTACTCGACGATGTCCATGCTCACGTTGTTTTCTTTCCTGAAGTAGTCTCGGATGACTGGGTACAACTCATTCCATGTTGTTGTATGCGGATTTGCAAGATGGTAGACTTGCGTGGACTCGGACTCGGAGTACGTCGCATTGGCTATGTCAATGACCGTCCCTGCCGCAATGTCCATGGGTACCCAATCGACACGGTTCATGTTGCCCAAGGTACGCGGCAACTTCTTCATCACCTTGCTTGTGTGCACGATAGTCGGCAGCCACTCGTGTCGGTTCCACGCGGCGCCACCTGCTTGCGTGCTTGGCCCGGCAAGTTGTCCAGCGCGCACAATGGCAGTTTTGATACCCAGACGATGAGATGCAGTGGCCAGTATCTCTGCTGCGACATGTTTCGACTCGCCATATCCTTGTGGTAGAGTGATTGTGCTGTCGAACAACGTTGTATTGGATTCGGGAACACCAGAGTCATCTTGTGCGACGCTACCCCAGCTGCCGACGCTCGCTATCGATGAGATGAAGACGATAGGTGTTTTGTACTGTGATTCAAGCGCAAAGTTGATGGCACGAGCAGTGCCGGCTATGTGTGTGTTTTCGTACGACTCGAGTGAGAGGTTGAAGTCGACTGACCAAGCAGAGTGGATAAACGCAGTGGCGGTCGAAAGGAGACGCTGGTACGTGGCGTCTTTAAGGCCAAACTGATCAACACCAAAGTCTGTCTTGTAAAACACAGCCTTATTGAAGTCAGCCATCGGGTGGTTATACTTGGTGAACGACTCTTTTTGTCGTGTCTCGGCGTTGTCCGAACGGTTCAGGCAGTAAACCTTCTCAACATCTGGGTTTCGAAGCAGCTGCTCTAGAATGTGACTTCCAAGACTTCCTGTAGATCCTGTAAGGATGACAGTCTGTCTGGTAGGACGTGTCAGTAGACCATTCATATTCTTCGGTCGCACCATGGTCCTGGTGTACTTCATCACCATAGCACTGAGCTTCTCCTCTCGTGTCGGTGGCGGGGCATGCTGCACATTAGACTTGCTCGCGCTGTGCGACAGCGCCGCCGCTAACTGCTTGACGGTAGGGTTGCTGTAGATTGTCGAAGCAGTTACGCCAGCGCCACGAACAGCCTTGTTGAGCGCATTAGTGAGAGCAAGCACATCAAGCGAATCAACGCCAAGACTGAAAACATCGATGTCATCGGGCGTGTCATTCTGGAAGGAGGGAAGAGCACGTGAGAACACCGCGTGGATCTTACTCTCTAGTGCGACATCGCTATCAGCCTCCTGATTGGGGTCGCTGGAATACCCTTCATCAGCGTAAAGAGCTTCAATCTCATCCTTGAACGCTGCAACAGTCTGAAGTCGAATGATAGAACCCTTTGCAGCTCGGATGAACGACTTCTCATCTTTCGCAACGGCGATCTTAGTCTGATAGATACGTGCATGAGCAGGTGCTTCGCGGTTTGCTTGCTCGACCATCGGCCAAATTTGATCGATCAATGCGGAAGGATCTTGTGCGTGGGCCTGTGACCATTCTGGTTCTATGAGAAGACCAGCTTGGAATTTACCCTGGCCGACGACGAGGGCACCCTTGACCCAAGGATGTGATTCGAGCAGCTTCTCCGTCAGCACAGGGTTGAACTTCTCGCCGTTGCTCAGCACGATGATGTCATCTCGTCGCCCAGTGTACTTCCACAGATAAGGTTTTGACGGATGGCGTCTGAACAGATCTTTGGTACGCCATTCTTTTATCGTGGGGAATGTATGGAAGATCGCCTGGTACTTTGTGTCTTTCGGTTTGATGATCAGCTCGAACAGGTCGTTCTCCGCGGGCTCCATAGACACACCAGCGGCGGAGCTCCAATGAAAGTAGCTCCACTCTTCTGGTACGGATGGGACGATTGTAGGTATCAGTAAAGCTTCTGTGCTACCGATGACAGTCATCAAGTTTGTCACCCGACAAATTTTGTTGCCACTTTCTGAAGCGAGAGGCGCACCACCAAAGAAGACGGTCTCCAACGTTCCCAGTGCTTCAATGCCTTGAGGCGTTGCTGAGATGTCCTCCAGGACAGATGGAGGAAAAATACCGGATGTAGGCTTCACGGCTTCGATCACATCCATGACCAAGCCCGCACTCAACATCTTTTCTGATGGCAGTCGGACTAACGTGCCCCGGTTCATAAGGGAACGCAGACCGACGATGATACCCATTGCATGGAAGAAGGGCACAGCGGCAAGCATTGGTCGTGTGTCTGCTAGGAATGGCTTGCTCACTTGTTCGACACCGTCTTCCGGCCCGAGCTGGGCTTGCTCGTACGCAGAGTTGAGGCCACCAATGGTCAAGTGGATTGGTTTGGGAAGACCTGTATTTCTCGTCAGTAAGAAGGGTCTGTGTTGATGTTGGCAGTATCTCGTGGTAATTCTATGCATACCTGTTGAACCTGAAGTGTGTAAGATCAAGCTGGGAGCCGTCACATCACAACTATGTCTTCCCTTGTAGTGCTCGGCAAGAAGACTTGAAACAAGCAGCTCTGCCGTAGCGGGCGCTTGATAGACTTGTAGACTAGGTACTGCATCTTTAATGACCTCGACCTGCGGTATGGTCTCTATTGTGCTCAAGAAGATTGTACATGCTGTCTTCTCCACGAGTGATTTTTGTCCCTCGAGTGAATTGCGCGGTGATGTGAATAATGGTACATAGCCTGTCTTCAGGGCTGCAGCTAGCACCACGAGGTATCTCAGGTCGTTCGCACTATTCCGGTCAGTCAGCATGTAACGCCAGAACATCATGATCTGGAAATATTGGCAACTTACCCCATATACCCGATAGTTTGACCTGCTTGTTTCGCAGTACCACATGTCTTCTCAATCCAACGAGACATGCTATTTACAGCGCGGGCAAAATCCGCATACGTAAAATGATGCCATCCTTCCTCGAGACTGGTAGTTGAGCGTGGGACAATAGCCCAAGTCGAAGTAGAGGTGGACTCGGCTGCAGCGTCGATGTAATCAGGTATAGCTGTTGCTTGTTGCTTTTGCTTTTGTATAGCTACCATGTTGAGCAGAGCGCCTTACGGACTGCAGGTTGGTAAAGTGTGTGGATACGAAAATTGCTTTTGGAAGTGGGCTTGAGGAATGCTGATAAGTACAAGATGCTGTGAAGTGCTCGGGTAGGCGTCGATTGGTTATTGAATTTCTCAAGGTCCTTTTGTGACTCCAGTGACTGGTTGTAAGAGCAGAAGGCTAAGTAATGACCTGATTGTGATATCGTTCACTGGAGGGAAACGGCCTTCATATATCACGGTCGGAGGTAACGCGTCAAATCGAACGGGTACGCCAGCGCAGACCTCAACCCTACAGGATGCCGTCATGTTTCATCGGAAGAGCGTACCATCGCCATGCCGATTCTTCTCCGAAGAACTTCGGTGGAGCATGAGGCATAAAAGTTGCGCAATGTGCTACAGTGGGCCAACTCGTACGAATCAACAGAACCAGCACAGCTGCTTCATGTAGGTAGAACAATGTCAATTTGATTCTGATGTTTGTAATAGCTTCGCTGTCGGCGTAACTTAGAGCGCGTCATTACGCTGGATTAACGTCAGTTCTAGTGTTCAAAGTTGTGGTGTATGGATGACGCAGCCAAGCACATCCCTGTGCACATCACCTCGGCCGAGCGACATTTCTGGTTCTGGAAGCTGACCATTTTATATCCGAGAATCGCAGCACCCACTAAAAGCAAGCGACCGGTACACAAGCCTTGACAGGCGCGGCCCGCTCGGCGCCACGAAGCTTGGTTCGGATCTTGAAAGGAACGAGGCTGGTTCTGCTTTGTTGTCCTTCAGCATAGCGGTGTGCTCCCAACGCCTAAAGTGTCCTACTCGACCATTTGAGTGAATTCGCGATTACGCTCGCCACAATTTACAAGGTGATTACTGGTATGAAGTAGGAAGGGTCAGGTGTATTACGACGCAGGATCAAAGTACACGGGTATCAAATATCGCCTTAAACACAGGACTCTCTATCACATTACGCGGCTGAGGGTGCAACCCTTGGCGTTTCCTTCTCCTTCTCTTTTGATCTCTGAGAACCTTTTCTCCGTCTCCGCTCCGGCTTGTAAACATCGTTGAAGTTTATATTAACAGCCAGCATCTTCAGTTCACCGTCAGGCGAGTGTACTAGATCACCCAACAAGATGCTGATTCTGGCTCGGAAGTCTTCCGTCAACTGACTTAGACGCTTTTGTAATGCCGGTAAGACATCGTCCTCGGCCGAGCCTGTCATTCCAATCTTGAGCAGAGGTGGCGGGAAAGGCGATTCGTCTTGGCGAGATGCTGCGCGCGAATGCGATCGAGAAAAAGGGTCTGCAGACGAGTTGTCCTTCTCAGACAGACCCCAGCGACCTGCTGCTGTGCGGGTCTCGATCTTGGCCGCATGCTCCTGTCGGCGGGTGAATTCAGCCACAGAGAAGGAGTACAAGCCGTCTACTGCATCTTTATATGCCAACATAGTCTTTAATAGCTCGTGCAGCTGACCTGTAAAGTCGATGCTTGAGCTTCCAAGAAGACCTTTCCGCGTGATGTTATTTAGATAGATAGCGTGAGCTTCGATCATGTCGTCCAATGTGCTTTCCGGCTTGTTCAGCGCTCCCTGTAAATCGATCCAGGATGATTCAATGACCTCAAAGAGAATGTAGTGCTGCAACTGATTGACGAAATGAACCATCTCAGCCATTGCACAGCGCGCTTTCTTCCAATCTGATCCGACTTTATCAGCTACAGTACCGAGAACGCCGCGAGCACCAGTCATGCACCGACGCCATGTTGAACCAAGAGCAAACTCGACACGCTTAACACGCCAGAGAAAGTTGAAGACTTTGAGATATTGCTTGGAGCCAAAGGGTGTGACGATGACATCAACGGGTGCATCGATCTTATATTCAAGGGTGAAGACATCCCACCCAATCTCCCCGTGCGACAGCTCCAGCATGCGTGAGTCGAGGCGACGTAGTACGTCGGAAGTGTCAAATTGGGCGTTCGAGTTCCTAACAGCGTGCTCGAGCTGGGCAGTGAGGGTGTGCCGATATTGTGTGTTGGCTGGCCGGTCAAGGTTGGACGACAGCGACTCCATCAGGACAGCGATGAAGTCACCAGCGCCCAGTAGCATATACTGCTTCAGAGCCTGGAGATGATCAAAAAGCTTGAACTTGTTCGCCATCAGATCGATTAGGCGGGCCATGGTGGTCTTGTAGGCATCGCCAATGGAGCGTTCGAGATTGGCTGTATCGCCATACTGTAGTTCCTTTGAGGCTTCCTTGGAGTATTTGTCAACCCATGCTGCATCTCCGCAACCATAGCGAATGAAGTTGAGAGTCTTGCCGATTAAGAAGACCTTCTTGGCGAAGTCGTTGGTTACGATTGTAGGGACCATCTTGTCGTTCAGTCTGTACTTGTCTTCCCAGACGCTCGTAGCACCTCCTTTCCCCTCGTTCCCATTGGCCTCGAGGATATCATCCTCGCTCTGTTCAGAGACGAAGAACTCACCAAAGGGATCAGCAAGCTCGCCGTCGTAGACCCATTGGCGGAGCATATCATAGAAGGGTCGAGTGACGTCCGAGAGCAGGCGCTCGGCGAAGCTCATAACATACGGATCGCCGTGGTTGAGAGAGAAGGAATGAATGAGGGCTATTAGCTCGCCGCCCTTCTTGCTCTTGGATTCTTCCACCATCAAGCTCATCAGTCGCAAGCCCATGGTCGGTTCTCTTATCCAGATGACACATCGCTTGAGAGTGACACCGGCCTTGCTGATACCCTGTTGCGTTGGTGCGTCGCTCATTTGTGCCAGCGCTCTCTTGATTTGTCCCTCCAAGGTTGCAACAAGCCCCAAGTATGCTCTCAGCTCCTTGGCCAGAGCCGCGCGGAAGCTTTGCTCAATAAGACCTCCATCGTTTGCCTCGACGAACTCGGCTAGGTTTTTGTATAGTATGGCAGGCTCAGCAAGGGTATGCAACAGGCTGACAAGGGGCACCGGGAGGGTCGGAGGGAGCTTGAGCGCTGTCGATAGAGGGAAGGTGAGGTTTGTGGACGAGTAGCCTTGGAGCGTGAAGGGTAGCTCTCTCAACAGGATGGGTTCTGAGGGCCCCGTCTCTGCCTTTTCTACGTGGCCTCCATTCGCCTGTTGCTGGTCCTTGGCGGTGTCGGGGCGCCTCTCTCTTCGCTTCTCTGGCTTGTCGGCCATTGGCGATGGGCGAGTGGACGTAGAGGCTTTGGGCGAGCCGGCATTGACGGGCAGTTGGGTCAGGCCGGGCTTTGCAAAGGCATCTTGGAAGGCATGTGACGAGGCAGCGACGCTCTGGCGTTTGGAAGGCGTCGTGGGTTCGCGGGAGAAGCCACGCGGGTCTTGGACTGGGCGGGGGTCTTGGGAGGCTTCGGCGTTGGGGGACAGGTTGTAGAGAAAGTACAGCATGCGCCATTTCTGGTCCAAGACGGTCTGTGTCTCCAGGCGTGCGAGGAGGTTGTGTAGACGGGCGCTCTTGCGCTGGTCGTTGAGAGGACCCGAGACTGTCGCGCATTAGCTGACAATGGTGCGCACCTCAACATGCTCACATACCCTTGCGGTCAATCAGGCTTGCAATGTGCTGCACATCAGGCACGAGTGAAGCATCTCCCGCCTCCGTCAGCGCGTCAATGGCAAAGTCGTAAGCGTCCTCGAAGCGCTGGTTTGCCGCTTCTTCGTCGTCATTGGCATCTTCTGGCACGATGCGGACCAGCAGCTCGTTCAGCGCGTGTTCGACGCGCTCGCGGTGGAGTGTTGCCATGTTGGCGCGTTGTTTATTCACGAGTCCATTGGTGTTGACATCGGCGGGGTTGACGCACGTGCGCGTCGGCCAACATGTAGCCCACGCGTCATTCCTCCTCCGATACAGCACACCACATCACCATCGTCACTTCATTTAGAAACTAGATTTGCTGCTGAACATGCACAGGACGCATAACTCTTCGAACGTATCGAAAGCACGGTATCGATACATGCAATATGGAAAGGCTCCGCCTATTGTGCAGAGTCACTTTCTGGCATCATCAGTCACAACCGAACTGCCCGGTTTTAATCCGAAGGGATTGATAGCATCGAGTAGATTGAAGCCACTCCTATGCTTCCTGAGAACTGTTTTTTACTTTCTGTCACTGCGTTATATTCGTAGTATCTTAGTGTCTCCTCCAATCATGGGAAAGCTCGGCCTCCAGTATGCATCTTTGAACACATATCAACACCTCTCTAAGCGTCCTTCAGCATACTAGCAACACCAGCCCAGGTTTCCAGAACAGTCGGCCTGATCTGGTTTGCCGGCAGCGAGAAGCCGTAGGTACCCTTATCCCTCAGCTCATAGGTGTACGAGTAGGTAGCATTACCCTGCACATCAGTATAATCAGTCGAAGAGCCCGTGGTAGCATACAACGTCGAGCAGCTGGGACCAATGGTGTACGCAGTGCCGGAGACAGCGCGGATAGCCGACTGAGCACGGGTTGCAATGGAACGGTGCTGTGCGTCATTCTCTGCGCGTAAGCTGCAGTCGTAGCCGTAAGGCCACAGGATGTATTGACCGTAGGAGCTGGAGCTGAGGTTAGCGACCTGCGTCGGAGTTTCTGAAGATTAAGATAGTGAGGACTTACTGCACATCGAGGTAAAGGCGAATACCACGCGATGCCTTGAGCGAATCAATCTGCGCTTTGAGGCCCCGGTTCTCGGGCGCGTCACCAGCCGCTACACCCTTGTATGTCTCCGAGCAAGGGTTCGTGGAAGCTCCGCCTGCTACTTCCCACTTGTATGGCCAGTTGCCTGCAAAGGATGTCAGAGGCTTCAGTCAAGATTTGTCGCAAGACTTACGGTTGATATCACGACCAACACATGTGTTACCACTGACGGTCTGTCTGTTCTTGCGCCAAAGACGATCGGTCGTCTGAGAATAGACAAAACCGTCCGGGTTCACAATGGGCGTGATGTAGAAGTCAAACTTATCGACAAGCGACTTGATGCTCGCATCAGAGCCGTATTTCGTAAGCAGTTGCCATGCAAAGTACCTGAGAGTCTAGAGTCAGCATATAGATCTTGCACTGGTTGTACGAACAGATTACATACTCGGTAGTCATGGAGGTGATCCACTCCCTTGCGTGGACATTGCCGTGAATGACGACAGCAGGCTTTGAGCCCTTTCCACCGCTACCCCAGATGTGGATACCAGTCAAGGCTCGTCCTTGGACAGAGGTGCCGACAGTGTAGATCTCGGACTGTCCAGTGTACCCGGCTTGCAGATCCCGAAGGAACTGAAGGTGGTCGGCGTATGGGTGATAGGCTGTGAACCAAGTCTCACTGGGTACTGCGGATGGTCAATCGATGTCATCACAGCTGCTTGGTCGTTACTAACCAGCGTAAACACTCATCTCGCCTTCCTCTGCAAGAGCTGCGCCAACGTCCTCATTCAGCACTTTGCTCTCAGCGACCAACGCAGTCAGGGCGTCGACATTCTCGGGCGAAACAACAACGTCTAATTCGGCGGACGTGCCAGGGTTCAGGACATGCGCAGCCAAGTTCTCGATTTCTCCCTTGACAGCATCGGTGCTAGACACACGTAGGACCTTGAAGCCACTGTAATCGACCTTCTTGCCTGCCCTGGGAACGACAGTACCAAGTGCCGTAGAAGAAAGAAGAAGTGCTGAAGTAAGGATGGTTGTCTTCATGATGGATGGTGGATGTGATGACTCCTAGGCAGTGCAGGATGGCATAGGGAAAGCACTTCCTTTTAAGCAATGTAGTAGCCATACCGGTCCATAACCGACCTTCCCATCCAGTACCTAGCACCACCGATACCTTCGTTCTTGTCGTCCTCGAGTATTGCATCAATTAGGCAGGTAGTCGCCCCATGCTCCCGGTCGATCTGCTGCAAGCACGGGAGATGTACGCTCGAAAGAGCCCAACGTAGATGATGCAAGCGCGGGAGATTAGTATGCGAACGCTCTCGGAGGTCTACTTGAGAATCTGGACGGCGGATTAATATATTGAGCTACTTGGCATATTTTCTTGACGTCGTGGGCACGCAAGCGTGATTGGTGCGGGCGGTTTTAGTCTGTCGCATTAGGCAGGTGCACGTTTCGGAGACTATGCTGGCTTGTCTTGGCTACTAGATAGGCCAAATATGGGGCTTGGATAGTGCCAGGTACGTGATCTCGTGGTGTTTGTTAGTAATTTGACGTGCTCCAGTATGGTGAGTATCTGGTCCGAAGCGAACGTCTGGAATCGGAAGGAGGATGCATATTGAGCAGCCACAGTATGGTCTGCAAGCGCCTCGACAACGACTTGTTTGAATATACGAGATGCAAGTGATACTATGGCGTTCTCTTAGGAACGTGGAACGCCCAACTCCCTCAACACGTTCGCATAGCCGACCCTAGACCATTTATCCACATGTTCTTTGCCGGTTACCCATACACTTCCCAGCATTCCTCCAGCATTCGCACTTGCTCCTTCTGTGGTACCTGCCCGACGTGGAACAACCACGAGACGATCAGCCCACATGACGACGTTGTGTGGAGGAGTATCATCTTCTTCAGTTCCCATAGATGACTGACACTGTGAGAGAAGCTTTTTGTACGCATCAACAACGGTTGAGGCTGAAGTGTCCTTGAACCCATGCTTGAACTCATGAACGAAGAACTGATAAGGTACCTTCTTCGACGAATCGTGAAGAGAGGAGATGATATAGTCGAAAGCATGTGGTGGCCCCTTCAAGCCCTGGAGATGCTTGTGCACCCTACTGCATCCACCTCTCTCCCCACAGTTGAAGATGACGTACATGTTTGGAAGCTTTCGCAAAACTTCAAGCATGACTGTAAAATCGTCTGCGTCAAGAGCCTCGTGTTGACGCTTGTACGAGTCCAAGGTCGTCATCAGTAACTGCGGCTTATCCACACAGAATAGGTTCAGTGCTAAGTCGTGCGTTCCGTTGATCTGCTTGATCATGATTCGCTCGTCCGGGCAAAACATGTCGCTTCCTGGGCCCAATTTTCGCGATTGATTGAAGGCATGGTTGGTAGCTCCCACTGTGTGAGGTTTTGTAGCTAGTGCTGGGCAGATGCGAAACTCCATCTTGACATGGCATGAGTACGGGTTTAGCTTCTCCGAAGACACTGGACTAGCTTACAGGGTACCCTTCATCTTCCACTTCGATCGACTCATAGGGCCCGTATAAGATGACATGTTCTGATGCAAGTTTGTCGAACGTTTTGATCAGGGCAGCCTCCGTTACGTCGTCCATATTGCAGGCCTGGTGAGATTGCGACGCAGAAGATGCATGTGTCGGTGAGTCTGCTACGAGGCTACCAGGCCTGTGCTCAAAGCTACGGAGTTAGTGGCGTATAACCGAAACAGAGCAGAACACCACAAGGAAACGATTGGAAGGTCATGAAGGTTATGTAGCATTTGCAGCTAAACAATCCAAAGAGAGACATGCAGCACACAAGCGCCCCGAAACCGAGGGACTAGTAACAAGATGTCGCCAGCCAGAAATGAAAATGCCATCGTCGATTATAAAAGATATATGCCCCTTTCCAAGATGCAGTCTCCCAGGCACAGAGATGAAGCAGTGTATTGGATGTGGGCGCAGTGCCGGGGTATCGTGGTATCGTAGTGAATGAGGTAGAACTATGCCGTCTCAGGCTTGGCAGAAAGTGGCCGCTCTACCAGGACATAGTCAGCACTGGTAGTCGATGTAGGAGTCGGTGTCTCTGGTAGCGCACCTGGCATGTTTTGGGTCTTTTGGGCAAGGGGGCTGGCGGCCCCTTGTAACCGAGCGTTGTCTTGTTCGCGGTGCGTGTCCCGCTTCGCTGGTGGAGAGTTGCTCTTTGCCTGGTTCAGGCGCTCTTCGGCGGCCTTGAGCCTTGCCTCGAGGGCTTCAAGCTCCTTGGTCTGGGTTGTGACTGCCTGCTTCCTGCGCGCCTGTCAGCCGGCTCCAAGTAGCGGTGAAGTTGGCAGAAGCGTACTTCTCAAGGACAGTCTTGTCCAGGTTCTCGAGGCCGCCGTCCAAGTTGAAGAGGCTGTCGAGCTCTGACATGAAGTTGCGCGCTACCGTGCTACAGGGCGTGGTCAGTCTCAGACAGGCGGGAGCTATGCTAGCGCCGGGAGAGCTCACGATTGAGGGCGGTTGTTTGGCTTCCAGCCTTGGTCTGGATCCTCCATGGTGACGGACTGTGCAGGGTAGGAAGAAGTCATGATGGAGGGATGGGGGTGGACGGGAACAGGTTATGCAGGATGCAGGCGGCGTGGAGAGGCTCGGGGATGAGTGGATATATTTATGGGCTGGAACAAGATGGGACAAGAGTCGGCAGGTGGCTCAGCGGATCAAAGATGTTTCATTTAACTCAGCCAGACCTGGAATGGGAGGGAGGCAGCATAATATGGCTGCCCTGGATTGGAGATGGAAGGACGATTGCAATGTCAGGAAAAGGGGATGCCTATGCCCCCAAACTAATTTGGGCGTAGATCGCATGTGGAGCTTAGAGGGAGGAGAGTTTGGATGCGCCGCAGCTCCCGAGAGCCCGACGAAGAATGGCCGACGAGATACGGGTGCACACCGACGACGAGAAGTCACAATTGCATGTACAGATGCGGGTTCGAGCTATAACGAAGCTTGCCGAAAGTATCGCAGTACGCGTGATAAAGGTCCCGCCGTCTGCTCGAGTCTGGCCCCGCGCTCGCGTGAAGGCGACGTGACGCCGGGCGCCGCTGATTGGCCCAGGTCAGGGGCAGCCCGATGTAGGCGTCAGGTTCAGGCGGCTGGGCTACGAAACCACCGACGACAATTTGCGACATTGCGACAATCTCCCCCATCCACACCAAGCGCCCGTCCATCTCGCACAATTTCCCCGCCCGACGCGCCCATCTCCTCGAGTCGCATGCGATGCCCGTCGGCCTGGCCCAGTAGACTGTCTCCCCCGACACAGCAGCCGTGGCTCCCCTTCCGCCCCGAGCCCATCGCCCTCGCGCTGCAGACGCCTGGGGGATGAATCCTAGCCTCTCCGCCTACACCAACCTCGAGTCGCTGCTGCTGTTCCAGTGCCTCCATGCCTACGGCGTAGGGCCCGCCGTCTTCGGCAGGATATCCGACCTGCTGAAGAAACACCCGGACATCACCGACCACAAGTACTTCCAGCCCGGCCGCCTCAGTCCCGATGCACTGCGCAACTTCTACCTGGAGCGTCTGAAGAGAGAGATCGAGTACGAGCAGGGCGCCGACAGCGATGGCCACCAGAATGGGGAAGTCGCCAGCTCGGGCAAGAGAAAGAGGCATAGCCCAAGCCTGCCCACTGTCCAGGAGTCGCTGCAACACCAACACCTGATACCGAAGCTCGTCACGAAGCTATACGCGTCGTACCGCTACGAGATCACGGAGCAGATCCGACTAGAGGAGGAGCGCTACGAGAGGCTGCAGCGCGAGATCAATGGCATCGAGCGTGGGGAGTGGGACGACCAGCTGAGAGAGAGGGAGCGGGAGCGGGAGCGGTCGAGTGGTCGCACACCATCGCCGCGAAGCCCTCAGCTGCCTACGGAGTCACCACAGTCTGCGCCGAAAGCTTTGCAGCCCACTGCCAGCCCGACGCCTGTTCAGAATGGCTCGCGAGGTGGACCCTCCATCGCGCCTTCCCCAGATTCTACCCAACAACAACAACCGGGATCCGCGCCACCACTTCACAACGGACAGCCCTCACCATCTCCTCGCAAGAAGCACCCTTCCTCTGATGGACGGCGTACACCTTCCACTCCGCAACCAAGTTCCAACCAGCCGCTAGCACCACCACAGCGATTCCAGCAAACATCACAGCCTCATCCGAATCATAACGGCATGCCCCATCCAAATGGCCCTCCGTTCCCTCAAAATATACAACCTCAGCCAGCGAGCCACCCGCAGCAGCCGCCGTCGCCAGGTCCCCAATTGCAGCCCCAGCCAGTCCAGAACTATGCGCCGAATGGAATACCTCAGTATGGCCGCCCAGGGTCGCAGTTGCCATATCCTGGACAACCCCAGCAATACCCCCTACAGCAATCCTCAGGGTCTCACTCTCCTGGATTCCATCCTGGACAGCAGCAGCAGCAGCAGAAATCTCATCAACCTCCTCCCGGACACCAGCCATACCCCCCGTTGCAACCTCAGATGCCTCAGCCACCACCTCAAGCAGGCTTCATGCTTCCACCGTTCCAGGTTGCACCCCAGGACCCGTCACGCGTCCACCATCAAGCCGCCGTGCCCCAGCAGCATGCTCAGGTATCTACACCCGTTGGTAACAGACAAATGTCGAGAGCAAGTGTACAGACTCCTGGTACCGGCAAATCAGGCGCACCGCAGATGCATCCTCTTGTTGTCCAGGCGAGACAGTCTGTCTCCACACCGATCAACGCACGCTCACCGCAGAGCGCTCTAGCGACTCCAGTATCTGCCAAGAGTCTCTGGAAGCGATCAAGCTTCACTGGACCGCCTAGCACTCCTGCAAGCCCACGCCCCGAGGTGTTGCCTCTCGACGATGTTCCCCCTCTTGTACGACCGAAACAAACACCACCAAAGTCAAAAACGCAGCGCAAGTCGCGAGTAAAGGGCAAAGGGAAAGAGGTAGAACAGGACCCTGCAACAGACACCGAGACACCGCAAAACTCCAAGCAGTCCCACGACCAAGAAGAAGAATCTTTGCTTGAACCAGAATCCCGTTCTGGTCGCTCACGGAGGAAAGCACCAGCGAAACGGACAAGACCTGGTAGCATTGCATCCTCTCGAGCAGGTGGCTCTGTGCGAGATCGGAGTCGAAGCCAGTCCATTCTCTCACATACAGACACAATAGCGGCGGATAATGAATCGCAAGCCGGTCATCGGATCAAGTCAGAGCGCGGAACCTCTGTGGAGCCTGTTGACGAGGAAGGTTCCTTTGAGACACCATCGCACATGTCCACGCGTCGACGAGGAGCAGCTCCTACCTCAGCATCATCTTCCACGCGCCGAAAACGAAATGCCCGCGAGGCTTCTCTCGAGGAGACTGAAGAGACGTCCTTTAGCACGCCAGGCCCGCCCAAAACTCTTGTCGCACCACGGAACTTTGCCCGCACGACGGCCCCCATGATGTATGATATTAATTCACACAAACACGCTTCAACTTTCAATACAGCTGTGCGCGCGAAAGACGCCGAAGGCTACTACGACATAATAAAACGTCCCACGGATCTCTCCTCCATAAAGAAAGCTATAGCAACAGGCTCAAAGCAAGTTGCGGCAGCCGCTGCAGCGTCCGATAATCCCACTGGTAGTCCTGGTGGCGCGACAGGAGGCGTTGTCGAGTTGCCGATTACGGCAGACAACGTGCCTCCAAAGGCAATTGTCAATGCTGCGCAGCTGGAGAAGGAATTGATGCGCATGTTTGTCAACGCAGTCATGTTCAATCCTGGAGAAGAGGGTGTGGTGAGCGATGCGAGGGATATGTTTCAGACTGTCCAAGGTCTAGTCAGTACATGGAGGGACGTAGAGAGGGACAGTGGACGCGTGGGAAATGAAGGGACGCCGTCGGTGGAGGAGGAGGATCAACCCACGGCGAGCAAGCGAAGGAAGATATAGTATGCTTTTCGAACGGCCAAGGATACGCACGACTGATCATGGCATGGGTAAGGAGTAAGCGTTGACTTTGAGTAGATTTTGATACCATTACATGCATTATCACGGCGAGTCACCGCCAATTATGGAACATCCACATCCCATCCCATCCAGTTCTGAAAGCAGAGTGATATTCAAGGTGACGCTGAAGACACTCTTACCTCTGGCCCGCTTTTGGTGGACCCTTCGCTGAACTGCTCTTGTGTTTAGGTGAGAGACGATCTCCTCGAACAGCTCTATTCAGCCTATACAGCTCCAATAAAGCCATTGTCTTTGTCTCTCCGTCCCTTTACCTTACCATCTTCTCACTCTGCTGCAACAATCAATTTGCTGTCTGCGGCAATGTCTGATGATTCTGAGGTGGATCGATCCACGACTACAACTCCATTAGCAACCCCGTCTCGTGCTTCGACCTTGCCCACCAGCAGTATTGGTCGCTCGAGCATCTCCATGGAGCCGCCTAGGATGGACAACGCCGCGGACTTCAAGTCATACCCGCATACGCCGGGTACTGTCGACTTCACTCCACCCCAGTAAAATGCCATTAAAAACTTGCATGTTATCAGACTAACGTAGTCCACTAGAATGCTCATGCAAACCCCCATCACTATCGAATGTGAGCTCGACCTCAAGACCAAGCTCACTGTGCACGAGGAGCTTCTGTGCGTTCACAGCAAGCAACTCCTAAGTCAATTCGAGAAGGCAAGGTCGGCTAGGGTGCAGTTCGCAAAGGCCGACGCGTTTCGTGAGAAAGTCGCAGCATACGTATTTCCGGAGTGTTCTCAGAAGGAGTTTGAAGACAGGCATTTGGAACAACAAGTACGTGTTGTGAGCACAACTTGGACTGTATACGACAATTCCTATGTTCAACGCGCTCAGTCATACGCGCACCTCCAACTGAACTCAGCTAACATGTATCAGGTCAAACCACTGATCAAGCAGGCATCTGAGAACTACCCGCTGGTTGGGTACTCCACCGGCGTCAAGAAACTCATTATGGACGAAGTCACCTCCCAGATGTCTGCCAAAAACGTCAAGAAGTCGGCCCCGAAGCCTTCACAGATCGCTTCGGACCTGAGCCTATCGGGTAGATTGGATCTCCTCAAGCCCCATGCCCTACAAGATGTAGCCTCTGCACTCTTTAAAAGACTCCACGACATCCAAAAGACCGAAGTCAAGAGAGCCGAGAAGGATCCTTTCAAAGCCGCCGCGCAGCACCGTCTAATACTTCCTGATGAGAAGGAGGCGACTGTGAGATACTTCATACAGTGGATTTATCGAGAAAAGTGTCTATACGAGGGTTCTGAACAGCTCTACTCTGTTCTCAAGCTTGCTACACGACTTGGTGTTGACGAACTCGCTAGTATATGTTTGAAACAATTGTACAGGGCCGCGAGCGACAGTCTCATGCATGCTGAGAATCATGGAGTCCTCATCCAGACACTTCTGGGATACGGTCCAGATGTTGCAGCCGATGGCAGTTTTGGTGTTGTCTTCAAGCACGCCGTTAAGGAAGACAATACTCCGAAGCAACTCAAGAGTCTGGTTGTTGATACTTTGGCGGCAACACTCGATCCTGAGCTATGGCAGCATGTGAAGGGGTTGATTAATCACAGCATGGCTCTACAGGTCATTGAAGCTATGGTCGAGCTACGTCAGCATGTCAAGTTGGAGACGGACGATCAAGGTGAGGGCGTCAAATCCGAGCGCGAGGATCCTATTAGTGCCTTCACGCAGCCAAACATTCCTGTTGACCACGGAAAGTTGTCCCGCCGTGGTGAGCACAATGGCAAATCGGTTTGAAGGCTTGCGACATATGAGTGGGCGCTAAATTTGGTGGCGAGGGCACATATTTGATGTCCTTATGGATCGGAGGCCCTTCACATGTCATGGCATCTGTTTTGCGTTCTTGTTTCTGCGCCCTCAGATTGATTGGACTTCGATATCACCAGTAGATATCTAATATGATCATCGTCACTCTGCATCTTGTGTAGTATCTGTGACCAATCGGACATTAGCAGACTGTCGATCGACGCTAAGGGCGCATACGAGGAAGGACGTTTTACTCGAGTCGTGGGCGACACCAAAAGATACTCTGGTATCATTCGCCTGCTTTCGTGTTACATTTTTCGTCATCCAAACCACAACAATCATGTTTACTATGTATGGTGCGTGCAACACAAGGGTTGAGCTTCTTCGTACAGCAATTCCAGATCGACTTGTCCGGATTGTGATTTGCTCGATTCGTGTATGCGTAGGGTGATACCGCGTACCCCGGCGCCTATGCCGAAGGCCACTTAGTCCCGTAGCCGTCCGAAACCGACATTCTTGTATCACTTGAGTACCTCGTCTCGGACGAGTCATTTCTCACATGCTAGGCCAACCAGAAGTATGGTGCGTCAATATGCAAAAGGACTCAAAAGGTATGATCATTACGCATGAATCAATTGAACAGATCTCAGTTTGAAGTTTGCTCGCCAAGACGGCCTTTCGCTGAGGTACACTCATCAAGGCTTTTTGCAAGCCCCCGTGCTCATTTTATCCACTGGCGTGCCTGCATCTCTTGACTGCTCCTTCATTATGAGTGTTTTGTTGTCGATTATGCGTGGCTCATCACGTTCATATGTCATGATGGACTAGAGCATAGCTGTTGTCTGTCCACCATGCGTCATTTGCGTCCCGTATCGCAGTACTCGAAAATACTTGTTGGTCGTATCGCGCATTGTGCGTTGACTAGCAACAGTGGCGTCTATTGGGGTACCGTTTCGGTAAACGAACCATCCGTTGAATCTGGAGATGAGTACACCGCGCTATTTGCCCGATCGTGCGGTTTGCGCAACTAATATCCAGTCCAAGCTCTTCCTACTGCCTTCTTATGGGCGGATAACAGGTGGCGGTCTCTGGTGTTTGTCACCTTGTCGCCTGAGTAGGGATTTTGCTCGTGTTTTCTCAAAAATAGTGGAGTTGTATCGATCTTGAAGATCATAGACGATCGATCGATTGTGAACGAACTTTCATAGATATTGCAAGTCAGGTCTACCCAAGAAGTTCCCTTGAGGCTAGAACGTCTGGCTCTTTATGCAGTCTTCTCATTGGCAGGAACCAGCTGCATCACCATATCAAACTTTTGGTTCCGAACAATGCCCCAAAGGGAAACAGGGCCGACCCGTATAGGGAGCGGCAAGCTGATGCTGATCCGACGCGTTTACCCGTGATCAATTCCACGTGGGAAGTAAATTCATACAGAATCAATAACTTCCCCATGAAGCTCGTGCATGACAAGTTTACATTAAGTTATGAACAGTGCTCTTGTCTGCGCTGCATTCCTCAAGTTTCAATTCTTCTTCTTTGCAACAGATACTATCTCTTGGATACAACTCCATGTCATCCCAACAACTCCCTCTGACGTATTGTGTTCACCATATTTATCGTGATTGGATGTGTGCAGATTTTGCTTCGAGCAACCGTCACGGCTTGTATGCTGGTTTCCCCAGAATTCGACATTTTGTACAACATAACCCAGGTAGCCTACGTAGCTCCCGCAGGCTTGCTACATGACACAACGTGATACGTCAAACGGGAGTTGAACAATCGACGTAAAAAAATTATCATAGCGTGTACGAAGACTGACGAAAAGCACTAGTAGAGAGCACTGTCGAAAGCTAGAATGAAAATTATCATCAGCTTCCTTACCAGCGTTAGCCGCGCATTGGAAGTCTCATCCTCACTACCGTCCTACAAGGAAGATCTTGAGCTTGAAAAGGCGACGCATTCTTCGCAACATTTGTCATGGAGCAACAACCATGTTTCAATCTTCAGAGCTTCTACAATTTCACCAATCACTCCACAAGGGCAAAGTACAATCAATCGAACCACGACAACGCCAAGAGGATGCTTTCGAGCTGTCTGATATGTCAGATAAGGCGTCTGTATCACGTAATGACATCTCTCCACGGTCGTCTTTGGACTCATCGCGGTCAGCGTCTTCTTCAGCTTCCTATACCACTTCAACAGCAGAGACAAGAGCATCCAATTCACTTCGACGACAACCCCCACCTCTTCCAACTTCATCATTGCTGTATTCTCATGAGAATACGACCTCGTTTTCTTCACCGCGTGGCTGGTCTGGCATGTATCGCTAAGCGTTTGGACGATGGCCCTGCATCACAGTCGCTAGGCCGGCGCGTCGGTAACTATTTTTGGAACAGCGGTCCATGGCTCCGGCCATTGCGGTCACTTCGATGGTCGCGTCTTCAGTTTTGTAATCCGTACCAGTCTTGTCAGCCCGCTCTCTTCGCTTTCTCGACCGTGCATTAAGTCGACCAACATACCTGATCTGGTCACATCGACTCGTCTCAAAGTGCCAAAGATCACAAAAGCGTGTGGAAGTTGAAACCTTATTTGTGTTAAGGAGGAAATTTGTAGAACGAATATGATGGTTTGCGAACAGAAAAGACCTGCTTTCTGGTATCGAGATCGGGCCCTTCCAGTGTATCGGTGGTAGCTGCCGATTCTGGTCTGGCGGATGCTTTGCAAGCACTACAATTTATCATGGTTAAACACTTACAACGCTGATCGGCTGCATCGAGTCGAAACATACTATATTTTGAAATCTTTCGAAATGCATACTGTCCTTGTTCATCCTCCTTGATACACTACAAGTAGATGTAGCATAGAGGCTCTCCGCTGAGAGTGCTCATAACGTCACTGATCTTGACATCGGGAGTGTTCAGCCAGTTCGTCTCGATGGCATCATCAAGCGTAGTCCTTGGGCCGTTCGGTTCTAACATAGAGCGCGATCCCTCAACAGACTTCGCCTGGTCTAGGTGCAGTGCTTGCCAGATCCACCACGCTCTGTCAAGCATTGCATGATGCATGAAGAAAACGGGATCGTTGACACTGCTATAGAGGTCACCGCAGTCGCCACCTATGGCGAAATGACCCGGAGCGTGAAGACCTGAACGTAAGTGAGCAAAGTCAGTACAAAGTGCAACCACAGTCCATACAGGATACTACTGACCAAGGAAGCCATCGGTAAAACGACCCTGAAGTTCATTTTGAAAGGATGAAATGTCCTTAGATGCGGCACCAAGCGTGATGTTGTACAGGTTTTCGAAAGTGAACCAGGTCTTAGATGCGAAATTGGTAAGATTCCTCTTCGCACAGCGCGGGTTCCAGGCCAGCGCTGATGCTGACTTGTTTGCTCCGGCCATAGTAGGGCTAATGGGTCCAAGGTTCAGTTGCACGCTGACGTTATCAGTAAATGTTACTTGAGTTACGAAAGGCCAGAGACTTTGTAGTAGCTTACTTTTGGAACGGTCCGCTTTTGATGCAGCCACCACCGTTGCCAGACGGTAGATAAATTCTGCCACCGCCACCGGTACTTCTATTGTGCTTGACATAGTAGCCATCGCCACCTATGCTGGTAGCAGAACCATCAAAAACTGGGGACTTGCTCAGATCGTCCTGGTAACTAAACCAATTCCAGTACGGCTGATAGCCAGTATAGCCGCACTCTTCCCTTAATGCGTTCTTAAAGGAATGCATAAAGTACCTATGCCAGCTTAAGAAGTTTCCAGTACCATGAATCGATCTGGTTTGATTGATATGCTGTCCAACAAAGTCGTCGCATCGGGTTCGAGCTCCAGGAACCAATGTCGGATCAGACTTGGAAGGTGAAGTATACATATACTTGACAGCGCTACTACACGCTTTGCGCTCCTTTGTGGACATGCAATCCCTTTGGTAGTTAATTTCCACTATATCGAAGTTGTATCGTGGAGCTGTCTACCAGTTTCGCCTGACGGGCGCTGTGGAGAATATTGCAGCCAGCTCTCCTCTCAAGCGTACCATTCCTCTCCGCCTCTTTGAGTGTTGCCAATGCTTGATCTTGTAGGTCCTGGAGAAGGTCACGAGGCTGCAACGCAGTGGACCCAACTAAGCTGGCCAATGCCAGGATAGCGGTGGGAAGACTGCAGAAACGCATTCTGTAAGCGAGTTTGACCAAGGAGGACAAGGAGCTGCGAGACGGCTGTCCAGCATCGAGTGCGTGCAAATAGTCTAATATGAAATCCTACGGCCCCGTACTAATCTACGTTTGCATGTGGCGACATGGGTCGGGCCCTTGCATCCGATTAGACCGCCTTACACGGACGACTCCTGCTACTTGTGGCAGTGGATCGTATGTAGCAAGTAACTTGAGATGTGTCAGTCTTTGCTGGGCCGTCCTGCCTGCATGTAATCATGCCATTCCAGATGCTGGATGTGACGTTCAAGGACTAGACGCAGAAGATTTTGCCGCGGATGGACCTGTCGTTGCACTGGTAAAGTTCATATACGGGCATGGAGAATTAATGTCGGAATGTATATGTTTATCGGCATCTATGTATGCTTGCAGTTACCTTTTGGGCAAGAATACGTCCGAATGGGAATATTTTCGATCGCAATGTGCCTGAGGATGCCGAAATTGAGGGTTCTCAGGGCGTGGACGGGCCGCTCCAAGGACGACTGCGCCGCAGCCACGCAGGAACGGCAAATCTTGTTCACGCATCGGACGGTAGCTGTAGGATCCAAAACAGGCTTCCATTCATGGGTTCTCGCATCGTTCGAGCGTCAAGCTGACCACAATTTCCAGGTTCCTGATGAATAAAAGAGGATGTAGGCGCTGAAGTGTTCTTGTTGCGAACGGAAATCGAATGATATGTAGGCAGTGCGGAAAGCTTCCGTTCCCGACTGGCCGCGAAATCTCGGTCTTAACGAACTTGTCCTTGTCAAACATCACTGCATCCCACAGCCTCTTGTCCTTCACGCTACTCAGCCACCCCATATTGTTGTTTTATTTTCGTTCGCATCGCGTCTCGAACTCCTTCTACACCCAAATGTTACGAGCGATCTGATGCCATGGTCTTCGACGAGCGGAGCTTGGTCTAAAGCACGATGACACTTCTCAGCCACTAAAAATTCCTCTCTCGTGCGATCCTCTGCGATTCATCGTAAACGTGCATCAGTAACCAGTATCAATCCCTCCTTCACTGAGTGTTGTCTTCAGCCTTATTCCAGTGCTCTTTCCGGAAGTGTGCCATGAACGCCATGCCGAGATCCTTTAGGTCCGCGTTGCAGACTGGACATTCTTCGAATTTCTGGTTCTGCACAGCGAAGTTCCAAAGTCGCGGGACATTCTTCCGGATTTTATCTTTCAACGGCCAGGAGACATACCCCTCTATCAGAGCCCGGAAACGAGTATTGTGGTCTTGCCAAGCAGCTCTCATGGCCAATGTCCGTCTTCGGCCAGGAGTGCTCGGCTCCGATGCTCTAAAAACTGTAGATACGTCTTTGTACAGCTGCACAGTGTGGTATTCCAACGATGTGTCCGCTGTCTCTCGACACACGTGCTGTACAGCCCTGATCTGAGCTACTATAAGCTCCAATTGCGTCAGTCGCATTGACAGGTCGTTGCGGTAACGCAAGCGGACGATGACCCCTGCACTGGTTGTTGTAGAGAGAATCGTTGTTGAACAGAACGGTGGTATGGTTGCAGTCTGACCAGCGCGCTGAACAAAGGTGATGCCTTCTTGTAAGTCATTGCATACGCTTGCAGGCTTTGGCGCAGGATATTTGGTGAGGTCTAGCAAATACTTTTGCATAGTCGTCATGTTGTGTGGCGTTGGAGGATACACGATGTAGACGCGCACACCCGTAATGAGGTGTATCGTACTGCTGCTTGTCAAAGCTGACGCTTCTAGAGGGAGAAGAGCACCGCAATGCATGATCGAAGTAATGTTCACCGACAGCTTTCGGAGAGTATTTGAAGTCTCGTTACTACTTACGAAGTGCCTGAGGCATCGGTCTCCGGCAGACGATCGGAAGGTGAGTGTCGTCGCATACTCGGTATACTGTGGATCATCTAAATGCTCCAGCAGTCCTCTCGCTGTTGCTTCGCGATCTGCTTGACTTAGCAGTGGAAGGCATAAAGGAGGAATGAGAGGAGGGTAGAATTGCGCGTCACCAATCCACGATTGATCCATCTTGAGGATCTTTGACAGTGAACGCGGGTGCAATGGTCGAGCACACGTATCGTGCAGAGTTGCTATCGTGGAGCGATCCCATTTAGAAGGTCCATAGCCATTTTTGAACTCGCGGACCGCAGTCCCACTGCTGGGATCGAGAACCCTCATACGGGCTGGAACCATAAGCTCGGCAATCTCCTCCGCACTTGCAACTGGACATGACTGGAGTTCGATAACGACAGGGTCGAGAAACCACAGACTCTGATTAGCCGATGTGATCTTGCAATTGGAAGCCATGGTGGGACAGCGGTCGCTTTCTGTGCCTGCAAAGTGTGCGTTGGTTGGGCCACAAGAGAAATGGAAGTGAGTGGATTAAGAGGCTTAAATGTGTAGACAGTTTCACAGAAGAGGGAAACTCTTGCGCTAATGCGGACGTGAGCATGACCCACTGTCCCAACGGCAACCTCAACCCTGATCTGTTCTCATCGTACGCGATGGTTTCCGCTCCAGACTCAGCTCTCTGTTCGTGATAGGCTCATACCGTTTCTCCCTCTCTCGCATCCCCCTCCTCTCTCCCATTCACCAAGATCACCATCACTATCTTTCCCATCTGTACCGACGCTCCACTGGCTTTCCCCGTTCCAACTCTCACTTTCACTACGCTGCTCTTCTTCGATAACTATCTCAACTCTGCTCTCGAGTACCATGTTCTCCTTGCTTTCGCTTGCCGTGGATTCCTCCAGCTCAGTGCCATCTTCCACTTCATCGATTGCTCGTTCTAAGGCGCGGTCCCGTCGTTTTCGTCGAAGACAGGTATACTCGAGTACGAGTAGAAGTAGAATGACGAAAACAGCGATGGAAGCAAAGGTAATGCCAGCCTTTGCTGCAGCGGTGAGCTGGGGCGAAGATCGAGGCGAGTGCTTTGTTGGAACAGGAGATATGTAAGGGATTTCTTCGAGCGGTAGATGATTGGAAGAGACACCTTCGTCTACAATGATGCTGGCTGCTGCGGTTATTGTTCGCACGCCGATTGTTTTCGTAAAAGGGACATCAGGAATACAGGTCTATGCAAGCACATCAGTTACCTATCCATCATAGAGCTCCTGGACTAGCACTTACAATGCATCCTGTTTCCATCACATCTCGTCCAACATCGACGGAATACGCCCTAAGAACGTCTGCAATACCCATGACAGCAACGGCGACGACAGAAAGCATGTTCACAATGCGAGCAGGTCGCTAGCAACCAAGCGTGAGTAGGAAGAGACTAAGAAGCAGGTGCACAGGTAGAGGGGAACGCAATTTCGTTACTTCCAAGACAAACAATTGCAACAGTCCTGTCATGCATATGTGCAGCAGTATACCTGCAGTAGCACTCTAACGTGTCGCTGTCTCGAATCTCGACAAGTCGTTTTCGCAGCCTCAGTCACGCGGCGGCGCTCTACTCAGACCACATAGGAATCCGTAAAAGGTGAAGTCAGGGACAACAAGAGTGCAGGATTATTAATTCGGCTATCGCGAAGCATCTTTCGTGCAAACATCGAGGTTACATGCATCTTTTCACCGACACGTACTGGTCAAAGTCATTCTAACGGGAGGGGAAGAGCATGGAGATTTTGAAACACGCCACTCCCGCCCCGCTACGTACAACATACACGCCGTGATACATACGACCAAAACAACGCTTCTCTAGCCGAATTTATCGCCGACATATCGCTGGTCTCCTTTGATCATCGCCACTATCCGGCTTTAGACATTTGCTTCGTCACCTCTTCGCTTCGGTCTTTGACGGATCTGCTTATATTGTGCCATTTTCAGATTCTTAGGCAGCTGATCCTTCAATGACAAGCTCTTTATTTACACTCAGATAGCTCTTGATCTTACATCTCAACCTGTCGTACGGTTTACCCTGGAGACACGTAAGATAACTGGTTGGTTCCTTCGCGTCGTTTGCTGTGATAGCTGTGTGGCCTGAGAACGTCGGGACAAGCAAGTCACCGTCTTGTCTACACAGTAGTTAGCGTCATTGTATGTCGACACATGCATGATCGTGAGGATGTCGTAAAAAGCCAAGAAAGCATACCCGTTCCTGTACAGCCACAGCGAGAAGCTTAACTCAGCCCTTCGTTCTCCAAGACCATCATACTTCTGCATCCCAAACATCAAGCCGCCTTCTCCGTCTTCCTCATATCTTACACAATCGATCAGCCGATCCGTGATAGTACCATTTGCCATGGCACCCTGACAATTCCACTTTGCCAGTCCTGTCGCAGCTGGAACCATCACGTCAAAGTCAATGGTAGATTTGAACTTTGAATCTTCAGGCCAAGGTGGGTTACCCGGAATACCAGTGCCGATGCTCATCATGTGCATATCCAGACGGGGAATCTGCCATGTTTCTGTCTCAATGGTTTGGAGAACAGACAGAGTATGTGGCAGAGCGCTCACAAGAGGTAAAAGAGGTGCGAAGGCGAAGCATATAGTGTACAGTGCCATGTTACCGAAGTCGTTCAATGCTGTTGTTGCTCTGGAAGGTAGTTGTTTCTTCAGCGTTTCTCCTATAGTGATGAAGTGAACGTAGGCATTTATCCAATATACACCCGAGGAAAAAGGCTCTCTCATATCCCCGTTTCGGTTGCGCCTCTCTTAGGTCGCCTTCTTGCGATGCAACCCTTCCAAGGTAATCTGTACCATGACGCAGCCCTGGCACCAACTGTAGCGAGCCATAGCACCACCCCAACCTATAATACAGGCGAGCAGTACCAGGGTACGCGCTTGCCTCGTACAAACTTTTCAGCTTTCGAGCTTCCACAGCCAGTGGAGAGTGTTCAGATCGACCTACAGCTGAGTATTGGCGAGGTGTCTGCAGAATAAGGTAGTTGTTGCTGCACAAAGGTACCACGCCGCGTCGCACGAACACAATATGTCAAAGGAAATGGTTACATAGCCACGTACGGATACGGGTACCTCAATATGTTCTCCGCGCAAGCCATGCGATAGCGCTGATAAGAAGAGCGCTAAGAATGTTCGATGCGCGATCGATATCGCGCGTTTGCTAAGTCATAGCACTGGTATCGTTATGCACCTGCGCCGTTGCCAATGCCAATACCCTCCGCCGATAAACATGTCAAACCGTAAACGCCCCCTGACTACCATGGGAGCAGTATCACATCTTACACGAGATGCTTTCGTCTACCCTTAGACAGCACTTATACAGTTTTACATCTTCAAGCGACAGCAACGCTCCGCCGAACTGCCAGGGCGATCTCTGCCATACTTGACAAATTCCACTCACCCGTTTTTCCTGTTGCAACCGGGACATGTTCTCCAGAGTTGATGATATGCACCTTCATCTTCTCGTGATACTTGAGACCAGGCAGAAGTTTGGGTGTCACAAGAAAGTATTGACTCGTGTTCTCCTGGCACGCAATATCCACCATGCGTCCATGTACCATACGTTCGTTGCGAGGATCCATACCCTGATTGATTTCGTCGACGACGCGGAAGGGCGATTGGGCGAGGTCTTGTAGCGCCATGAGGTAAAAGACGGTTGAGACGGAGCGCTCGCCACCGGATTGGCGGTGGGAGTCTAGGACGCTGAGACTCTCATTTTCTCTGTTAGGATCATTAGTGTCGTTTCATTCACGGACCAGGAAAAAACTGACCGGAAGCGGACGGAGATCTGGATGGACCATTTATCAAAATCTGCTTCGTGTTTGTTCACCTGCACGTCTCCTGCGCATCCGATCATCTCAAACTGTTGCGCGAAGGCTGCGCTGATTTTGCGAACAAGACGGTCGAGCTCAGGCTCCCACTTGCCGCGGATCTCGTTGATCTCATCCTTGATTTGCTCGAGATCACGGGCGTACTCCTCCAGCTTGGTTCGTGCTGTTCTGATTTCCTCTTCGCGCTTCTCGTAAGCTTTGATCGCCCCAGGATTGCCTTCAGCCATCATTCCCAATCGCGCAGTAACAGATTGTATCTCTATGTCCAGGTCATCGATGCTGGGGATAGATTCTTTGTATGCGAGAATCATCCGATTCTCCTCCTCTGTGCAGGTGCTGATCTCTTCCTGCGTGACGTTGAAAATCCTCCTGTAGTCACGTCGAAGGGCTTGATGGCGTTGATCAAGCTCAGCGATCCTGTACTGTTGTGCTTGCTGTTTCTGCAGTATTTCGCTGTTCTCCTGTATCAAGCCCCTTAGTTCAGACTTGGCCTCGATGAATCTAATCTCAGCCTCCACGTGCGACTCATGAAATGCTCTCATCTGTGTGACAGCTTTCTGTAAAGCAGATCAGCAAATGCGACACGAAAGAATGACCTTGACCTACAGCATATTCGAGCGTCAGACTAGCCGCCTTCAGTGATGCGACACGAGCGTCGGCTTTGATTGCTCGAATCCGGTCGGCCGTTTCCGCAATCTTCTGTTTATGGCTGTCCAGGTCCGTTTCTTTCATTGCTATATGGAATCAGCAAACATGCTCTTTCTCTCATAATTGAAACACACACCAATCTTTCCAGGAAGGGCTTCCCATTCGGCCAAAGCTTTCCTGATGCCATTTTGCTCAGCTTGGACGATTTCCTACCCCCTTATTAGTAAATAGAGATCGTATATACCAGCAGGAATCTATACCATTTCTTGTCTGAATTCTGCAATCTCCTCGTTGAGGGTTTTCATTTCATTCTTGACTACAGCGTTTTCCTCTTGCAGCTCTTGTTTTGTTCGCACTAGCTCCCGTTGCTTTTGGTCAAGCTCCCGCATTTCATCCGCGTTGGCTGGCTGGTCAACGAAAAATTGTGCCGGTCTAAGTCTTGTGACAGATGTTGAAGCTTGGCCGTAACGTCGCACAACGCGATTCGTGAGCACACCACTGACCCAGCTGTGAATCGGGCTGTTCGTTACAGCCTCGTGTTGCTCGTCAGAGATTGGATTCGCAGCATAGGCAATCTGGTGTAATCTGTTGTTGTCGCAAAGCATGGCCAAGACTTCATCCGGCCCTTGAAGGTAGTTTAACATATATCCCTCGAATCCGTAGCGAGTCAGTTCTGCTTCAGAGACAGGCTTTTGATACGCAGAGAGAGGCTTCGGCGATGTCCGAAGATGGACGTCGTGAAGTCCTTGCCCGCCGTTCTCTTTCTTGGTTAAGAGTTTGTTCATCAGTAGCTTTTGATCATCTTTGTGGGTACAGGTAATGGCAACGACATCACCCCTTCTCAACTGCCCTTCGATGGCCTGAGCATACCTAGGATCTATGACGGAACATTCTAGGATCGGCGGACCGCACACTTTGCCTTTCAGATTTAGAGAATCCTTGTGCTTCTGAACCCAGTCCCATGCAGCAGCTGTGTCGTGAGAAAGTCTCTGTAAGAGACTGGCCTGTTTCCCGCTTTGGGTATTCAGCCTTGCGCGGTCTGCTTTCAGTTTTTCATTCTGCCTCGAGATGTCAGGCACGCGACGGTTCCTCATATCGAGTAATATGTTTTCCTTTTCCACGATAAGGCCCGCTCTAGTTGATATCTCATTACGTAGAGCTGCCTTGCGTTGCTCGTAAGACTCGGCGTCGTAATGCTCGGGCTCACTGTTTTGCTGTTGCTTCAGCTTGACGATCTCATGATTTAGGCGGACCATGTCTTGCTCGCTCGTCTTCTTCGATGCTAGTTCAGCATTAATCATCGCCGTAGACTCTGCTGCCTTCGTCTTTTCAGCGTCGACCTTTTTCGCAATGTTGTCGGCCTGAGTCTTGATCATATCGACGCGGTTCTTGCGAAGGCGCACAACCTGCTGTATTTGATCCTGATATGCTTCAACCGCCGACTGAGCTTGACGCGCTGGCTCTATGTCGACGTTGATCTGATCGAGCTCCAGTCTTGCTTCTCGGATTTCCGCCTTGATATTATTGATGTTTGTCTTGAGGTCCTTCATCTCGATCATAGGCCTGACCATCTCTAGACATTTTGCTTCTCGCTGTAGATTTTCGCGCTCGTGGTGACGGTCCACATCGCCTTTTAATGAGGTCTGTTGTTTCTCCAATTTCTCAAGACTCTCGCGTTGCTTGGTCTGCTCATCCTCCTTCGATCGCTCGCTGACACGCAGGGCCTTTAGCTGGTCATGCCACTCTACCATGTAAGGAGGCGCTGCAGCGCGTTGAGTTTCTCGTAGACGGTCGATGTCGCTCATCATGGAGAATGCAACAACACGGTCCTGCGGCAAGAACTGGCACAGGTTGTCGATTTGAATGGAATATCCTTTAGCCATCGCTACGACATCTTTCTGGGTTACGCGCCTATCTTCTAGAAAAAAGACAGACTTGTTGTCTTCTTTACGAATGAGGCGCTTGACTATTCGATTTGAGCCCTTGCCAGAACCCGTTGCAAGCTCGATCTCAATGACGGCTTCTGTCGCACCGTGTTTGACGAATTGGCCCAGCTCTTTAGCTCTGCCCAGATGTTCACTGTTCCATCCGAGACCCAGACAGATTGCGCAGACCAAGGTGCTCTTTCCTGTACCGTTCGGACCGATGATCATGTTCAGGCTTGGTCCCAAATGAAATTCGGCGGCCGTGTATGTGACGAAGTTTGTGAGCTTCACTCTGACGAGGGAGCCCGGTTTGAAATCGTCCTGAGCGTGTGCGGTCGAGCCGTTCCGGTGGCCATTCGTTCGGAGGGAGCCGTTGGGCGCGTTTTGTTCGTAGCGTGCGCGTTTGCTGGCGGCGGACGGTGGAGAGGAGGAGGCAGAAGATCCTTCGTCTTCATCTTCGCTGACCGCGCGCGACGGGCGTTTTCGACCTCGCTGAACGATACCAGGCATGGTCGCGATTTGTTTGTGTGGGCCGCCGTATGTGGAGTATGCAGTATGAGGGAGGGGGTTGAATGACGGGAACTATCCGTTAGCGTGACGCGGTGGCTCCGTGCGCTGAACGCGATCACGTGCTGTCGTGTGGACACCTCCATGCTAGCTCTAGTCGATTGTTCTCCATTGTACAATCACTTGCATATCGCAGGATGAGCAAGCACCGCTCTCGTTCTTATACTCATTGTCTACTAATACACGACAACTCAATGCACGCAAATCACTTGCCCACCCAATAAACTATGCTTAGACCAAACTGAACGCCAAATCTAACAAATCATGTCACAACGTGGAACCTAGAAACTGGCCTCTCCACGCACGCACCTCATAACTCGGCTCGCGCCAACGACTTTCAGTTGCTGTGGTTGATGCCTGAAAACAGGTGTACGAAGGAGAGAAGGTGCCGACGCAACCAGTGCTGCGACACGCAAAGCAGAATGATAGCTCTTAAAATATGGTGCCAAAGTTCTCCTCAACCATTGGAAGCGGCTTCCTGGGGCTTGACGGCTTGCCATTCTCGTCGGCTGTCTTCTTGTGGCGGAAGGTGACTGCAATACAAATTAGCAATTTGACGAAACACTAGTATTCGTCAAGACTTACATCCAACGAATAGACCCTTGCCCATCTGAACGTTGCGGTCTTGCATAGCCTCCAAAGCAGCCTGCTTCTCGTGTACTTCCTTGTATTTCGCCATATCGGCTTCGTTGCCGAAATCGTCAAAGTATCCAGCATCGGTCTCGCTGTCCAACTCCGGTACGAACGGTGCCTTCTGCTCCCTCAACCTCGTCCAATCGACCTCAGCAAAGTACTGATGGGCATGTATCTCAGAAATGTTGCGGAAGCGAGTAGACTTGGATGCTACGAGACGGACGATGAGGTCCCAGGTGCGCTTCGACAGGAAGTAGGAAGGATCTTCGTAGACGGGTTTCCGCAAGACCTTCTTCCATTGTTTCAAGTTTTGCCAGGTTTCGTCAACCGTGGCACCAGCGAAGGGTGGATATCCGGCTAGGGCCTCGAACAACATACACCCCAGGCTCCAGTAGTCGACTGTGAAATCGTACTCGTCACCCTTCAACACTTCAGGCGCCATGTAGTCAGGGCTTCCAACAATGCTCTTGGCGTAGTTGACGTCCCGTTCGCGAAGAGAGCGGTAGTTTTCCCGACGCTGTGCTGCCGATCGGTCTTCGATAGGACGGCCAAATGGCGACACAACGTCACTGACAGACTCGAGCTTGATACGCATAGACTCAATCTTTGAAGGCGCAAGGATACCGGCTGCAAGGCCAAAGTCTGTTAGCTTGACGTGTCCAGTGCTGTCGATCAAGAAGTTCTCGGGCTTCAAGTCGCGATGAATGTAGCCCAGCTGATGCAGCGAATCGATACACGAGAACATTTCGGCAATGTAGAAGCGGGCATGTCGGTTGTGCAAGACACCAGTGTTGTTGAGCAAGGTTCGGAAGTCACCTCCGGGGACGTATTCCTAGCAGTCGTCAGTTCATTACGCAATGCCTTCTCTTGCTGCAACTCACCATGGCGAGGTAGATGCTCTTATCGTCTTGGAAGGCGTAGAGTAGGCGGACAAGCCACTCGCTCTTAGCAGTGGTCAAGATATCGCGCTCTGTCAAGACGTGGCGAACTTCGTCCAGCTTAAATAGCAGCTTCTTGCTCATGACCTTGAGGGCGCACACCTCGCGTGAGTCCTTTTTCTGGGCCAAGTATACCTGTCCATAGCCACCCTGACCGACTTGTGTGAGGATCTGGAAATCACCCTGCCGTAACCGAGTACGTCGCTTGCGGAGATTGGCACGCTCGCGGCCGAGATATTGTGTAAGGGCATCGTTGTATTCCTCTTCTGGTGTATCTGGCGGTGGAGGGTTCTGGGCCTTGAACTGGGACAGACGGCTCTGGCGACTGTGCACGTAAGTGAGCAGATCGTAGTAGTAATCGAGGAAGTCTGCAAGTTTCATTAGCACTGGCTCGAGATGGTTTGATCCAGACCTTACACAGCTGAGTCACGTTGGCCAGGCGCTTGACGGCCGGCTTCCTTGCCTTCTCCAATTCCTCTGGTGACAAGCGCTGTGGGCCGTTGATGTAGCGCGTAGACTGCTGGCCTTCCTCGCGTGTCCTGTAGGGCTCCTGCCGCGACTGTGCTGCGTGTGTGAGATAGCTCGACTCCTTCTGCAGACCCGGGCGCCCACTGAGGGGCGTGTTCTCTTGATTCGACTTGCGTGTGGGGCTGCCCGGTGCATGACTTGGGCTGTCCGGTGCGCTGTAGTCGCCGAGCTGCAGTTTGTTGGGCAGTGTTGGTGTTGCGGGCTTCGTCCTGGAGGGCGAGCCCATGGTGGGTAGCAGCCTCATGGCATTCTCGAAGACGTGCGGCAGATCGAATGCGCCGGGCGGCTGGTGGTGTTTGCTTGGACTGCCCTGGGGCGTCTGCTGCGGGCTCATGAAGGCCTCGGTCGGCGTGCCTGGGCGATCCATTGCGTTGTCGCGAGTCTGCAGTGGGGGTGGAGGGGCGGGCAGCTGGAAGTTGTCTCTATTGCCGTCTTCCATGATGGGCTACTGGGCGATGGGGCAGGAAGGAGCGGTGGATGGGCAGCAGCGAATAGCCGCGGGGGACAGGCAGGCAAGCGCGAAGAAGCAAAAGGCTAGCAATGCGGGCGCAGGCAATCGGCGACAGTGTTTTCCTAACGCAACACTTTACACGCCTTCGTAGTTTGACGGGCGCAGGGTGTAGAGGGTCAAGTTTGTGTTGATGGCGGGGTGCATGTTTTGGGCTAAGTGTGGCTCCGGGCAACGATGAATTCCAGGCATCCCGGCAAGTGGAGCCCATCTGCGATCGACGCAAGGTCATGACACGCAAATTCGGTAGCCACCAAGATGCTGATGTTGATCTCATGCTCGGCACGTATTATGTACATGTCCAATCTAACGCCCTCTGTATCCCAATTACCCACATCCTGTGCAACAATCAGTAATTACCACCACCAAACAATAACGCCCTGAGTAGTCGACCAAGATTACCCGTCCGAAACAATGATATCACAGCTCGAAGAACAGTATTCTCGCCCCCATCCCGCTTCCCAACCCTCATGTCTGGTAGAAATGGCTCTGAAACTCGTGGGCCTGCATTTCTGCGCGAGCAAGTAGTTCTTGTTCGCGGGCAAGAAGTTCGATAAATGCCTGCCCACGCGAAGATGCGTGCAGCAAGGGTGGGATCCAGCGGGGCTCTTCTATCAGCTGTGCCCGGCACATGGGACAAGTAACTTTGTTCTTATGTTCTCTGCACGTATCAAACTGGGCTGTATCAGCAGGTAAACAACTTCTTCTAGATACTTATACTGACCCATTGGTTTATGCAGAATTCTCCAAATCTGTGTCCGCAAACTAGCTGCACAGCATTCTCATCGTCTTCTGAGGGTGCTACAAGTGTCGTGGCGTAGTCTTTCTGACAGATATCACAAGTTTTGGACGCATCCTCTGGAAGCGCGCTTGGTAGATGCCGATTCAGGCTGAGCTTCAGTATATTGATCTGTCGAGCAGTGGAAACATTGGGGTCGCTAAAAGTCTGGCGGCCTGGCGGCCGTGGTCGTACTTCTCTTGGTCGGTGCCTCGTGCGGTTCGATGGTGGCGCACGGGCAGCCGCTTCTTCTGCGTCAGACGACGTGCTCGACTGTGAGAGGTCGACCGAGTACCGCTCGAAATTCCTACGATTCGAGGCGCGCGGGGACGTACTACGGTCTGAGCGGCGGCTCGGACCTGGAAAGGAAATCCATAGAGGTTGTTCGAATCCAGGATATGTTTGTTCCCTTGCTTGGCTCGGTCCTTGAGGTGGTGGTCTCGGATCTCGAGCCCGGCCTCCTGGTACTGGCTCTCGATTTCTTGCATAAGGGCCACGTACAGTATCTGCACGTGCACTGCGGGCAGTTGGTCCGACGCTCGTCCTTTGATTGCTGCGGGGTGGACTATATGAAGGTCCAGCGTTGAAAGATCCGAACAGAGGAGGATTGTTGTAGCCTGCTGACATTGGGAAAGGGTAGCTCTGGACGCTGACACCATTGTTATACAACGTCTGGCCCACCAGCGGCTGATCAAACACGTTTCGCGTGGGCGATGACCTTGAGGGATTCATCACTGGATACGGTTCATATGAGTATGTGGCGGGGGGGTAAAAGTGTCGACGATTGCTCCCCATGAATGGCAAAGGCGAACTTCCCGATGGATAATTGCTCGTAGGCGGCACGAGAGGCATGGAAACCGACGGATGATTTCTCTCAGGTATGAGGGGTGCTGAAGTGTTGCCACCGAGCCCATGGTAGTTTTGATATATGGGTGGAAGTTGTTGTTGAAACGGTCTCTGCGAAGAGAGAGTCGGGGCAGTCAGCTCTGCATGCGGGTCATCAGGATCAGTGGTATATTGAGGCCAAGAAGTTGCGCCGTTGTCATTGCGAGCCATGATAGATGTCTTGTAGAGGATTTGCGCTTGCGTTCACAAATGGTACCATGAGCTGTGTCAAGTGGTGGTAAGCGAGTGTCAGGACAGAGGCGGATACCGATGTTGATGTTGATGCTGATGCTATGAAATATGGAGTTGCAACTGTTGCCAGTCAATGTTCGGCCTTGATTGAGGCAGTCGTTGGGAAGAGAGCTTCGTAGCAGAAGGCTCGATGAGCGTCATGGAAGCCTTATCTGCAGCTAAGCAAGTACGTGTGGCCAAACTGAAACCGTGCTTCACAAATGCACACACAAAGGCGAAGTGAAGTTGAAGATACAATAGCAGGCTGCGAAAGGGCAGTAGGCAGCAAAAACGGAGTGGACCGTTTGTTGAGGCTGGAGTCTGAGCCGTGAGTGAAGATGAGGGGTCATTAGCTCCATGTTACGCTGGCTCGCTCGAAGACGAGCGCCCAGCATGGATCGAAAGGATGGTGGAGACAGATCAGGTGCGCTCCGACTTGACTCGCTACGTTAATCTAATATGACCAGGCGTCGGAAGACGGAAAGCGCAGGGCACATGGTTCCAGGGCGTCACGCCGCAACCTAGCTTCCAAGTGTACTTGGTCGTTTGCCATGGTAGTTCTAGATCGTCATCAGAGAGGGCGGAGTCTAACATCATCACCCAATAAATTGGACCCTCAGCCGAACCCAACGCAGCGATGCAGAGAGAAGTTCGGGCGGGAACAGGCCTTAGGTACGAGGCGTGTTTCACGCAGCAGGCTGTGCCCGATAATGCCGAAGCTTTTGATCGGTGACTATGCGGAAAGTCCACTAAGGACCGACCGAAGCAGGCAAAGCAGATCTACACCGAGAGAGAGGGCCAGAGTCTCCACCAGAAGAAGCAGGACGAGACGTGGCATCTGAGAGTGCTGCGCGGCCTGGTGTTGGGAGATTGGGAACAGCGTGGCTGGCCAGGGCGGTGGGACATGATGGAACCGCCGCATCAGCGCAGAAGAGGAGACGGAACGCTTGACGTTGCATGCGCAGGTCATCACAGGCTAATGCTGAGCATTTGGCGCCGGGGTGCGGAAAGAGAGCGGAAGAATGTCGGCTTGGTGGTAAAAGTTAGCAGCGGAGCTCTGGCAACAACGGCGGGCAACAACCATGAATTCGACAACGCCCTCTTCAGAGCTCCCAAGGTCCAACTGGAGGGGCATTCCACCCGTAGCTTGGCATTCGCCGGCGAGTCACGTGCACCCCGTGGAGGCCGCGGGAAAGACCGGAGGGAATTGCCGCGGACATGAGGTCAGAGCTCTGAACTGGAGCATTTTGACTCGCAGCGCAATTGTTCGTCTCGTCTTCAGATTTGCGACTTGCGCCTTGGTGTTCACTGCGCACCTCAATTAGCCAATCCGGCATCTGCCCCCCATTTCCACTCCATCCCATCCCCACAAACAGCTGCTGCAACCATGTTCCGAAGCGCAATCAAGCTCCGCGCCGCCGAGGCCGGAGCATTGCGATCACTCGCACATGCAAAGGCCAGCCCCTCCTTCTGCTGTGCCCGCAGCACGCGTCCGCTCTCCACCACTCGATACACCCCCGTGAAGTCGCAGAGCCAGTTCCAGCGCCGCCAATTCAGCGCCACCAGCAGCATGGCCAACACACGAACCGAGAGCGATGCCTTTGGCGAGATCCAGGTCCCCTCGGACAAGTACTGGGGAGCCCAGACGGAGCGCTCGCTGGAAAACTTCAAGATCAACCAGCCCCAGGACCGCATGCCGCCGCCCATTGTGCGCGCCTTCGGCATCCTCAAGGGCGCTGCTGCCACGGTCAACATGAAGTTTGGGCTGGGTAGGGCACGTTGAAGAATGCGAAGGCGACACGGCTAACGCCCATGCAGACCCCAAGCTCGGAAAGGCCATCCAGCAGGCCGCTGACGAGGTGGCCTCGCTCAAGCTCATCGACCACTTCCCGCTTGTGGTGTGGCAGACGGGCTCTGGCACCCAGTCCAACATGAACGCGAACGAAGTCATCTCCAACCGCGCCATCGAGATCCTCGGCGGCACAATGGGCAGCAAGAAGCCAGTCCACCCCAACGACCACGTCAACATGTCCGCCTCCTCCAACGACACCTTCCCCACCGTCATGCACATCGCCGCCGTGCTCGACTTCGAGGAGTCGCTCCTTCCCGCCCTCACCAGCCTCCGCGATGCGCTGCAGAAGAAGGTCGACCAGTGGGAGAACCTGATCAAGATTGGCAGGACACATCTCCAGGATGCTACCCCTCTGACTCTGGGCCAGGAGTTCTCTGGATACGTACAGCAGCTCGACTTTGGCATTGAGCGCATAAAGACCTGTCTCCCGCGCCTCAAGATGCTGGCACAGGGTGGAACAGCCGTCGGAACCGGTATCAACACATTCAAGGGCTTTGCCGAGGACATTGCCACCGAAGTCAGCAAGATGACTGGCAAGGACTTCGTCACCGCACCCAACAAGTTCGAAGCCCTCGCTGCCCACGATGCCATCGTCGAGGCCCATGGCCAGCTCAACACCCTCGCAACCTCCCTCTTCAAGATCGCCCAAGACATCCGCTTCCTCGGTTCCGGACCCCGATGCGGTCTTGGTGAGCTGAAACTGCCTGAGAACGAGCCCGGTTCTTCCATCATGCCCGGCAAGGTCAACCCCACACAGTGCGAGTCCCTTACCATGGTCTGCGCCCAGGTATTCGGTAACCAGGCCGCTACCACCTTCGCTGGATCGCAGGGTAACTTTGAGCTCAACGTCTTCAAGCCCGTCATGATCCGCAACCTGCTCCACAGCTCGCGTCTGCTTGCGGATGGCATGCGCAGTTTCGAGAAGAACCTCGTTGCTGGTCTGGAGGCGGATGAGAAGCGCATCAGCTCCATCATGAGCGAGAGGTAAGTCACATTGCTCGAATCAAATGTCCTTCAGATAGCTAACTTCATATAGTCTCATGCTTGTTACTTGCCTCAACCCCGTCATCGGCTACGACGCTGCTAGCAAGACTGCCAAATACGCACACAAGAACAACCTCACCCTCAAGGAGGCTGCTCTCAAGCTCGAGGTCATCAGCGAGGCGGACTTTGACAAGTACGTCAGGCCTGAGTTGATGGTCAACCCCTCCGAGTACAAGCCCAAGAACTAGGTGCCGTGACGAGATTCAAATAGTAAAAATGTAAAATGTAACATACCAGTACAAAACAGCATGGATATGAGCGGCAATGACTGGCACCACTGTCATCATTGCGCTTACAGCTTATATAATGATATCGGATTGCGTGATGCTTATGTTTTAACCACCTCCGTGTTTATGAAGACGCTGCTCGATGGTTCTGAGCTTTCTGCCATGTCCGGTTTTTACTTTTTGGATCTGCACGCACCAGGAGCGATTTAGGAAGTTGAAAGAGACCCATTACACGATATTTATCAATTTGTTCTAGTGTTATACGCCAGCACCTTCTATCTCCACCCATCAAACCTCTAGACGTGCTTCCATCTTTCTCATATACCTTTACTAAGAAAGGGACTCGATGCTAATGTCGAACGTATGTTCAGTGGTCCTGAGTGGCTTGTCCTATGCTGCGTTTGCAGTCTACCATTCTAGTACCACGCAATGAGCGAATTGCAAGCAGAGTATGATATTCCATCCAGTAGCCGGTCATAGTCTTCCCAGAACATCACCTCCAATTAACCTTAGCACATACTTCATTATATAGAGGTGCCTTGCCACCAAACTCTTGGTTGTCAACTCATAAGTCCTTGCCCACTCCTACACCATCAAGCTTAGCACAGCTCTAATCATCTGGAGTATAAGTCATAGGCCCTCACTCCTGTTGTAGTCTCCGAGCTCTTAACAACCGCACCTCTGGATGCCCTTCGACCGTTCATCCTATACGCATTTCGTTACTTGCCAGCCGGTCTGCCGCTCCCATTCACATAAACATATGATCCTGGTGTATGTCTTGTCTCGTGACTACTGCTCGTGGGGCATCGTGTCGGAACAATGGTGGAACGGGAGGTGGTATGGGGAATGACACCGGCGCGATCGTTGAGAATTGGGGTATTCCTTGTCGATACTGTTGAGTTCCTTGTGGTGGTAGGAGATCAACTTGTTTCTGATGTGTTGCTTGTAATTGCTCTATGCTGTTCGAGCTGTCGACTAATGGATGTACACTAGTCATCTCAACTTCAGGACGTGGATTGGCTAGGTTGGCAAGTAAATCCTTCTGCTCATCCAGGTTGTTGGCCAGTGTCGACTGTACACGATTGACCAAATCTCGGCCTTTCTCCTCCAATCCAGTGAGTGTCTCCTTAATCTTAGTTGATGCCACACTTTCACTACCTTTCTCTAGTGCAACAAGTCTTTTCTTGAAGTTGGCAGATGCGACAATTTCGGTATACGAGCGCGATTTTAGTGTGTCGACATCGAATCGAAGGTTTTTCAGTTTGGAATCAATTATCCCCAGCGTCGGGTGGGTTGAATCGTTCATCTGGAAAGCGGTAGAAGCGAGTTCTACTGGTTTCACACGCTCGTACAGGGGTTCGAGCAAAGTCGTGGCGGCCTGGCGGGTCTTGGTCGCCGTTTCATGTGAATTTTGCGCAGCCTCGAGTACGCTGACTCGTTGACTGATGGAATCCAGTACTCTGACAGTTTTCAATAGTGTCTCTGTATGATCGTTCGCTTGCGACTGTACCATATCATGGTGGTGTCGCAGGTCCTCTCGAGCAACGATCACTGCGGTCTCGAAACGGCGCTCCACGTCCATTTCTAGGTCAGTAATCTTTTGACTGTCCATATTGCTGCTACGTTCCGACCTTTGCAGCCGCTCATCTAGCTCTCGAAGTTGCCGATTCGTCTTCGTGATTTTTGCCACAGCGATAGTCTTTTGTCCGTCAGCTTGATTTGAAAGCTCATCCATACGCTGTTTGAGCTCCATTATAGCATCTGGTTGTTTATCGTTGGATTGCGCGAGCTGTTGGACTAAGGTCTCTAGTTGTGTATTTCGGGACTTTTCAGTCTCGAGACTGTCTTTGAGTTGTGCCATGTCTTCTTCAATCTTCTTCATGAAGGAGCTCATGAGCTGCCCCTGAATATCATTCTGCTTCTCTTGCGCGTCGACCCTACAGGTAATACTTACGATCCTTTCGCTATGAGTATCGAGTCTTTGGGAACCATTGCAGACTCTTTTGTAGACGAATTCGAGGCATTTGCCCACTTCCAGTGGGATCTTAAGATTCTTGACCCACGGTCGAGTCGAAACGGCAGGCGCATTTGGGTAAGCCATATCGTTGATCTTTGCCTTTACACTCTCGAATTTCGCCTAGGATCCTTTGTGCAAGTGGCGTATGAGCTGACATGAGCGTGAGGTGGGTTGGTGGAATCCGGTTGGCCTCAACTCCTTATATCCCAAGTGCCCAGGAATCACGGCTTGAGCCGCGGTAAACTCCACGGAAACATGCAGATGGCAGCAGCAAATTGTATGATAAGAGAAAAAACATAACGCATGAGGCCGTGACTCATCGCCCTTGCTTCAGACATCCTGTGTTACTGTACAGACGATCCGAACATGCCAAGATAGTCATCTTTGCTTTGAATTGGAGCACCTGGTCATTGCGGAGCCATTGTCCGTTATGACTACGGATTCTGAAATGTCGGGATTGAACGCTTCTTCTTCTTCTTCTTCTTCTTCTTCTTCTTCTTCTTCTTCTTCTTCTTCTTCTTCTTCTTCTTCTACTGCTCACTGACACAGAGCGAGACGCAAAGAGGCGTTCGACGTTGCTGAGATAGAGTCTGATAGGCAGCGGATGACACTGCCACAGTAGGACAGCAGCGCTAGGGTTGAAGGTGTGCAATCTCTGACACGTCTCATTCAAAACCGTGCATAGCAGTGTTGCTGCTTGGAAGTGTTTGCTTCCCGACCGTCTAAGCTTGGAAATGTAAACGGACCCTGGGAAATAGCAATGATTCGCTTTAATGGGCACACCGCTGAGAGATCGCTAGGCGTATAGCTGCACACAGACATAGTATTGATCGAAACTTATGCACGTAGTCGTCGCCCATCAACATAGGCTTTGGCGTTTCTCAATGTTGTACGAGCATGTCTCTGGCTGTAATAAACGTAAAGTAGAGGCTAGGGCGAAGCGGTGCAGCGCTACTGCACGCGCTAGCACCAGCTAGCTTCAGCTGCCAGTTCACCTGCATCTTCCCCAAATCCCCACGCCACCGGTAAACCTTTGTCTATCTCGGCTGCAGCCAATGTCGTTGTACGACTTCGCTACAGTGCCATAATCTCTCTTTCTCTTGTCCACCAGACCTTGACCGCGTCACTGTGGCGTCTTCGTGGTATGCCGCTCACACCGCCGCGCTCATCTTAGTTCAGATCATCTGTCATCGCCGACACCACGCATGAAAACCGATAAACAAGATGTTTGTCAATTGGGCATTTTTATAGACATGTTGGCTATCGTGATCTTCTCGGGTTAACAGGATGAAACTTCAACGTCATCATGACGCTGTTGATTTCCTTGCCTAGGTATTTCAAGCTGCCTGTGGCCTGAGCGTTAGGGGGCTTAGGAAGAACTTTGCATGCGAAGAAACTTATATTTGCTAAATTGTTCGCTGGCCGTGGTGTTTCGCCGTCCAACCCCGGCAGTTTGATGAGCGGGACGAGTCTCCCACAGTATTGCACAAACACATCCACTTCCTTATGTAAAAGTTGGAATCAAAGAGCATGCTATCATGCCACAACGTTGGTCAATGGGTTTTTGTTACATGGTCAATCGTAAATACCGGGAGAGTTTAAACGTTCTGCTGTAGCCTGTTGACGCATGATTCGGATTTTGACCGAGAGGGAGAAGATGTATGGATGGGATGAGCCCTACTAAAGTTTGCTATTGCTTGATCACTTCGAGTATGAGAAGTGAGGTATCTTCATCAAACTTACCAAGTAACAGCTTCGCGATACATAGCTTTCATTAGTCCAAGACAGTCACGAAATTTGACGAAGTGAACGTGAGCTACAAGGAAACGTTCCTACCATGTGACTTGGACCTGCTGAAGATCACAGAATCAAAACCTGACTAGTGGCATATGTCCGCTCCGCATACACAATATACGCACGCATTCGGAAGTGTCTAGCTTTCTTGGACCACATTATAGCTGCACAGCTGATGGTGGATGATTCACTCTTGTCAGTGTGGATCACAAGCCTGCCAGAGCTGATCCAGATCCCACGTTTACTAGCGCCTACAAGATGAATAATCACGAAAGCATTCGTCCGCTATTGAGAGGCATCTGAGTGGCTGCTCAATCAAACTGCTTAGCGATCCATCTACACGGTACCCAGATCGTAACGTATTCCCGCGCCCACGGTGTGGGACCGGTCGTGCTTGGGGCGATACGTTACTCGTCTCCACGTACGGAGTATCGGAAATGGTATGCGGACCGCTTGCTAGAAGTGGTCTACATGCTCAAGTTTCGATACTTGACGATTCTGCTTCTAGAGATTCTAGCCCATGATCATTCCGCACAGAGCCGCGGCAAGGATCACTGTTCAATTCACGAGGTATCCATGTTACCTCACCAAAGCTTGACCGAACCACGAAGCGTTACTTGCTCAGACAGTGTAGCGGTTACTGCACCCATGCACATTGTCTTTACGTTCACAACCAAATCATTCTCCTCTCCCATTGTTAATCTCTTTCTTTTGTTCAACAGACACTGATCATAGAGAGGATCCGGTATTCTGCGTGTATTGCATGACACGTTTCCGAAGACCCAGACTGTTGACCCACTGGCGCTTGCCAGGACTGGCCGTAGTTCCCGATATTGGCCGCTCGCACGAGTCTAGTCGTGTCATAACAGACGATCTTGGGTCAAACAAGCGTTTGGATTGTAGACTGGACACGCGATACCATGCGGCCGACTCTGTAATCTCCAAATTTCTTTCCTATGGGGTGGACGTCGATTTGGCTTTTCGCTTGAATAGAGAAGAAGCAGACTCTAGCTACCTGTTAGTCGTTTGCAAACCACCCACGAATCTACCAAACTTTCCCAATTTCGAGCTCCGAGATCCTTCATTATCAGCTCATCTGCGTCGGAGCCGCACGCGGCGCACACGAGGTCTAGCAACGTTCTACGCCCGTTATTCAGCCTCGCTAATACACAACAAGGAGCACTTCCGCAAAATGCGTACTTGACGACTTCTCTAACCGCTGTTGCACGGTAAGCTCACCTAAATAAGCTACTACTACTACTTGTTAGCTTTGGAATTTCGCATCAATAGGAAGTGTGCAAATGACTACGGTTTAGGCTAGACAGTCCTACGCGGCTCTGCTCGGACCCCGGCTTCTTCATACCCCAGAGACCCACCAATAAGGACCCATGAAAATGACAAGCACCCTTGAAAGCTTGTCGCGGGGCCCCGTGGGCTTGATAGCAGAGTGTATCCACACCGAGGCCGACTCCAAATGTGCATGGAGTATATAAGCTCTCCCAAGCTCGCCATGTCTGCTTGGCTTTTAGCATCGGCTTTTGCTTATTCGTTCTTCGCTTTTCGTGGCGTCCAATCACATTGCACGCTAACCGAAAATGTCGGGCTTTACCGAAACCAAGCGGGATGCTACCGGCGATGGCGTCTTGGAGAAGAGCCTGAGCCATCAAGCTGAGATCTTTGAAGACAAGGAGCTTATGACAGATGCTCAAGCAGCTGAGAACCGCGAGCATGACATGGGCATGTGGGAAGCAATCAAGGACCATCCTATGGCCTGCTTCTGGGCTTTCATCTTCTGCTTTACTATCGTAAGTCTTGACATCTTTTTACCAATCTTATCAGATCTCTACTAACGCTGTATAGGTCATGGAGTCTTTCGATATGTTTTTGAATGGTAACTTTGTTGCTCTTGGCGCATTCAAGGAGCGATACGGCGTCCAAGTCGCTGGCGAAGTCGGCAAAACCATTCCTACCAAGTGGCAGAGTTCGCTGTTCCAAGCCGGCCAATGCGGTGCCTTTGTCGGAGTGTTCCTCGCTGGTCCCATTACCAACCGCCTTGGTTATAGGTGGACGACCCTCTTAGCGCTCATGCTCATGAACGCAACCATCTTCATCTCTTTCTTCGCAGATTCGCTCGCGGTTCTTGTCATCGGACAAGCTTTCGAGGGCATTCCATGGGGCATGTTCATTGCCAACTCGCCTGCTTACGCCAGTGAGATCGTTCCCCTCGTTCTCCGTGGCGCTTGCACGGCCACTCTCCAGATGTCTTGGTCCATTGGTAGCATTATCGTCGCCGCCGCCACCTACAGCTACAACAAGCGCAACGACGAGTGGGCATGGCGAGGCCCTCTGGCGCTACAGTGGGTTTTCCCCACTCCTCTCATGGTTCTCGTCTTCTTCGCCCCTGAGTCACCCTGGTGGCTTGTACGCAGAGGGCGCAGAGACCAGGCGCTAAAATCTATCAAGCGTCTCGGCCGCAGGAACGGAACTCAAGCTGCGGCCGAGGATACACTTGCCATGATGGAGCGCACAGTACAGATTGAAGCTCACAAAGGTGGTGAGCCTTCTCTCCTTGACTTACTCAAGGGAACCGATCTTCGCCGAACAATCATTACCTGTTTGATCTACGCATCGCAGAACTTTGCTGGTAACCTGATCGCCAACCAGGCAACCTTCTTTTTCGAGCAAGCGGGAATGTCTTCCGATTTCTCCTTCAAGCTCAATCTGATCAACTCGTGTCTGCAATTAGTCGCCAACATCTGCTCGTGGCCATTGAGCAACTGGTTCGGCCGTCGCACGATTTACCTTGGAGGTACCGCCGTCAACGTCTGTCTACTATTCCTTTTGGGAATTTGCGCCTCTATTCCCCAGAACAATGCGACCAACTACGCTCAGGCTTGTCTGGGTATCGTCATCTCATTTGTCTTCGCAGGAACCATGGGTCCTATCTCATACTCCATTATTGCGGAAACATCTTCCATCCGACTCCGTGCTCTGAGCACAGGTGTTGGTCGTGCTGCGTACTACGTCGCGGAAATCCCCATGATCTACCTAGCCTCGCAAATGCTCAACCCTACCGGCTGGAACATGGCTGGTAAGTGCGGATATGTCTGGGGCGGTACAGCCTGCGTCTGCTTTGTCAGCGCATACTTCGGTCTTCCTGAGCTCAAGGGACGCTCATACCGTGAGCTAGACATTCTGTTCAACCGCAAGATCTCCGCTCGCAAGTTCAAGTCCACTGTCATCGACGTCAGGGACAACGAGTAAGCTGCCGCAGCATAAGATACTCTATGAAGTTATGCACTTTCATTTATTAGACGAAACGACGTGTCGTGGTAGATTGAAGCCTCGATGCTCGGACACGCTTCTCGAGATGGCTGGTTCAGTTAGGGTCCGTGCTCTTGCTCATGTGGGAGGAAACCTCTCTTGAGCTTCAGACGAAGACAACAATCAATCATATACAATGTATTCTATTCACATAGTTTCATCCTTTTCAGTGCTCACTTGTGATCGATATGGAGAGAAAAGTGAAATAAACACCTCGATCTTTCAGATATGTTTCCCTTCGTTCCGGAAAAGCACCTATCCCAACCACCTGAATTTACCTCGGTAACAACTGCTTGACCTCCAAGTTGCATGGACACTCTGCTCAACTGGTGTCCTGATCTGGATCTTGTGGCATCAGGGACATCAGTAGGGACGATCCTTGACATCAACGCCGATTCTTTCTTTGCTTATTGATCAACTGCTAGTAGTAACGAAAGATGGAGAAGCAGCATGGCAGATCGGCTGGATATATCCCGAAGCTTTGATACCGCTTCTCGTCGTTTTCTGTCAGGAGACAAGCTTGTATGATCTCAAAGGATGCATTCTGTAATTTGACGTTTGACTTTTCATCAGCAGAAGCTCTGATTGATGCATCGCCGCGGGAGCCGAAGATACGGTGTCGAACGGTCCATGTCGGAGATGAGGGCCAACCGAGCTCATTTTGGACTAACCCCCGTCTTCCAAGCACTCCACACCTTGTCATGATCGCGCAAATCTTTCTCCTCTTTCCCCGGTTTCCTGTTCCTCGTCTTGGTAGAACGGAAACAATGTTGCATTTCAGCGAGGCTAACCCATCTGCGCAATCCATCCGCCTCCGATGCTACGTCGACAACGTTTACCCGGGCCTCGGCGTACCCGGTGGAGCGTTCACAGAAGGGCATCTCAATTCCACCATTAAGACGACCTTGACATCCCCGCAACCCACGATGCATTCCATCATAGCGCCGCATTAGCGTCTTATTCGTAATTCGGGGACGACTGGGGTTCGGTACCTGCGTAGTGCTCATAAACTCTCAGCATGTCCGATACCATGATACCAGTGCTAATTGGCCTCGACGTCTCCAACCTACATCGAAAATGAAGACCATCGTAGGGCTCTCGTGGCTCTCGGCCCTGGCTTCTTTGGCTACTTCTGGTGTCAATGCTCAAAACAACACACCCAGTGCCTGGCCTCTTCACGACAACGGCCTGAACAAAGTCGTACAGTGGGACCATTACTCCTTCAAGGTCAATGGAAAGCGTCTCTTTGTTTTCTCAGGAGAGATTCACTACTGGCGTATCCCCGTCTACGAGGTCTGGGAAGATTTGCTGGAGAAGATTAAAGCAGCGGGTAAGTTAATATGTTCGCCACACATGATTAACCGGATCTAACATTTGCCAGGCTTCACGGCTTTCGCCTTTTATGGCAACTGGGCTTATCACAGTGCAAACAACCAAACGCTGGACTTTGAAACCGGTGCGCACGACTTTACCAAGCTCTTTGAGATTGCGCAGCGCGTTGGTTTGTATGTGATCACCAGGCCAGGCCCTTATGTCAACGCTGAAGCCAATGCCGGAGGATTCCCGCTGTGGCTCACAACCGGTGCTTACGGAGAGCTTCGGGATGATGATCCAAGATATCTCCAGGCTTTGGACCCTTACTTCTCCAAGTTTTCTGAGCTTACTTCTAAGCACCTTGTAACCAAGGGTGGCAATGCACTTGTCTACCAGATCGAGAACGAATATGGCGAGCAGTGGAAGGATCGCGAAGAGAAAATTCCCAACACGGCTGCTGGACGATACATGCAAGCATTGGAGGACTCCGCACGAGCCAATGGTATTGACGTTCCTCTGATTCATAACGATCCCAACATGAACACCAAGAGCTGGAGCAAGGACTTTGCGCCCGGCGCTGTAGGCAATGTTGATGTTGCTGGATTGGACAGCTACCCATCTTGCTGGTCTTGCAACCTTGACGAGTGCACTGGCACCAACGGAGAATACGTAGCCTACCAGGTCATTGACTACTACGACCATTTCGTTGAGGTTTCCCCAACCCAACCATCTTTCTTCCCAGAATTCCAGGGTGGCTCTTACAACCCCTGGGGTGGACCAGAGGGTGGCTGCCCAGGCGACATCGGAGCTGACTTTGCAAACCTCTTCTACCGCAACCTCATTTCGCAGCGTGTGACAGCCGTCTCACTCTATATGATGTTTGGAGGAACCAACTGGGGTGCCCTAGCTGCTCCGGTCACTGCTACTTCCTATGACTACAGCAGTCCAATTAGCGAGAACCGTAAGATTGACGCCAAGTATTACGAGACTAAGAACTTGGCCATGTTCACCCGCGTTGCCGACGATCTTACCGTCACCAACCGTCTCGGTAACTCCAGCTCATACACTACGAACTCAGCTGTTGAGGCTAGTGAGCTCCGCAATCCCCTGACAAATGCTGCCTTCTATGTTACGATTCACTCAACCTCTTCTTCCGCCACCAAGGAGTCGTTCAAGCTTCATGTCAGCACTTCGGTCGGAAACTTGACTATTCCTCAGCATACCGGTTCGATTGTTCTCGATGGTCATCAGTCCAAGATCCTTGTTACTGACTTCGCCATGGGCAACAACACACTCACCTACTCTACTGCTGAGGTTCTCACATATGCCATGGTCGACTCTAAGCCTGTCGTTGTACTGTCCACTGGTGTTGGAGAGTCTGTTGAGTTCCACATCAAGGGAGCCTCCAAGGGCTCTCTAGTCAGCAACGGAACAAGCTCGAACGCGACTTTCCACTCCGAAGCCCATGGTCTCACAACTAACATCCAGAAGGTTTCTGGTATGAGCGTATACCAGTTCGATAACGGAGTGAAGGTTATTGTTGCTGACAAGCCTACTGCATACTTGTTCTGGGCTCCCAACCTGTCGAACGACCCATTCGCGCCGGTCGACCAATCTGTGCTTGTTCAGGGCCCATACCTCGTCCGCCACGTAGCTCTAGATGCTGGAGTTCTTGCTCTCAAGGGCGATATCATGAACAGCACGGATATCGAGGTCTTCGCCGCCGGCAGTGCGCACACACTCTCCTGGAATGGAAAGGAGCTAGCGACTTCGCGAACAGCATACGGCAGCTTGAAGGCCCACGTCGCTGCGTTCAACGGCACTATCAAACTTCCTTCTTTGGACAACTGGAAGATGAACGAAGGACTCCCAGAGAAGACGCCAGAATATGACGACAGCGGCGCTGCATGGGTTGTCGCTGACCATCTCACCACTCCCAACCCGACCAAGCCTGAGACTTTGCCAGTCCTCTACGTGGACGAGTACGGTTTCCACAACAGCTTCCATCTCTTCCGCGGTTACTTCGACGGCGCAGCCACTGGTGTGCAGCTCTCCGTTCAGGGCGGTCTCGCCTTTGGCTGGAGCGCATGGTTGAACGGCGAGTTGGTCGGCTCGTGGTTGGGTAACACCACCCTGGGCATCGGAAACATGACCTTGTCCTTTGCCAACGCAACTCTTCACGAGAACGGTACCAACGTGTTGCTCGTCGCACAAGACAACACCGGTCACGATCTACGTGGCGGTGCTACCGATCCCCGCGGTATCCTCGGTGCTACTTTGGAAGGCGCAAACTTCATATCCTGGAGAATCGCTGGTGAAGCCGGCGGTGAAACCGAACTCCTCGACCCCGTACGTGGACCTCTCGCTGAGGGTGGTCTCACCGCCGAGCGTCTCGGATGGCATCTTCCTGGCTTTGATGACTCTGACTGGGAGTCTGGTTCCCCATCTGCCGGTTTCGAGGGTGCCGACATCAAGTTCTACCGTACTACCATCGCTCTCGACGTCCCCGCTGAGATCGATGCCTCTTTCGCTTTCGTCTTGAACGCTGTTGGCTCCAAGACTATCCGCGCACAGCTCTTCGTCAACGGTTACCAATACGCACGATTCAACCCATATGTCGGAAACGAGATCAAGTTCCCCGTTCCACCCGGTATCCTCAACTACTCAGGTAACAACGTGATTGGTCTGAGTGTGTGGGCGCAGTCTGAGGAGGGTGCGCAGGTTGATGTGCAGCTTGTGCAGGAGTACGCTATTGAGAGCAGTTGGAGCTCAAGTTTTGACTCTGAGTACTTGAGGCCGGGGTGGACTGAGGAAAGGTTGGCTTATGCTTAATCGCTATTATGACATCGACTGGTTATGGAATTATCAGCTGTTTGAATACATATATCTCCAAGTATCACCGCCTGCCTGAATTTGGATCGTTCAAGATCTGTTGGAGCAGAAGTTCATCGTTATGTATTGCTGTCGGTATTTGTTATATAACCGGTATCAAAGACGCCTTGTTACTCCCAGCTGCCAGCGGGTTCGCCATTGGTCGTCTGACAGTGTCCTTCTGACCTGAACCTCAAGTGTGTCAGTGGAATCGAGATAAACCACTGCATGATCTCGGCAAAACTCTGAAGGCAGACCCACTTTCATCGCTGTTTCCAGGTCTCCCATTTTGTTTACGACGTGTGTTCTGAATTCTGGATCCGTCTCCAGTTTGTGTGCAGGCCCTGAGGAGTGTGTAAACAACGTCGCTTGCCCACTCGGTTTAATGACATCTAACCATGGACTCCCATGCCGATGACCAAAGATGATCGTGAGACTAACTCCACCGTAGACGATTCCTACCCCTACGCTATTAATTGAGGATAGGTATTTGAAGGACAACACATCAAAATCGTCTCCCCAACGCAGTTCCGACCCCGACATGAAATCTCGTTGGAAAGCGACCACTTTATTAACTGACATTCCCGCGAAATCCAGTTTTCCGACAATCAGCGCACAGGTCCTGTGTTCCACAACCTCTTCATCATTGAGGTTTTTGAGGCTTAAGGAGGTTTCCGGTTCCATGAGAATATATAATTCCCTAGGTTCTAGTCTCATATCTTGAGTGAAGACTGAAGAATATCCTCCTTGGTCTTGATGTCTCATAAAGCGCTGATCATCTAGTTGTCTTAATCGAAGAAAAAGCTGCCCAGTTCTGTCGTGCTGACAATTCAGCAGTGCGAGGAGTGTGTCAGGTCCTTCGACGACGCAAGGAAGAATGATACGAAGTCCCGCATTTGTAACATCGTGTGTGCTACCTTGTATTGTCTGCGGTAGTCCTGGCCGGATGTCGGCCAATTGCGTGCTTTGAAAATCCCTTGGTGTTGCTGCTAGAATCCCAACAAATTGGCATGGGTTTCTTGGTCCAGGGTCAAACATAGAGCCCAATGACCACGCGAATATGGTATGATCCATGGTATTCTTGAGAAGTTCGACTTGCAGTCGGTAAAACGCTCGCTTCCCTTCTCCGTAAAGAAGCGGCATGTTGACCCCCATGATCCCGAACAAACAATAAGCTTGATCCTCGTCTCGTGTAGTCTCCCTCTGGGATGCCCAGCTGAGTCGAAGTCCTATACTTGCCCCTCTAATGGCGTTTCTGTCTAAAATGTACTGGACCCGAACCTCGGCTGCTGCTTGGATGAAGGTCGCCAAACTAAACTTCGTACCAATCATGTTCCACTCCTGATCATAGAACTCAATTGTCTCTGGAGCAAGGAGCTCTTGGAGTGTCCAGCCTCGCTTGAACCATCTTGAGTTGAGGAATTGGAATATCTCTCTCTCTGGCCGAACCGATTGTGGTAGTTTTACACTCGGTTCTATAATATCATCTCCAAGGACGGGCATGCTCCCATACATAACGTACTCCCACCCCCGCTTCTCTCCGATACCTGGCACTTTAAGAAATGAAGTTGTTTCGTCTCTTACGTTCCCAGAGTTCCCATCACCAACATCGGTGAGATATGCGTAACACTTCTCAGCCTCCCAGTAGTACCTGTACATTGAGTTGATTGCTTCTGAGAGCTCAGCACTGCTTCTCTTGTCGATGCAACCAGTATCTACCCAGGCCCATCGATAGCCATCTTGTTTCGCTTGCTCACAGCATTTCTTAATCTTTATGTAACCATTTGAGGCTTTTGTGCGTTCACTAGGCCTTTGCATGCTTTCGAACGTAACTTCGTGGTCACCCCAGGTATGTGACAGGATAACATACTTAGGGATTTTGCCATAGAATGGGCGGACCTTGATAGTGGTGGTGTTGATGAGATACATGTTTCGCAATCATACAGGGTGATTGCATGAATAGGTACGATGTCGACACTATGGGAGCCTGGGTAAAATTCTCCTCAAGAAGAACTCCAAGGTGAGTCGGTATAGTGGTGTGACGATGATCAGAATTCTGAATCGTGCAGCGCTATATGGGCAAGACGATATGCGAATATCTCCTAGGATGTCGCCGAAAGTCCTGCGTTCATCATCGAACACGTGGTTTGTGGGGAAGATGGCAACGATGGTCCGCAGTGTGTGGGGGACATGCATTAGAGGAAGACGACCACAAGACGATGACTTTGCTGAATGAAGTAAAGTGATATTTGGGGGGATGATAGAGGTTACTACTCATCGGGCAGGCTGGCATTGAGACTTTTAACTGCACAGCTAATCACAAAGATAATGGGATGATGCTGACGGCTGAGGCTGAGGCTCGACCCTATCTATGTAGGTACCCCGCACTTCTCTCGCTCATTAATATCTGCCTACGTACCTACGCATCCACAGACTCATTTGAAGATGTCATGAGCTTGAACACCTTTGGAATGAAATAACAGTCGAGTTGTCGAAGGGCAAGTAAGAGCGATTGTCAAGAGCAATACGCATGATGTTCCCACCTCTACGCACGGCTGTGCTTCTACTTCGGATTTGTGTCAAACAGCCATGTTCCAGCACGCTCAAGGATAGGGTTGGTTTCTCCACATCGAAAGGCCCATCGCTGCTTTCCATCGCAGGAGGAGTGAGAACCAGCAACACATCCCTCTCGACATCCACTAGCATATCGGCAACGCACCCAGACCCAACACTCGTGGATATAACCCCATGCTGTCTACAAGCAGTCTCCAGTTTATCCATGCTCAAGACGAGGTTACGAATAAAGCAAGTGTGTAGAGCAAGCTGTTGCACCTCGAACAATTTGAACACCTTCAGCACCCGTCTCGTTCCAAAGCCAGGAAGATCGATCTCAGCGAGGACATCAGCGTTGTTTATGAAAGGCTGACCCATCATCGCTCTGCCTCTGCCTTCAAGGCCTTCCAGTAGCACACCAAGGCTCTCCCTTCCAGAAGGTGGTTCCGGAATTGCATTGAAAGGGAATGTGGAGGGACTATTGAGAGGTATGGGATATGGCTCTGCGATATAAGGTAGGACTTCTTCCCATCGAGCGACGATTGCGTAAAGGGTTTCAATGAGCCATTCGGCGTGTTTTGAGACTTCGGGGGAGGCGGTGTACGCGTGGTGACTTTTTAGCCAGTCTAGTTTGCGGACCTGCGAGTGGTAGGCATCGTATCCTTTGTAAACTACATATGTCCTTCAGTAGAGCTCCTAAGTTGATCTTTGAGGGTGCCAGACCAACTTTTCTCAAAGCGGTCGCACTCCTCAAGCCGTTCGTGAGGTGTTGAGATATCGCTACTCCGTACGGGAAAATTCATTTTTGAGTGCCATAGATTATCCGCATCCGACAGTGGCGGCAGTAAATAATCAGAGGTGCGCGTTGTGGTATTCGGTATCGTTGAAATATCTCGTAGCGCGGACATGCCGATAGTAGGTTTTTGAGATTAGGAATCGAGTTGAGATAGGAACAGGATTGGTGGTCTTTCGCAAGGAAATGCAGATGACTGAGCATAATGCAAAAGAAGGATGTTGGGTGGACCGTTGCTGCTTGGAGTTGCGTTCACGTTACAGAAGAGGCAACCAACTGTCACTACCACGTGGGCAACACAGGCAAATGGACAGTGCCAATAACGAATTAAGATCAACGACCAACGTTAAGTTTGCAACTTGAGCTATAGTAGAGAGCAGCGCCGGAATCGACTTTTCTTTTCTTTTTTGATGCGGTTGAGATTCGCAAAAGCATGATGCCTGCAAAAACTCGCCATATGGTGCAAAAGAATCGCCTGTCGCTTTAACGTCGTTTTCATCATTCCAAACCTAGAGACAATACCGCGTGAGAAGCGTAATAGTAACACAGAACCCAGCCTCAACTGCTCCTGAGAGCAAAGGCATAACGAAAAGAAACAAAGTTGGGAGAGAGACCGTTGCGCCGTCGCTGAATGTTCATATCGAAAACATGGGACTCGTCATTTGTTCGAGTGGCCAAGACCACCATCTGGCCGACAATTTATTCGTCCTTGTTGATTGCCCTTGGAGTCGCTAACGGGCGGCCGGCAAGAATGGCTTCGCGGTCTTGTCGCATGCCCTCGAGCACCCCGACAAGGCCGCCTTCGCGCATACGCTCCAGGACGACCTTCATGCCTTCGCGCGCATTGGGCTGGCTTCGCTGCGCACGCGTAAGCCCGATCTTCTCAATGTTGCGCTGCAGGGCCGCGGTTCCCCAGCTCCGCAAGAAACCCATCTTTTGTGGCTGCTCGTCCTCAACGGCATCCTCCCTTGCGGCTTCACGCTTCTTTTTCCAAGTCTCGCCAATGTGGCTGTGCAATGTGACGGAGCTTGTGACGTCGGTAGTCTCACCCGAGTCTTCAATCTTGGCACCAGCGCCCTTGCCGCCAAAGTTGATGAAGCCATGACGTTGCGCAGCGCCTTCGGTACCCAGCCGCGTCTTCATGTCCTGGGACACTGACGGCGAGGGACGCACAAACTTCTGCCTCTCTACGACGGACAAGACACCAGTCCATTCCAGATTGCGTGACTCGGTGTCCATCCATCCCTCTCTGATATCCACGACCGACTTTTCGAGAATGTAAGTCTGGGACTCACCGCCAGCCGAGGCGCCAAGCAGAGACTTTGGCACAAGCTTGAGAACGGCGGAGGGGAGCTTTGAGCGTTTCAGGTGAAGGCGAATAGTTGTTAGACGCTGCGTGTCGGGGTCGTAGTGACGGGCGATGGTGTCGGTGGAAAGCACGTGAGTGGAGTAAGGGTTCGGATAGCGGAGGAAGTAGGCGAGCGAGACGGCGGGGAAAGGGTACGAGTACGTCTCGTTGGAAGAGTAGAACTTGACCATGTTGGCGCCGTAGTGGTCGGACAGACGGCGGGCGGTGGATGTAAGTAAGACGGTAGTAGGTCGGAGCTCAAGGCAGCCTGTAGCGCGCGCGGTCTTCTATCTTGGATGGTGAAGTTGCATCGTCAAGCGCATCCAACCGTGATGTGACAATTGGACGGGCTGGAGAGTCGCGTTGAGGTGGGGTAAGGCGGTACGTCGGTGTCGGTGGTGTGAGGATGCCGGATAGAAACGTCTGGAGCTCTCACGACCATGGTGCCATGACGAGTTTTGCTGACATGTGTCGGCACCTCTTCCCGCCAGCGCCGGCGTGGCTGAGCCGTGGCGCGTGCATGTGGCGCGGTGCGGGGCAGCCCTAGGTCTAGGCAGGAACGCCAAACGAGAGTGGGGTCCTCAATTGTCGAATCGTGAGTGAGTGAGTGAGTCAACGACAACACCAAAGGAACGCAGCCCACGCCTCTCCCTGATTCTTTGACCCGCTTAGAATCATCCCATAGTCGCGCGCAATGACTGAGCCAGAGCCACCGGCCGTCGCCGCCCTCTCCCTCGCCGACACAGCGACACAGCCCGTCTCCAAAGCAACAGAACAGAAAATCGACCCTTGGGATGTATCAGCAGGAGTCGACGAGGAGGGAAACGAAAAGGAATTCGACTATGTCGCCATCTCGAAGCAGTGGGCCACAAAGCTCATAGACGAACCACTGCTCGAGCGCTTCGAACGCATCACAGGCCACAAGCCACATCGCTGGTTACGGCGAGGCCTGTTCTTCTCACACCGCGACCTGGAGCTCATTCTGGATACATACGAGCGCGGCGACGACTTCCTGCTGTACACTGGTCGCGGCCCCAGCAGCGACGCTATGCACATTGGCCACACGATTCCCTTTGAGTTCACAAAGTGGCTGCAAGATGTCTTCGACGTCCCGCTCGTCATCATGTTGACCGACGACGAGAAGTTTCTGTTCAAGCAGAAACTGAAGCAGGAGCAAGTCTACGAGTTCTCGCGGCAGAACGCCAAGGACATCATCGCCATTGGTTTCGACCCCAACAAGACCTTCATGTACATCGACTCTGAGTTCTTCTCGTCCGGCTACAACCGACATTTCAGTCTCAACGCTACCGAGTTCGAAAAGCTCATTACCAACAATCAAGTCCGGGGCGCCTTCGGATTTGATGGCTCAACCAACATTGGTAGCAACGCATTCGCAGCCAAGCAATGTGTTGCCGCCTTTGCTTCATCATACCCCTTCATCTGGGGCGAGGATTACAAGACGTACAAACGCTCCAAGAAACTCGCTGCCTTGCCCTGCCTGATCCCCTGTGCCATTGATCAGGATCCCTACTTCCGCTTGGTTCGTGAGAACTGCAACAGGATGGACCTCCCTTCGCCAAAACCAGCCCTCATTCATTCCAAATTTCTCACTTCATTGCAAGGTGCTGGTGGCAAAATGAGTGCATCTGATGCCAACTCTGCTATATACATGAGCGATACGCCAAAACAGATCAAAACAAAGATCAACACCAAGGCCTTTTCTGGCGGCCAAGAGACGCTAGAACTTCACCGCGAGAAGGGTGGAAACCCTGATATTGACGTGCCCTACCAATACATCTCTTACTTTGAAGACGATGACGCCAAACTCACAAAACTAGCTGAGGATTACCGTAAAGGCGAGCTGTTGACCGGCGAGATGAAGAAGGAATGCGTAGACATCATGACTATGTACGTCAAGCAGTTCCAAGAAGCAAGAGCAAAAGTCACAGACGATGTGCTAGACGAATTCCTTCGTCCACGGAAGCTGGAGTGGAAGGGTAACCCCAACCCCACTAAGCCCAAGCTCGAACAGTCGGCCCAGGATGCTGAGAGTGGGGGACCTATGCTTGACGCCGACGGAAAGCCCATGACCAAGAACGCCATGAAGAAGGCGGCTAAGATGGCTGAGGTTGAGCGCAAGAAGAAAGAGAAGGAAGCTGCTGCTGCGGCCAAGCAGTAAAGCAGGTCCAAAACTTGAAATTCTGTTGAAGAAGTAGTTGCACGATACCAATGTACCTATGTCGATATCACCTGCAGCCTATTGATAGCGTCCCGCGGGCACATTGATTACAAGGTTTTCCGAGGGGTACTTTCTGATCAATTACGCGATGTAACATCATGCATCACATCGAGACAATATGCTAACGTGATCCAGACATTGGCAGGCAGCACTGACCGTATTTACTGGGTCCGAATGCGAGATGTATCAGGCGGTTCCAACGAATTTGCTCGTCGCTCCGAGCACTTGGAATGGACGATACAGGGACGGGTCACACTGTGGAGTCTACCGTTCTCTGGCTTTACCAACAATGGTACGCCACTCGCGTGTTCCCGTCCGGCCCGCAACGGGCGATCGTAAAGCTTGAATCTGCTTCGGAATCAACCTGCATTGTTATCACTTGACTATTGGCAACTGGTTATCCGTCGAACTGCCAAGTATTCTTCAAACCACAACGTCTCCAAGACTTGACCGGCTCTCTTTTTGACCGGCTAACAATTTAGTCGGAGGACTCATCGTTTGCTTACTTGACTCTTTGTATTATCCTATGCCGCTGCCTATCGCAAATGTCCACTAGAGGTAGTCATTATGGGGTTCTGCTTAGAATGGCTCGCTCATCTGAGGTCATGCGCATGTCATGCTCTGCGCTCCCTACCCAGGTCGTCAACCTGCGTCACAATGCCTCGTGACCCCACGGTCTACCTATCTCCGCATCCCCGCGTGTACAATATAACTGGGGTATGACAGTCTGCATGTCTTTCTTTTGACTGACTTACACTTCCTCCCCCACTTCCGGTCTCCGTCAAGTCGCACCATTGCTTGAGCCTCCAACTAAGACAACCTCAGACGACGATATCATGGTATCGGCCATGGATCGGAAGCGACACGGTATCGCCGATTTTGATCAGCAGCTGATGTGGCAAGGACACTCAGATCCACTAGATTTCCCCAGCAGAGCGGAAAGTCTGACCCCCCAACCCGCGATATCGAGACTGGAGGTTGCAGACCCGATACGAGAAAGGTCGAATACTTTCATCGAGACTAACAACGAAGCGGAGCGCTCCATGTCGCTCCGCGAAGGCATACATCTCTATCCCAAAGCGATAACGTGGTCGGTGTTATTATCGATGACGCTTATCATGGAGGGCTTTTCGACCATCCTCGTCCCGAATCTATTCTCGATGCAAGCGTTTAGGAAACAGTTCGGTAGTTTGCAGGCGAATGGACGGTACGAAATCAGCGCTGACTGGCAAAGCGCACTCGTGAATGGTGGCTTGGCGGGGCAGATTGTAGGGCTCTTTGCTACAGGAACATTAGCAGAGCGTATCGGGTACCGCTATACGCTCATGGTAGGATTGGTGGCGATGAGCCTGTTTATACTTGTTCCTTTCTTCGCCACAAGTAAGGAGGTTCTGTTGATAGGACAGTGTCTACTAGGCATGCCCTGGGGTATGTTCCAGTGCATATGTACTACATATGCTGCAGATGTCTGCCCAGTGGCCTTGAGGGCTTATCTGACAACGTGAGTATCAGCTGGATCCCACCTTTCAAGATTTGGCGACCATGAGGATTCGGTGTCGCTAACAACTTCAAGTTATGTCAACGCATGTTGGGTACTCGGCCAACTGATAGCATCCGTCGTTATGCGCGGCATGATTGACAACACTACAACCTGGTCCTACCGCATACCCTTCGCCCTCCAATGGATATTTCCGATCCCAATATTCTTCGCCGTCTGCTCTGCGCCTGAATCACCTTGGTGGCTCATCCGTCAAAATCGCCTTGAAGATGCGAGAGCGACTCTGCGCCGGCTGCGCACAAAACCAGCAACGAGTTCGGACGACGAGTTTGAGACAACCCTAACCGGCGCCATGGAGACGATGATACAGACAAACAAGAGAGAAGAACAGACGCAAAGTGGCACAAGTTACAAAGACTGCTTCAAAGGGGTAGATAAGCGTAGGACCGAGATAACTTGCATGGTCTGGATCATCCAGACACTGTGTGGTGGTACATTCATGGGGTTTTCTACGTACTTCTGTAAGACACTCAAGCTGTGTACAATACTACCCGGCTTCTGTATGCTGACTGTTCTTAGACGAACAAGCTGGCCATGGCTCCACCCACGCTTTCACTCTCTCACTGGGCCAATTCGCTCTCGGCCTCATAGGCGTTTTTATTTCCTGGGCACTAATGACGCACTTCGGGCGTCGTACACTATATCTATCCGGTCAAGCGTTAACATTCATCTTTGTGCTGCTCATTGGTGTCCTATCCTGCGTGAACGACTTCGTCGCCGCCCACTCAAAAACGAAAAAGAATCCCTCAGAGATCATCGACCCTCATCCTTCACCGCTGAACTGGACCATCGCAGCGCTACTACTGGCCTTCACACTGGCATACGACGCGACTCTTGGCCCTATCTGCTACTCACTCGTTTCTGAGATCCCGTCTACACGACTCAGGAGCAAAACAATCGTTCTAGCGCGAAACTGCTACAACATCTCTGGTATCATCACGAACATTATCACTCCACGCATGTTGAATCCGACAGCGTGGGGCTGGGGTGCCAAAGCTGGCTTCTTCTGGGCAGGCACAAGCGTACTCGGTATCTTGTGGAGCTGGTGGCGGCTTCCTGAACCTAAAGGTCGGACTTTTGGAGAGCTCGACGAGCTTTTTGAGAAGAAGGTATGCGCAAGGAAATTTAAAAGTACGGATTTTGCGATTGCTGGATTACGCGCTACAGAAGGAGAAAAGAACAGGGTGTAGAAAGAATGTTCAGTACAAGCTAGATGGGCCAGAGCCAGGAACACACGCTATGACGATTCTACGAATTTTTTCGTTTCCGTTAATCAACTGCCAGAGCTTATAAAGCCGCAACCAGGAGTCATGTTGCCGCAACCAATATCAGGGAATTGGTTTCATTTTACATGTATGGTTTGATTGCAACCCTCACAAAGATATGAATACATTTTCAGTAAGCACCTCTTCATGTGCATGCAGCTATGAAATTCTCAGCTTTGCCTCCACCAGCTTCGGCCTTGCCTTATCGCGATGAGAGTGTCAATAATGCTCACCAATTTTCTTCTTACATCCTCAGCAGCCTCCGATAAGCCCAGTCTCCCAGCTTGATCTATCACACTTTGTGTAACGGATGATCGGGTATGGCGAATTATACCTGAAAAGTCCATTCCAGCATCACCGTGCACTGCCATATCCGGACCAAAGTCATAGGCAAGAAAGACAGTAATCTCTTAGCTGACGGAGGCAATATCCAAAGCTCGTAGGCGAGTTCATCTTTCTTCCGAATATTCTAGCATGACCTACCGTCTCCATCTTTCCAAATAAGCAATATCTCGCCGCCCCACCTCTGTCCATTCTGCTACTTCCCTTTCTTCCTTCCTCTTCTTCCTTTCCTCAGTATCTCTCACAATTTTCTCTCCCAGATCTGCAATCATGTTTTCCATGCCTGCTACCGCCTTTCTTCCTTGTGGATACCTTTTCTTCATCTCGTCCAGCAATGAGAACATCTGAACAAAGAGATCCGGAAGGTCTTGAAGCTCCTTTGATATCTCTTCTGGCTTCGTGGGGAAGAAGTCTTTGCGGCATAGTGGGCAGGTACTTGCTCTGTCGAACCAAGATTCGATGCAGGATGCGCCGAAGACGTGAGAGCACAATGGCATTTGTAGAGCATGGTGTGTTGATCCCATGAAAGTCAGGGTACAGGGCTCTGTACATATCGAGCAAGATGGACGGGGTTCGTCTTTGGATGCGCAAAGTCGAGGTTTTCTGGTATAGAGGTAAGTCTTACTGAACGTTTCGCGCGTGTTGCAGAGTGGTGCCATTTTGAATAGTTGTGCAAGAGTACGCAGATGAATATTCTCAAAAATTGTTGCAGGTAGGTGCGGCGACTTGAAGGTGTAAGAGGACATGGCTTGTCAGACGTTTTTGTATCTCCTGGCCATATTCGTCCCATGATTTGGACAGCATAGACTGATGGTCCAAGCTACTTATGTTCGCAACGAGTTGTATTTGGGGATGTAGTTTTTGCGCCAAAACTTCAAGTTGCGAGCGATGTAACTGGCTCGTCTGCTGTGCGTCATCTTACTACCAGTGGATGAAGTGGATCAATGATCCAAGGTTGGCTTTTCTTTATGTTGCCACTCCATTTCCAGACCAGCCCTACAACGCGCAGCTAATACATCAACGCAACAAACGCACATTCACGCAACAACCCTTCCAAAACCAAAGCCCCTAACCCCATTACTAACCCACACTCCCTCCCCAACCTCGACCGTTTCAATTCCCACCGGCTCCTCCATACAATACCCACTTCCTAACGCCCACCTTCGACTCGTTCCCCTCTGCCCACCCGCCCCGACTTTCGCACTCCTCGTACTGTGCCCCCAACGCCCCGCAAATGGCTTCCTCAACTCCCCCTCATCAGCTCCGTCATTCTTCAAGGTCTTACTCGTGAACTCGCCAGATGGCACGCCCACAGGTGGTGTCACCCACCGTCCGCCACGGAAGAGGTAGAGAGATGTTAGTGTTCCTTCTGTAAGTTCGTTGACTTCGTTGTAGAGCATTACTTCGCGATAGGCCGGGCCGGCGGGGTTATCAGGTAAGGCACGTTGACGAGATTGATCGTACATTTCGCGCTTTGTGGTCTTCAGTAATGTGAACGGTGAGGAAGGTGTTGGCTCGGTGTCCAGCTTGATCTTCCATTCTGGCGGAGCAGGTGGTGTTGATGTGGCGGCCGGAAGGGTGTCCGAGGGTCCGAGACTGAGGGCGCCGCCTGTCAAGGGAGAGGGCTTAAAGGTGTCGGCGGGGTGTTGTTGAGTTCCTGAATTTGGTGGATGTAATGATGAGGGGTATAGTGTGGACAGTGGTACAGCGGGTATGGGAGTGAACTCCACAGTCAGGTTGGCGGCTTTGTCGAACAAAAGTCGAAGCTACATAATCTTAGTCCTATCGCATAATGTCTTGGTGCTATCTATACCTTCATTGCTTCATCCTTTCCTGTCTTCCTGACCTCTTCTTGTACCTGTCTGGATAATTCGTCGTGCAAAGCTTTCCCATCTTTGAGTCGTTTTTCGACCTCGAAGAAATCAAAGTGCTGGGCGGCTTCAACCATGCGATCTCGGTGATACGCAAGCATATAAAAAGGCGAAGGTGTTACAAAGTTCAGGATCGTCCTTGAATTCTCGTCCGATCTGAGAAGCAACGGATCATATCGCAAGGATGTGAAGAGCTGGAACTCGTTCTTGTTTTCGGAATCCATGATGCGTGACTGGTGAGGAGAATGATTGTTTGTCAATGTTACCACGCTGCCCAGATGGTGGATCCAGTTTGTAGATAGAGTTTGGATTTGGATACCCGAACTTAGTATACACTTGCCCTGGATATGGAACTTTGGATGTAGGACAGATGTGCTGTCATCGATGGTGGGTCATGCAATCGATCAACCAATCCTTTGTGGGCGGGGGCTGACCCGCATTCGACGCCGAAGCTAGCTCATTGGTTGACTCAGCTACTTCACAGCAGCATGCATTGTGTACTTCATATTCATGCTTGCTACGAGTAGCTTCTTCTAGTGTCTATTCAGTCGAAGTGTTTACAAAAGATCATGTCGTTTCTAGATGACTGTGTTTGAAAATGATCTAGGTATACGAGCAGGCATGCTGAACTTTGATCGTCCATGTCGGAAACAACTCATTAGTAGACCCAAAGATACCCAATTACACAGAACAGGAGCCAAGGAGAACCCGACAACTAATAGCCATTGGCCCGGTGGAGACTCCGCTGCGATCCACGAAGAACTGTTGACTACTACAAAAGGGAATCGAGTATCTGTGTGGAAGGTCTGTTTCGGGACTTTGTACCGAAACCGTTGTGAGAGACAGGTTCAGAGGAGGGGTGATGTTAGGCAGATATTAAGCTGATTTAGGTCAAGGTGCAATGAGTCTTTATGGATCTGCGCGCTGTGTATCCATAGGACGCTTGACCTCATTTCTTCTCGACGCACACAATACTGTTGCAGGCCCGTATGAAGGCTGGATTGGCGAGGAACGATACATGAATATGAAGGCCAAGGTATCGTCGATTCGCAAGAGCATCCCGGCCCTCACCGGTCAATGCGACAGACTATGGATGCTAGCTGTACTCTACAAATTCAATCGGAGTGCAGAACCAGTCGTCACCTCTGGCGTGACTTCGCGACGGGTCTTTGTGTCCGATGCCAAGATGGCTGTGCAGATGCAGCAAGTGGATTGTAGAATGACCGATTTTTGGCTGACCTCTCTGATGCATACCCGCGTGGCGCGCCGTTGGTTGTAGCAGATTCGAGAGCATCAATGACAGCCCCAGCCTCTGCACGTATGTCTAGGTATTTGGCAGGGATCAGAGGGGCTTGTACATGTAATCTCAAGCTTCCCTTCAGATCTAGTGTCCGGCCTGCACCTACCCTGGCCATCAAATCTGCCCGCTGCGGCACAATCTTGGGTTTGGCGAACTTGCCAGTCTCGTCGTATCCGCGCGCCTTGAGCTCGTCGACTACAGCATTGCGTAGCCGCCGTCTAGCCCATGTTCTTATACAACTGGACTTGGCCAAGTCAGCGCTGGCCGTGGCATGCCACCATAGTCCCTCCTCCTTCTTCTCGGCCTGTCTGCGGCGCTGCGTCTCGTAGAGGGGATGCGAGGGGTCGGTTGCAACGTGATGGGAGACGAGACTTTTGTACGCTGGGGTGTAGTAGGCTTTGAACGTCTTGGGCGTCTGCTTGGCGATGAGTGACGAGGCACTCATGGCTTTCCCATGCCTCATATGCACGGTGACGTAGGGTGAAAGAAAGACAGGTGGGGGTGAAGTTGGAAGCACTCGAACCGCAGATGGATTGATTTGGGTGAGCGACGACGTGCTAGGCCACACCGGGACTAGGGTGTGCTGTTAGCGCTTAATGTCGAAGGCTCCCACAGTGAGTCGGAATCCACCTGTGCAAACAACCGGGTCCGCCACTACATAAAGACTTGCGCCCTGCGAAGCTCCTACCGCAATCACAGTCCACTCCTCCACCAACACACCACCAAACTTCGACTACCGCCAATATGCCCAAGAACAAGGGAAAGGTACGTCAACACTCTATTTGGAGGGGGCGACATCCCCCACCACGACTCTCACCGCGATGACGCCCAAACCTCAACACGCGCTAACGTACATCTCAGGGAGGTAAAAACCGACGTAGGGGTAAGAACGAGAATGACAACGAAAAGCGCGAACTCGTCTTCAAGGAGGAAGGCCAAGAATACGCCCAAGTCGTCAAGATGCTTGGAAACGGTCGTCTAGAAGCCCAGTGCTTCGACGGCGCCCGTCGTCTCGCCCATATCCGCGGCAAGCTGAGGAAGAAGGTCTGGATCAACCAGGGTGACATCATTCTCCTGTCGCTGCGAGACTACCAAGACGAGAAGGGTGATGTGATCATGAAGTACTCTGGTAAGTCGCATACTGCACACGCAGCAAACACTGTGAGATACGGTTACTAACACGCGCACAGCCGACGAAGCCCGTTCATTAAAAGCCTATGGCGAGCTCCCAGAAAACGCAAAGATCAACGAGACAGACACTTACGGCGACCAAGGCGACGAGGGTATCGGTTTCGAGTTCGACGAGGATCGCGACGACAGCGACTCGGACGAGGCCGACGGTACCGGCAAGAAGGAGATTGACATTGACGACATTTGAGGGGGAGGAGTTGAGATCCGCCATGCTGTCTCGGCTCTTGCTTCGCGGCTGCTGCTTTGCTGTGGCGGGGGCCGGGCTGCTCAAATGCTGCTTCTTGCGAGCGGGCGGATGGTTTGAGAGGTGCCGAGGAATACACGATATCATGTAAACGACGAGTGCATTCGGCACGTTTCCTTTTCCACGATTATGGGTACTGGGTACCTTTTTACATGCATCATGGGATAGAGGAATGATACATCCATAATCTTTGTCCAAATTCCCATTTGCCAACATCTTCGTCCCAGAGTCCATACTACCCGACAAGCTAACTAAAGTTCTGCCACTGAACTTCTTCATACACGGAGCGATTCAAGAACCGATGGATCCTCCTCCCAACATCCGTCCCGATCAACCAACAAATTTCCCTCTCCTGCATATTCGCCACCTCATAAATACTCTCACTCTTAAGCATCAGTTGCGAAACCGCATTCTCATTGATCCCCGGCAGCGCCCTCAACATATCCTGACTCGTCTGGTTAAAGCTGCGCATCTCGTCTCCACTTTGATTCGGATCGAGACCTAATTGCACCGCCTTCAAAGGATCAGGTTCATCTTGCGCCTTCTTCAGCTCAGAGAAGATCTCGGCCGTCTGGTAAGGGCTGCTACTCCATATTATCCTCAAGCGGGGGAAGGCGAGCGTTAACATGACGAGTTTGGATTGGAGATCGGGTGTCGTCGCCGACGCGTTGGCAGAAGCAGCGCTACCAGCAGAGAAATCAGTAAAAGGTTCGAGAGTAAAAGACTTGTTTTGGTCAAACTCGATGAGCAGCATGGGGTGTTTGTAGTGTTCCATCATGGACTCTACTTGGTTGAAGAGACGGCCGTTGGCAAACGATTGGATGAGATCGCGGATGGATTTCCGCTCGATGCAGATCTGGGGTGTGAGAACATAGTCGCCTACTGTTAGCATGCAGGGCACGATGACAATAGATCGGCCGTGTAGCAGGGATGGGAGTGAGGACCGGAATTCTCGCACATCGACGACGACACGGGGAGGTTCGGCGGTTGCGGCGAGACGGCCTCCTCCTGCGATCCTGGTGTTGATCGTGCGGAGGAATGACTCTTCTGGAGCGAGGTTCGCAGTCGAGTTCATTGTTAAAGCCATGTTTGCACGTTCTTTGATCAGCCGCGTAAAGGCGTCTTTCTCGCGACGGACGGCAGAGAGATACCGTTGTTCTTCTACACTGCCCCCGTAGTACATGAAGAAGACTTTTACCGTTCGGTCTGTATGTGACGATCGGTATACTTCTATGCGTCGGATGAATGCTGCGTCGGGCTCATACATGATGACATATCGGGGCTTCGTCTCGTCCAAAATGTGTTCATCCAGATCCCCAGAGTAAGGATGTACGATAATCAGGTCGTTCACATCAAAGAGTTCATAGTAGGTTTCCATGTTGTCCAGGGGGTCGAAACCTACTTCGCCAGGCTTCTGCGCTGTTTCAATCTCAGAAGGTTCCAATTCAGCCATGAGACTAGCAATGTGGGCGTCTTTATCTCCCGCAGTACGGATGGCTCCCGTATCGGATCTCGATGGTCCTGCTGCAGCATTTCCACCGCCTCTGATGCGGCGCCGCTTGTTAGGCGGAGGTTTACCGGAAGTCTGGCGCATGCCGCTTTGAACATTCTTATCTGTACTGCCGTTGATGGCTTTCTGGTTCTCCGAGAATAACGCGGCACTGACTTTACTGAAATCGCGTTTCCAAGTAAGGTAGTTGCGTAGCTTACGCCGCATCATAAAGTTCGCCGATGGCTCGTATTCGTTCTCGTCCTCGTCTGGTGAACCCTCTGGCTTGACGTACATGGTCTGCAGATACTCTCTTAGCTGTGACGCTGTGCCCTGGTCGCCGCACATGATGAGTATAGAGCCATTGGATGAGTCTTGCGGCGTTGGGTTAAAGTAAGCATCCTGTTCAATCTCCTGAAGAATTTCTGCGAGCTGCGTCCACTTGGGAAATTCTTCGAGCACTGGCTGAAGAGACTCTGGTACAGTATTCGAAGCATTGGCTAACTCAGTATTGGACACCTTGCCTGTGTATACCCTTCGCTTTGCGGTGGTGAAGATGGTGTCAGCTGCATCTAGGAAAAGCCATGGAGATTGATTTTGCTTCGTTGATCCCGGTGGTGGCTGCGAGGCTGCCAGAACAGTGTCGAGATACTTGTTGAAATTTACCGCATCATACGTAAGAAGCGCGTGCAGAATGGTACGAAGCAGCGACAAATCTCGGACGACCTGTCGCGTCTTGTACGTTGTGCGATGCCAGACGGGATCTAGTTGACGTCGGATGATCTGATCGAAGTTCTTGTGTAAGGCACTGTCTACGTTCCAGTCTTCCACTTCCAAGCCTGGGTTCGCTTTCTTGAGCTCGCTGATACTGGCCTCGACGCAGGCTAGTACCGCGTTCTGTATGTCCTGCATAGCTTCCGTCATGGGCACTTCCAGCTCAATAACTTCAGCTTTCTTACGTCCTTCGAGCGAATTTGCGACTGCAACGTGGAATCTTGGATATAGTGCTGGTTTCGTCAAGAACAGGTTCTTCATCATGTTGGTGAGCGGAGCGAATCCAGTGGTGAAGGGCTCCGGCGTATCCGAGAATGCTTTCAAGAAGCCTGCCTTGTTCTTCTGCCGATAAATCCTCAGAATGAAGGCTTCCAGAGATGTCGCAACAACTCTTTCAGCATGTAGTACCACCACACCCGTCACCGTCTCTGGATTCAGCAGCCCAGACAGAAAGTCTACAATGAGGATGCGTGACGTTATACTGAATATCCCACCTTGCGCATACATCTTCTCGCGCGTTCCAACGCTCATCAGATCGGTATTGACTAGACTCAGCCCACGACACTTGGGCGCATTACTGACTGCCGCATGCTCGGCCAGCGCCTCGCCAATCCACACATTCTCGCGATCGTCGGCGCCAACGAGTAGTATCAGGTTGTTTCCGGCGGCATCGTAGGAGTGGAGAAGGTTCGTGACTATGCGCAAGAGGCCGAGGCCGCGCGCAAGAAGGACGAGCTCATCTTCCTCGCGCAGTTCATTGAAGATGTCCTGTTGGAACTCCTATGATGTCATCAGCACGCTGTACGCAAATGTTATAGGTTAAGCGTACGAGAGGCAACGAGAGCTTCACGGGGGCTTGCGCATCGCTGGGCATTGGGTCTTGCTCCGACGGTCGTGGTGGGGCGAGATGGAGGTTTGGGGTAGATGCGCGTTCCAAGCTTCGCGAAACCCACTCCAGGTCACGAGATCGACGCCTCGCTATAACACTGAAATTCCATCACGTAAAGACACTCCATAAACAACATATTTCACCACTACTATCCCGAAAACAAAACATTGGTGTCTTAGCCTGTCTCGGATTTCAGTGAGTCCCAGATGTTGTTTGGAAGCGTAGATTCGTGATACAGATAAATATACAATGGCGAAATGAAAGTCGTCTGGCGTTGGCCGGCTACTTCGCGCTTTCTCTGATCTCTGCTTGCCTTCTCCGGCTTTCAGCAGCATATGCGTCCCGTTCCTCTCTGCGGAGCTGCTGTTCCGCCTCTGACCTCTTCGCATCCATTTCCTTCTGTGCAGCCCAGACTAATTCCGTTAGCGCGATCCTGGTGATGACTGCAGAAGAAATACTGACTTGGTTTGTCTGAACGCGAAGCCTCCTTCAATTGACCAACAAATGCGTCAAAGTCCTTCTGTCTCTGCTCCCTTCCTGCAAGAGCCTTCTTCTGCAGCTCCGGACTATACCTCTACACGGGATATAAGCAGCTGTTTGGCGTATGCACGTGGCAAAGTATACATACCTTGAAGATTTCTTCCTCGGTTGGTGTAACATACCATACGAGCGCAGGGCCCCCTATTACAAGAATTGCGCCTCTAAGTTTAACATTAGCACACTCCCGTAGGCCTTCGTAAGGCAAACATACCCGGAGATGGCTTTGATGTAGGTTGACATAGAAGGCATGACGATTTCTTGGTGATGTTCAGAATCTCTCTGAAGGTATCTTGTAAGGTCCCGTTGTAGCTGTGGCCTTTGAATCAGAGTATCGGGGTCGTTGGTGGAGTCTTGTGCAGCTAGGGTGGTGAAGTCGACGATCCACACAAGTGCCATGGATTGTTCATCGAACGAAGCTAGCTTGACGCGCCGGAAATCACGTGTGCTTGCACCGCCACTGTGGCTGCATCAGCCGGCAGTGGGTCTCAAGTGCTTGCAGGCGGCGAACGCTTACCCGAGGCTGAGGGACAGCGATCAGCATCGTCGTCTGCGCGTTCATTGGTAGGCTGTTCTTAGACTGCATGATGTGTATGATCTCCAGCGGCTCTGCGACTTGGTCCGTATAGGGACTGCGTGACACAGACTAATTGGGTTGTTTTGCGCAGGGCTGATACTGATCATCATGTCGATTTCCCAGTCGCTCTAGCTGACGGTGTTACTCAGGTGTCATTCGCAAATGCCTCATTTAATCTACTCGCATGCGAATGCAATTTAACAACGACGATTCGCGTGCTCGGGAATCCCAGTCGTCTTGGGTTCGCGTTTCAAAGCCGAAGGAAGCTAAAGCGGGACCTTTTCTTATTCATTTCCTGGGTTGCACCAGCGCTGGGTGGCAGACTGGGTTGAAACGCAAGATCGAACTAATTAGAGGTCACCCCGTGTTTGAGGACGGCAGCGGCAGCCCCCAATTGGCGTTGCTTTGTAGAGCATGTGCAAGTGACGGTTCTACTATTGACATTCTTCCTTCAACACCTCGACTTTCACCTTCGTAAGGTCTTCCTGGTTCTTGGTGGCCATATGACCGTTCTTTGAGTTTGTACCACCCCTGTCAACCTTGCAAGCAACACACAGCCCGGTTCACAGCCAGCTCGGCCAACGGCAAACCCACGTCGACTACCAGCCTACGCTACGTACAAGCCTAACGAGCTCCGGCTCTAGAGAGATTGCACCCCAGGTGCCTTTAAGAGCTGCAGCCCCGCCGGTCGGACGCGATCACCATCGCTCACTAGCCTCTTCACAGACAGCCTCGGGTTAGGCTTCTCCGATAACGCCGCCGTCATGGCGCATCGACAACAACACGACAATTACGCGCAGCCGCAGCAGCAATATTACGACCAAGGAAGACCACAGCAAAGACAGCAGCAGCAGTACCAGAATTACGACAACCACTATGACCAGCAACAATACTACGACTACGACTACGGCTATGACCAGGGCGGCAGTGAGCAATGGAATAATGGCCATTATGACCAGCAGCAAGGAGGGTGGGGCAATGCGCAGCAGCAAGGTGGCTACCAAGATGTGAATGGGTACTCGAGACCAGCGCAGCCAAATCAGGGCCGCAGACACCTGCCGCAAGACCAGTATTACCAGGAAGAAGCGTACAATGAGCCCTACTATCAGCAACCACCACCCCAGCAACATCAAGGTAGAAGACCACCGCCTCAGAGCCAGCGTCCTCCGCAGCAGCGACAGGCTTCGCGAAGCCGACCAACAGGTCGAGGAAATGAACCGCCGTCCAACCCACAACAAGGACGTAGTGCGTCGAGACCACCAGGTATGTCCCCAAGTCCTGATTTTTCCATGTGGCGAGGACGGCATATTACACGTCTACATGACAACATCGCGTACTAATTACTATCAACAGGCCTGGATCGTTCACTCTTTCAACCAACATCGCCTAAGACTCTTGCTTATGACAACCCCTTTCCGACTTTCCCGACGCAGAAGTCGCAGCAAGGTGGCTCGAAACCTCTCGACCAGAGCATGGCACAAATGAAGATCAAGGACAGCGGAGGACAAGCGAAGCCTGCGGGCTCATCTGGGCGAGGACAACATACGCCGCCTCAGAACCGAGGCCCACCACAGCAGAGGTCGATGCCTAATCCCCGGCAGGACTCAGGGCATTTTGAGGGCCAGGGCCAACGCCCTGTCCCTAACCGGATGCCATCTGGACAGCGACCACCACCCATGAATGTCGATGCTGGTAGAGGACAACAACCACATCGCACATCGGATCCCATGTCGCCTTCGAGGCGAGCCTTCGGCCCAAATACACAGCGATCTGCAACGATGCCTCACACAACACCAAGCGGAGGCCAAGGGGCCGGCTACAGTGGTCGACAAGAATTTGCCGAGCCTGGTGCTGTGTCCGGCTACTATGGGCCTGTATCACCAGATTACATCCCTCCCAGGCCTTCAACTGCGGGTGGTGTGAAACAGAACGGACCTCCAATGCAGCATGGGCAAAGGCCTCCTATGCCTCAGGTGCCACAACAACAGCCACAACCGCAATACCAGCCCCAAGCCCCGAACCAGCAGCAACAGGCTCACAGCGAAGAACAAGGGCTAGACAACTTTTACGATGACTATTATGGACAGGAAGACTCAGCGATAGACATGCCCAATTTCGATGCTATCCCGGAGACCAACAACAGGCATCGGAGAGGCGATTCAATTGACAACCACTTGTCACCGTCCCATGACCTGAGCGCTTACGCTCCGCCAGCTGCTTCTCAAGACATGGGGCATAACAACCACCAGGGGCAGATGCAGCGAAGCCGGTCACAACCTGATCTCAACGGGCAGTATGCGAATGGCGTACACGAAATGGCTGCAGATGCCCCTCCAATGCCAGGTGTGCCAAGAGCAAACACTGGCTTTGGAGGGCCCAATGGTTTGCCGAATGGCGTTCGAGGACGACAACCGCCTCAGAGGGGCATGGCGCCTGGTGGCATGCAGGGCGGACCGCCTCATCAAGGTCCAATGCATGGCCAACCGCCCAATATAGACCCAAGATATGGGCGTCCTCCACCTGGGCCTCAGAGGGTCTACTCAGACGACACTACCTACTCAGAACCACCTCCGAACACAACGAGGAACTTCGCGTCGCCCGCACCCGGAAACCCTATCCAACGACCAGGAACAGCTGCGCCCGCACCAAGTCGCAATCCGAGCGACCCAATGGGCAGAAGACCTGGTACTACTCAACCGCCATCGAACCCAGACGCATTACCGGCGCATCCGATGCCTGTACGACAAGGTCTCATGCAGCAACAGCCACAGGTACCGCAGCCCCAAGCGCCTCAAAATGCAAGGCCACCACCCGTCAGACAATACAACAGTGAACCTGGGCGTACCAGCTACGAAAGCAACCCATCCACACAGCGTCACAGTGGACAAGGTGCAGTGTCACACCCTGTCACCTACGATGAGCTAAACAGGCTGCGCAACACATTTAAGCAAAATCCGTCCGATGTTGTTACTGGTCTGAAACTATCGAAAAAGCTTGTAGAAGCATCGAGCGTACTCATCGATGAAGGAGGTACAGCTGACTCTAGGACAAAGAACAAAAATCGCGAGAAGTTTATCCTCGAGGCTCACAAGATCATCAAGAAGCTAGTCAGCAACGGTTCCCCAGACGCCATGTTCTATCTCGCCGATTGCTACGGGCAAGGATTGCTTGGTCTGCAAGTAGATACAAAAGAAGCCTTCACGCTCTATCAATCAGCTGCAAAGGGTGGCCATGCTGCAAGTGCTTATCGAACAGCCGTTTGCTGCGAGATGGGCCACGAGGAAGGCGGTGGCACCAAGAAGGATCCCCTCAAAGCCGTACAGTGGTATCGACGTGCTGCTGCATTGGGAGACACACCTGCGATGTACAAGATGGGCATGATTCTCCTCAAGGGGCTCCTCGGCCAGCAGAAGAACTTTGGCGAAGCCATCAACATGCTCAAGCGAGCCGCCGATCGAGCAGATCGAGATAATCCTCACGCGCTCCACGAATTGGCACTTATTTACGAAGCGCAAACAGGCAATGAACGGATCATACGCGACGAGGCATATGCATTATCGCTCTTCCACCAAGCAGCCGATCTCGGCTACAAGTTCTCTCAATTTCGTCTCGGACAAGCGTATGAATACGGACTTCTGGGCTGCCCTATTGACGCGCGCACGAGCATAGCTTGGTACACTAAAGCAGCTGCTCAGGAAGAACACCAGAGTGAACTCGCACTTTCGGGCTGGTACCTCACGGGTACATCTGGTATCCTCGAGCAAAGCGATACTGAGGCTTATCTCTGGGCACGGAAAGCAGCGTGCGCAGAGCCACCATTGCCAAAAGCGCTTTTCGCCATGGGCTACTTCACCGAAGTGGGCATAGGCTGCCCACGGAGTTTGGATGAGGCGAAACGGTGGTATGGACGGGCTGCAGGTATGTTTCTAAAACTTTGTGTTATATTGCGAAGGAGAATACTAACCTTCTTGTAGCGTATAAATTTCCCAAAGCTCAAGAGCGACTTGAAGAACTCAAGCGTGGTGGAAGCAAAGTCCAGATGAAGCGAGAACGTCTTAGTCGGACGAATCAGAAACAACAGGAGGAGAATTGCATCGTCATGTAAAGGTCTGTCGTGCTATCATCTGGATGGGTTTCTCTCTCGCAATGCTCATGTGCATCTGTTTAGTCCAGCTGGCGTTTGGCATGGCGTTCAGTTCCAAGCATTTACGGCGCTGCTGTCCTATAGTTTGCATCAAGCGAGTAAAATATTCGCTACTCATTACCTGCGAGCGCTACTTCAAGGCAGTGGTTTTACGACTGTCGCATCATCTACGGCAATATCATCCATCTCCCTTGCAAACGCCTCAATTCTACCCAGTTGCCCTATGACATTCTTGATCAACGGCCATCTATCACATCCCAATACATATATGCCCCACAGCTGCGCCTGCAACACCTGAGGCAAAAGGCACACATCTGCCATGCTTACCGCATCACCCACACTATACCTTCCCCCGTACTTCCCCACCATCGTCTCATAAGCATCAAAACCCTCATTCAGAGCTCTCTGTATGAATTCTCGCTGCCCATCTTCCGTCGCGCCAGCAACCTCTCGCAATCTCAATCCATTTCTCCGGTTCGCAAAAGGAAACATATCTTGCGTCACTATCGCTACTAACTCTCTCACCCTTGCTCTCTCCTCTGGTTTAGACACGTGCGGCAACAACGGACAAACTGACGGGAATGTTTCATCCAGATACTCCAATATGGCTGTGGACTGCGTGATCACGAAGCGTGATTTTGTGAAATGTCCCGATGATGTTGTTTCGTGGATCAGGGCGGGTACCGCGCCGCTGGGGTTTATGGCGAGATACTCTTTTGTTCCGATGGTGGTCCTTGAGTACTTGTCTACGTCATGAGTACGGACGTTGGGTACGCGTTTTAGACATAGGGCGATGCGGACTCGGCGCGCACATGACGACCCTGCACGGTTGTAGAGGTGGTATGTCGAAGTGGTGTTTCGTGTTTCCGGCATGGTGAAATGTGTTGGATGTTGAAAACTCCCTGTCAGACTTCTGACGAATTCTGTTCTCAATTAAAATGATAAATACTCTGACACCAGATCAGAGCAGAACGAATTGATTAGTCTTCTAAGATCGGCGACATGAGTGAAGTGTCGGCCAAGCCGCTAGGCTCACAACTATCTAGCGCCCGCTGCTACCTACCTCTACTGCACCTAGTCACCATTCGCGTCACGTCCCTCTTAGCTGTAACTTCAAGCCACGCCGCGCAAGTACGGGAGCCATCATGCTTCCACCTATTGATCCTACAGTGCTACAACGCAATCCCAACTTCGAAATCTTGTACAAGGATCTTTGCACCCGAAAGCTCAACCCTAATGGCTCGACGAGAGATACGAAGAAGCAGCGCGTGCATGATGAAATACGAAAGGTAGTGATACTTTCAATGTCGCATATTCAAGATTGCGAGACTTGTCCTCGATCTTTGCGGTCTCTTCTTGTTCGGGGTACCCAATGCATAATTCTGTGTTCTGTCGTTTATGAAGGTTACGTCAGATCGGCTATCAACAGCTACTCTACCCTTTTGTCTTTTCATACTTCTTTACTTTCATGTAGTTATGCTGTATCCTAGCGTCACTCTTTCATGCTGACAGGTACCTAGACCTTAATCTCCGCCCTCACAACCTTGCATACAACTCAAATCCTCACAACATCATTGTCAACCCTTCCATCAAAAGCTATGGATCTCCCACCAGACCTCCACGCGGTTATAGAGATTGTGACTGCGCAATTGAATGGTCAAATCTCAGCATCGGATCGAGACATCCTCTCCGGCGACATCGGTTTCTTCCATTCAAACATAGGCCTCATCGCTTCCGCTCTATCAACCCAACTCGTCACCATAGCAGACTACCTCTGCATGATCGCATCCCCATCATCCGTACCACCGATCTCCTCACTAGCAAATATCGCCCAGACTCTTGAAAACTCCGCTACAGAGTCCCTGCCCAGTGACCTCCAGGCTGCAACTACGCATCTAACAAACACCCTAACAACACTACTAAACACGCACTCTACCCTCCTCTCAACCAGCATCAAAATCCTTGAGCAAACCCAACAAGGCGCCTTAGCCCGACACACCAAATCATCCGCCGAACTCCTCCAGACGAAAGCCGTCTTACTTGGTCTACAGGCTAAGATCCATACTCTACTTCATCCTCCACCACCGGAATTTGTGGATGCGCTGAAAGAGTATAGGAAGGGATTGGGTGGGGGTAAGAGGGCGCTATGGGATCGGGAGGCACTGGCAAGGCGAGAGTTGGAGTTGTACGGGAAGGCTGGCGAGAAGGGGATGAGGGATTTGGCGAAAAGGAAGAAAGGTTTGGTGGAGGAGGCGGAAAGGATTGAAGCGGAAATCAGCAAGCTACAACGTGGAGAGTGAAGGTGGTATGGGTAAGTTCGAGGGTCGAAAGCGTTGTAGCGTAGGAATCAAGTACACTGCGATGCGTGCGATTGTGAGGTATGGTACTGTGTACCCACGCTGGTGTGTCAGGCCAGGTATCTCAGTAATACGTGCCTGATCGTCTACCTCAACAAGCGTATTACCACAGCTTCCTTCCTCGAATCTATAATGAACCAGCACTGCAAAGCATATATCCCATCTTACCCTCCATCAATAGAAGATTTCCTTTTCACAAATAACCTCATACTGCTCATCTATCAATTCACCCTCCCCTTCTATCCCTCCACTCCAGATTTTCTTCGCTCCCATCTTACATATACAAACTCTATCCACTCTAACCCCTTCCGCCCAGATAAAACCCTTATATTTCTCGATCAAACTCCTAGCATCAAAGCGCATCCAGCTTTTGCCATCTGGGCCATGGCCTTCACCGGTTGGACGTGGTTCTTCTGCTGTCGAGGCATCGAGAGATGCGGTGGCTTCGTTGCCATCTAGAGAGCCCGCTGTGGATGCAGTTTCATCTTCTAGGTTGACGTCGTTGATTAGGGTGTTTTGAGTGTCTTCGCCATTATTGTGGTGGTGGGGCAAGACTTTGTGTTCCATGTGCTTCAAGCCACCTTTGAGTCTTTGGCTCTTGGGTCGCCCCCTTCCATGCTTCCTCGGCTTCGCATAGATTGTGTTCATTATCGTTGCATGTAATCTCAATGGTCTAGTGTCCTCCACCAGTAGTCCCTTCTCTGCGAACTGTTCTCGTAACGCCGCAGCAAAAGGCTGTAAGCGCTGTGATGGGTCTTGAGGCTCTGCGTACAAAATGCTTGTCTTATGTGGTGCTTGCATGGGAATCAAAGATCCGAGGTTGATCGTCAAAGCGTCTGTGTCGGGCATGGCTGCTGCATTGAGGTTTTCTGCTATCTCGCCACATTCGGCAGCCTTTTCTGCCACGCGTCGATGGGTGATGTCGCGAAGGAGGATGTGTAGGTCCAAGTCTTGCAGATTTTGCTTCACTTCTTCTAATTTTAGGGGAGAGAGACTCATTACTCCCAGCGTTAGATGCAACGTGCCAACTGGCCGGACAGCCTTTGTGGGTACCGGGCCATCATTTGCTAGGTCTTCCTTGAATTTCTCCAGTCCTTTTTGCAGTTGAGGTTTGCTCGCATCGGTGACCAAGGGAAGGCATAAGAAGTGTGTGAGTTGTGGTTTCTTTGCTCCGCCTTTGGTTTGGTTCTTGCTACCTGTATGCTTTTGTTGTCCGAGCGATGGTGAAATATCTCTTGCCGCGAAGCCCTGCAATGTCGTTCTGATTTCGGTGTTGTCGCGCAACTTCTCGCCATCTAGGAAGTCATTGTATTCGCCTTTTGATTTCTTCTTGCCCATGATTGGTGATGTAGTATAGGATGCGGTATGAGAATATTGAGCTATAGTCGACTGTCGAGAATGACAGGCAACTCTGTTCTTTCGTTGGTAGCGAGTAGTGGTGTGCGCGATAGCAGTTGTGGTAGTAGCGCCGCGACTGATTGGTCCAGAAGCAGTCTGACGTAGAATGGTCGCAAAGAGCATAAGAAGTCAGAAAAGTTGTGCAAAAGCGAGAGTGGTTGAACGAGCGTTTCAAAGGAAGAGAAAGTGGGCAAAATCAGGCGCGCCTCACTAAACGCCACATGACAAACGGCAGACCGGCAAGGCTACAAGAACGGAACCGAGAAAGGACCTTACGATGGAACCACTCATGGTGTTGACTTTTCTTGGGGTCTGGAAAGTCAGCCTATCACACGCGGTACCAAGTCCGGCAAAGGCCATGTGCAAAAGGTGACGTAGGTCCCGAAGGTGGGGTGAGTGACATGCGCCCGCCGCTGGGCGCTCGTTCGGCCCTTCAGCGGTAGGGCTGAGGAACAGTGGATGGCACATGTCTGCAATTTAAGGAAGGGTTAACATTTATTCATATTCTATGCAATGCGATCAGACAGGAATAGAAAAGATTGAGGACAAGCTATGTAGAGTACTGTAATTTCCTCGCTGGCCCGATGACGACATGTACACAAAAAGCGTTCCGAGGAACGTGAGAGAGGCATGTCGCACAGGAAAAAAGTTCGTCAAGGTTGAGGAGTGATTGTAGGGCGCGAAGCCGTAGTCGAATGTCGCTCGTTGGAGCGTGCGGTCCGAGGCTTGGCTGCTACGATGCCGTCTCCTCCAGCTGAGCGTGGCGAGTGCGAGATGGTTGCTCGCGCCGTAGCTCTGGCTAAATTGCGCCCTAGGCCTTTGCCTTCGCGGGCGGCTCTTCTGCCTCATCGTCGTCGTCGCCTTTGTCTTGGTAGAACTCCTTCAGAATCTCCTTGACGTCGGTGAACTCTGTCTTGGCCTGCTTGATAATCTTGGCCAGGTTCTCCTGCGCCTTCTCCTCGGTGATGTCTTTTGTGCCTGCGTCGTCCTTGAGCTGGCCGTAGTGTTGGATCTTCTCGCACGAGTCCTTGACTTTGGTGAGGCCGAGCGTGGCGGACGAGCCCTTGAGGAAGTGACCTAGCTCGCTAAGCTCCTTGAGATATTTGCCTTCCTTCTTCTCGCTGTTATGGCGTTAGCCATCGCATTCGCCATGTGGCGGCATTGCGCACGCAAGCACGCCATGGTGATGCCCGGGCAGACAAAGGGGCACTCACAGCTCCTTGTCCATCTTCTTGAAGGTCTGGTCTGCCTGGCCAAAGAAGTCGTAGACGATGCTTTTGCTGAACTCGCGCTCGACCTCATCCTCGTCCATCTCGAGAATCTGCTCAAAGGTGGCTGGGTCGATTTGGTCTTCCGCACCAGGGATCGACATGATGTCGCCGCTCTGTAGTGAATTTCTTAGGTTAGGCGGTTAAGCTATAGGCGCGCGTTGCGATGTGTACAGCAGGAGGGTTGACACGTGCGGAGAATTGCAGGACATGGAGGGGCGCAGGCAGGAGCAAAGCAGGTAATGGAGGGGCAACACGAACCTTGTCGTCGGTAACCGACATTTTGAACAAGACCGAACAGCAAATCCGGGAAACAGAAAGCCCTCTTCAACCTCGAGGTAATGCTGTCGACACCTTCGTGTACTGGTCTCGCAGCGTTTCAAAGACGTGGGCGCGACGGATATTTTTTCGCGCCTCAGTAGTGGACCGTGCGGATGTCCGATTCACTGGCTGTGGCTGGATCTAGCTTAGTGAATGACGAAAGGGTCGGCCCGTTGTTGCTGTGAGCGCCGTTATTAGAGTTGTCGTCTTCTGCAAAGAAGAGTGGTTACAGACGCAGGGCAAGGGGGGAAAAATGCGAGTGTGACTGTTATTGTCTGCCGAACTACTACGTACAGAGGCCTTAGTTTAGTCAACCCCCTCTGCTCGTTTAGGTTGCTAAAGCCTCCACGGATCGGTTGCCGAGAGAAGCGACTGCAGCTATGCTGTTCGCGGTAGATTGGGACGACACGTCGAGTCGGTGAGATAAGAAGAAAGCAATTTAGCGGCAGTGATGGTCACGGGCACGTTGCTCATATACAGTCGGCCGTGTTCTAGAAGTCAGAATGGCGATGCTTGCATCACCGCAAAAGAGGGGGGGCACGGAATGATGAGCACAGAAATAAGGCTTTCGCTATATGTAGGTGGATACCTCGACGTCAATCGGCAGCCTTCACTCGCCGTTGATCGCCTGTCACATAGCCCAACTCTCCCCTCTGCCAACGGCTGACTGGCGACCATGACCCCTATCGATCTCATCGGCTGTCCGGCCAAAAGTAATGTAACGCGCCCATGTCGTGTGGAGTCAGGCCTCTGACCTGGCAGGTTGCCCGCTCCATGGTGTCCTCTGCGGCTGATGGAGCTAGCAGAGACCCTCGCTCGCACCGCTTTGTCCCGTCGGCAGCGCATGCAATCGTTGTGCGCAAAAGGTTGGAAAATAAAGACGGCAACTTGACAGTGTGCCAAGAAGGCCTGGAAGCGTTCGGAAAATTGCTATTGCCCGCTGTTGGAAGGGTCAGGGCGGGGTGCCAGCGTACGAATATAAAGAAAGACGAGGGTTGGTTTTCGTCGTGAGAACAACGACGTCACTTCACCAGCCATCGTCATCGTGCATATCTACCCGGACCCTGGAACTTCATCTGCTAGCCCAACCTAGCAGCATTAACCGCACACAAATACGTCGACGGGTCGCCGTTGAATTTCGCACGTTGCGCGCTTCACAATTGCCATGTAGCTATCCTATCAAAATAATAACAGTCGTTGCCAGCACACGGATCCGCCTATGCGAACAAACGCCATAGGTCCGGGTACCAAACCCACCAACAGGCACGCTCCATGGACCCTGACTTCTTCTCTTGCAGGAACCTGCACACGTGAATCATACTCGTTCATCCGGCCTCCTCCGAGCTGCAAGGCGTCGATACTTTCCTGTTGCTCGTGCAGGGGTAACGGATGACGGAAGCAACACTACATGGATCAGCGCCTGTGATTCAGACGTGCAGGACGAGGAACTTGCGGATCGCAGCTGCAGGGTAACCGAGCGGAGTGATCAGCGTGGTGGTTCTATCGGTGAGGACACTTGCTGAACGATGCGGTGTGCGGTACCGGAACAGCTTACTGAATGATGGAGAACGCAAGGCTCGGTTCTTGGAGAGATGTGCGCGACAAGAACCGATTCTGCTCCGCATGTAGAAGGGGTGACGACCTTTTGGGGATGCCGCATATGCAAGCCAGCGAAACCGGTCCGGTACGTATGCTTTTGGCCTTTCGCGATGAAGGCGTCCCAGCGCGCGGGAACTAGCGTCGTTGTAGTACGAGGTACAGGCGATACCATATCAAGTAAAGATCTACATATCAGCGATGGTTTCACGACGGAATGACCAACGACTCGTGGGGTGTGGGGATTTAGTGGGTGATGTCAAAGCTGGAAAAACTTCGGTTAAGGATGGTAGCATCAACCAATTTGAACGAATCAGATTTCTCGATCCGAGAACACAGGTGAAGATATGGTGACGAGGATGAGGGGATCGTGAGCCGTTTCATTTCTCGTAGACTCTCGTAGAATTTGATACTGTATAATCTAGCCGCTGATGCTATCTGTATGGTACAATGCTGGCGTCAAGCTATGCCATACCAAGGATCGCTGATTCACGGAAGGAAGTGGAACAATGCCATGATGACTCTAACCCTTGACCTTGTAGATGGCCTCGGCGAGGCGGCCGACGTTCTCGCTGGTAATACCCGCAACCGAGATACGGCCGTCCTTGGTGGCATAAACGGAGTGCTGTTATTGCGATTAGCGTAAAGTTCAAGATAGTTGCAGGATATAAACTTACCTCCTTTGCCAACTTGTCCATTTGCTCAGCTGTCAGACCAGTGTACGCGAACATGCCAATTTGCGAGGTGATGTGGCTCCAGTCGTGCTTGCTGCCGAGCTTCTCGAGGTTCTCCTTGAGGAGGGCACGCATGGTAATGATGCGGTCAGCCATGCCCTTGACCTCACCAAGCCATTGCTTGTTGAGAGAAGGGTCGTTCAAGATCTCAGACGCAATGCGGGCACCGTGAACTGGCGGGTTAGAGTATAGTGGGCGGACAAGAATCTTGATCTGAGAATCAACACGCTTCTTCTCCTCGGCAGACTCGCAGACGACGGAGAAGGCACCAACACGCTCGCCGTAGAGACCCATGTTCTTGGCGAAGGACTGAGCAAGGACAGGGCGGAGACCCTCCTTGATGAAGTGACGGAGGGCGAAGGCATCCTTGGTAGTGTCACCACTGGCGAAGCCCTGGTAAGCCATGTCGAAGAAGGGGAAGTGGTCACCAGCCTTGACAGCCTCAGCAATCTCAAGCCACTGCTCCTCGGTAGGGTCTACACCAGTGGGGTTGTGGGCACAGGCGTGGAGCAGGACAATGCTGTTCTTGGGCATGGCCTTGATGTCGGTAACCATTCCCTCAAAGTCGAGGCCAATGGTGTCCTTGTTGTAGTAGCGGTACTTCTCGACTTTCAAACCAGAATCCTTGAAGACAGCATTGTGGTTGGCCCACGATGGGGTGGGAATGTAGATGGTCTTCGCACCGGGGTAGTGGCGCTCGAGGAAGGCACCGCCAATGCGGAGGGCACCGGTACCGGAGATGGTCTGGGTGACGGCGACGCTGTCCTGGTTGAGAGGAGCTGAGTCCTCGCCGTACGCGAGCCTGAGGGCAGCCTTGGTGAAGTTGGGTACACCGGTGATGCCGGCGTACTCCTTGTCGAGGTTTGACTTGATGATCTTCTCCTCTGCCTCCCTCACGGATGGCAGAACGTAGGGCTTGCCCTTGTCATCGCGGTAGGCGCCAACACCTGCGCATGTCTGTCAGTCGCGCCTTCCTTGTGCTCAAGTCGCAATGTGTGTACTGACCCAAGTTGATCTTCTTGGGGTTGCTGTCAGCCTTGAAGGCTTCGGTGATACCCAGAATGGCCTAAGGAGGGGCGGTGAGCTATTGTCTGATGTTTCTCTCAGAAGCTATACTTACGTCCTGGGATAAGTTGTTAGCACTTGCGAAAGACGACTGGGGCCCAATTGCTTTTGCCACTTACTGGAGGACCCTGCGGTACCTGCGACCAAGCGGAGACAGCTCGGACGCTGGTCCTGAGAGACAGCTGCTTAGTCGCCGCCTGGCGCAGCGCCGTTCTTGATGACGCGAGCATGTTGTGGTTGTGTGCGGGGTGGAAGGGGGAATTGGCAGCGAGGATGGGTGGAAGAGAGAGGGGCTGTAGAGCTTCGCGGGCACAGCGTAAGCTATTGAAGCGGGTGGTCTGAGTGTGAAATACCCCAGAAAAGTAATAAACTCCCCGTTGCGCGGGCGCGAGCTGCTATGACTCGCCGAGGCACAGTCCCTCCGATTCGCTTAGGCCAGACATCCCTGCTAACTCCGACGCCCGTTAACTAATTTTCATGGCAAATGCGCGCGTCGCGTTGCGTGGGGGACAATTGCGTCCTTTCACTATTGAAACGTGCATTCTTCCAAAGTGCCCAGACTTCTCTCACAGTATGCGACCAGCTCTAAGGCAAGTCAGGACGCTGCTGAACCATGAAGCCTCGATACCACTGTTCCTCTGTCCCGCATTGCTCAGAGCGCCCATAATCGCACCTCGCCGCCAGGTCCCCGAGCATCCAACTCCAAAAGCATACTCGACTCTTGTTACACCTCAAGAACAAATAAACGCCACTACCCCTTCTGCCGACAACAGCCAAAATCTCCCCAGACATCCTCCAGCACAGGCATCCTCAACTCAAAGGCAACTGCCACGAGCATGCCCGGGATGCGGTGCGCCGAGTCAGATATACGACAGGAAGGAGGCTGGATATTATGACGTCGATAGGAATGCGATACGGGAGTATTTAGACTGGGTTCCAAACAGGCCCAAAGAGGCGACTGCCCAGGACGACATCTATACCAAGGCGCTCAAAAATGTAAATCCCGAGTTGCTGGAAGAATTGGGGCTTCAAGACCAGAACTCCGAGACACCGGAAGACAACGAACCGCCTGCTACGCCTGTATGCGACCGATGCCACAAGCTCCTCCATCACCGCGTAGGATCGCCTATACACCACCCGACCGTCGACTCTATACAGCAGACAATCGCAGAGTCGCCCCATCGCCGCAATCACATCTACCATGTCGTTGATGCCGCCGATTTCCCGCTTTCCATCGTACCCAACCTCCAATCGTCCCTGCGAATACCCAAACTTCGAACACAGAACAGACGAGCAAAGCACAAGGGGTGGGTGGCCAATGACCGCATTGCAGAGGTCAGCTTCATCATCACAAGAGCTGACTTGTTAGCGCCAAAGAAAGAGCAAGTCGACGTCTTGATGCCATATGTCCGAGACGTGCTTCGAGATGCGCTAGGACGACAAAATGCGAATGCGCGGTTGGGTAACGTGCGACTTGTGAGCGCAAAGCGGGGGTGGTGGACCAAACAGGTCAAGGAAGATATTTGGGAGCGTGGAGGCGCGGGATGGATGGTTGGCAAGGTCAACGTGGGAAAGTCAAACCTCTTTGAAGCCGTCTTTCCCAAAGGACGAGGAGCAGACTACCAAGACGTGCGCAAGATTCGGAGCGCAGCCGAGCGTGAGACAATGATCAATAACGCAAAGACACTGGATGAGCTCACGCAGGTGTATCAGCAGCTTGCCGAAGAAGACGCCGAGACGGAACGTCTGAAGAACAAACCTCAAGAACATCTGCATCAGCCTCCTGAAGAAGTTGAGGACCAGCCCGAAGAGGACGAACTCGATCCTGACGCGCTCCTGCCACCACCGCAGCCATACACCCCCTACCCTGTCCTTCCCATTGCCTCCTCTCTTCCCGGAACAACAGCGTCTCCAATCCGCATTCCATTTGGCAACAACAGAGGCGAGCTCATCGATCTCCCTGGTCTTGCACGCACAACACCAGGCCTAGAGACATTTGTCCAGTCCACCGCACACGATGATCTTGTAATGAAGAACCGCATAAATTCCGAACGCTACACCCTCAAACCAGGACAATCTCTCATCCTCGGCGGTGGACTGATCCGCATCACGCCCGTCACCCCCGACCTAGTCTTCCTCGTCCATCCCTTCGTACCAATCCACCCCCACGTAACCCGCACAGAAAAAGCCGTAGACTACCAAGCGCAAACTTCGGACCGCCAGCTCCAAGTTCCGCCTATACTCGCCCCCAATGTAGGCTCTAAGATGAACTCCGCTGGTCGATTTCAGCTCAAATGGGACGCTACCAAGAAACTTGCTGGTCCCGTCACGTCGCCCATGGCCGGTAAGATGAAACCTGAGAATCTGCCTTTCCGCGTATGGAGCACAGACATCTTGGTTGAGGGTGTAGGATGGATAGAAGTCTCAGCGCAAACCCGCAGACCGCAAGGCTGGAAACCCTCTGGCCTAGTCAAGAAAGATCCCAACCAAGCCAAGTTCGACCGTATCACGCGTCTCAAGGAGGAGGAAGAGCGGAAGAATCGAAAATTCGCTGCGATTGCGAGGGCAGAGGAAGAAGGGAGAGATCCGGAACAAGTGCTCGAGGAAGAGTTCTACGACGACCATATGAAGGATCGGATGGCGGAGTGGGAGGAGGATTATCCTGAAGTGGAGGTTTTCAGTCCGCTGGGCAAGTTTGTGGGACAGAGGAGACCGATGTGTGCGAGCATGGTTAGTGGGCCCAAGTATGTGGCTAGTAGGGATAGGAAGGTTAGGCCGAGAAGGAGCATGGTCAGCGTGAAGAAGCAGAGGAAGCCAAAGGGCGCTGAGTAGGAAGACTGTGTTGCTCAAATAACATGTAGATTAGCTATGTACAAGATGTCATGACACGTTTTACGACAAACTATAGTTGTACTTTTCAACGTTTAATGTTAATCATGTTCCACGCAACATGATTCCATGATGCGTTGAATCAGCATCTCTGGTCCTCGGGACAGTGCAAGTTCGTACGCCGTACGCCAATATCGATCTTTACCTTTCCAATACAAATCTACTCCAAACCTCTACCTGTTCTTCTTGCGTTGCAAAATGTACCTATCAGAAGGCGACCAATCTTTCGAATCAATATTCCTATGCACTTTGCTCCTAGTTCTTGCCCTGCTCAAGAACAGCCCAAAATGCTTCTTGTTCCTTTGCGCAAGTCTTGCCATCTTTATCGCAGCCAGGGAAGTTTGCTACAAGATCTCCGTCCTTGTACTGACCATCTTTCTCAGCCGCGGGTCCCGTCGCGTAGGCATTGAGGAGGTTCTGTGGTACCATGGCTAGTTTGGCAAGGATGGTTCCATGCCATCTAAAGGTTTGACAGTCAGTGATCATGTCCTTGTAACGTTACGCAGCTCACTCTTCGATCGTGGATGTAGGAGGAGAAAACTCACTGGACAATATGCTCCAAAGCATGACTTTCGGCCTTCTGAAAGTTGTAACTCCGGTAAATAGGATCGAACCAAGCATCCAAGAAGAACTTTGCCCACTCCCCGTTCCTCACAACAAAGCTACTCGGCGCCAGTCCATCTTTGTCCTGTGTAACGACGAAATCTATTCTGTCGCCTTTGAGGTTGCCAAAGGTCTTGATGACGCTGTCTGGCGGCACGACGGGTGCGTTGGTGATCATGTGGGTTTCGAGTTTCGCGGGAGTGAGCAGGTGGGTGTGGATGGGGAGAGCAGTATTCATGATGAGGGCGCTGGAGTCGAGGTACCAGAAAAAGGTCGAAGTGGGATAGAGGGTCATGGCGTGGCGGATGCCGGGGACGCGCGACCAGGAGGCAGGCGAGTTGGAGATGGGGTATTGGTCGTTGGTGGGGAAGAAGGTTAGGTAGCCTGGGAGTGGTTGTGAGTAGGAACGTAATGCGATGTGTGTTGCAGAGGCTCATGACGTACCGTGTCGTTTGGCGTACTCCTCCCTATTGCTCTTGATTTTTTGCATCCATACTGGATCGGCCTTGGGGTCTATAACCGTCACCACCACCACAGGCGGTCCGCTCCCGATGTTCGGCTTTGGGATATTTGCTGCTGTCCAACCTCCAACTTTAGACTTGGCCCTGCTAGTCCCGCCGCTGCCACTCAGCATCCATATCAGGACAAAGAAGCCCAGTATGCCGCCGACAATCAATCGTCCTGCTCTGCTTCGTAGGAGGTTCTTGAGCGCAGGCGGTAGCGCAATTCCACCGCTCTGGCTGCGGGCTGCATATGGCGGTGGTCGCGATGTCTTCCTTGGGGGCATGGCGAAATGCATGGTGTGTGATAAGCGTCCGTGGTCGGGGAGATCACTAGTGATCGCAATTGCGGTTGGGTGAAGCGAAGCGGGAGATGCGACGTGTAGATCGTAAGGTTGAAGAAGAAGAAGGGATATGGCGTCGAAATCGTTACGACACCATTGCTGACGGGAACACGGTTTAGCAGCCTATGCAACAGGATAAGGCACAGCTGAGGAACGGGGGCTGCTGTGCGGTCGCAGAAAGGGACGAAATTCCTAAAGTACACGCGACGACATGGGATGCGATACGATAGCCCTGGAGGCCTTGGCAGGAGGGACCTTGCCTTAGCGGCCGCAGGCAGGGGGCACTGAGAATGCGCAGTCGCGCTTCCATGAGCAGCCATGTGCCTTTTGACAGTCGGCAATCGACCTACTTGTCAATAGTTGATGCTTCTGGCCTTGTTAGCTCTACTGCTCAGCGCCACGCTTGCACATGGTGCAACTCCTCCGCATTGCCCTAACTCCGTTTCGAGCACGGCATCGTCAACCCATCGCATACAATAGCATCGTCAGCCGAACAATCGTCTCAGGAATAGACACATTACGGCCTTGGTACTCGTGACTGCTAAGCGGAGTCGGTCGATACGGGATCCAGAAGCTGACGCTGGTTGGCCTCGTTGCGAAGACGCTCGTATTCGCCGACTTTCACCCGCGACGAGTTGACCCTGTATGCGCTGCGCGGAAGAAGCATTGCTCGAATTCTACAGAATGGGAAAACAGGTACACTTATTGGGTATGCTGATACATCACGTAGAGCGTGATTACCACGACGTCTTCAAGGCACACATGCCAAGACTCGCGAACTTCTGTATCAACACCTCGAGTGATGGAAAAGTCCAGCTGAGAGACCCGCAGCTAAAGCGGAAGCTCGGTACAATTGCCAAGCAATATTCTTATCAATCTGCGATGTGACGCTTGCTTGCTAATATCAGACGCTCATAGCTTTGCAGCTACTTCTGCGTTACCCGCTATGACGTCGGCTACCTGTCACAGTAAAGGGACAAAACCCATATGAAAAGTGCGAAAGATCGCCATCTTCCCAGCATCTATTCACATCCATTTCCTGCTCACGAGTCATACCTCTAGTTGCACTTCATCCTAATCCATCTTATCCACCAATACACAACAAACCGCAATCATGGTTGAGAAGGTTATGCAACTGAAATGCGACTGCAACCAGTACCCCTGGGGGAAGCAAGGCTCGAAGTCGCTCGCTGCGACCTTGTGCGAGAAGACTCCAGGCACAGACTTCAAGCTTGATGAGAACACAAGCTATGCTGAGATGTAAGTTTTCTGATGATATGGCCGAATGCTATCTAACATTCCACAGGTGGATGGGCACATATCCTGAGTTGCCTTCATATGTGCTAGAGACCGGCGAGGATCTCCAAAAGGTGCTCGACAGGCATCCTGATGAGCTTGTTGGAAAGAAGACTGCCGACAAGTTCAACCACACAAAGCTGCCATATCTACCCAAGGTCCTGTCAATAGCAAAGGCCCTACCACTGCAATTGCATCCAGTACGTTACATCTCTACATCACCATTCCTATCGTTAACACAATTATAGAACAAGGATTTGGCTTCGAAGCTGCATGCAAAGAACCCTGATCAATTCACCGATCCAAACCACAAGCCAGAGATCGCTTTGGCTCTAGGCGACTTTGAAGCTTTCTGCGGCTTCAAGCAACTCAAAGACATCGAGCGACTGATGCAGCTGCCACCTCTTCAACCTTTCCTTCCAGAGGTCAAGAAGCCCGAGTTTGATGATCAGATTCTAAAGCACGTTGTCAGGGAAATGCTCATGGCCTCTGAGGATGCCGTACGCAAGACCAACGACGCGCTGATGAAGATTCCCAAGGAGCAATTCGGCGAATTCAGCTATATCCCCGACATGATTCCACGTTTGGCTGAGCAGTACGACAAAGCGGACAACGGAACTCTTGTTGCCCTCGTCACCATGAACTACCTCCAGCTCAAGGCTGGTGACAGCATCTACATCCCTGCCGACGGCATTCACGCATATCTCTCCGGTGATATCATCGAGTGCATGGCCCGATCGAACAACGTTTTGAACACCGGCTTCTGCCCGCGTGCTGACCGTGACAATATCGACATGTTCTGCTCTTCTTTAACCTTCACACCACATGATGCCAAGGAGGCTATCCTACCAGCGAAACCTTTCGATGGAAGCAAAAACGGCAAGACGAAACTCTACGCGCCTCCTCTAAGCGAGTTCAGCATGCTGGCTACAACCGTGGGCGATGGTGATTCCGAGGCCATCCGGTCGCTTGGCGGACCCAGTGTCATGATCGTAACAGAAGGCGAGGGTACCATGAGGGGCAACGGCAAGGAATACAAGCTGAGCGCAGGTTACATTTTCTTCGTCGCGCCAGGTGTAGAGTTAGAGTTCAAGGCTACTAAGCAGCTCAAGGCGTTTACAGCCTTTGTAGAGTAGATGGGTCGGATATGTACCTAATGATGAGGCTCAACCTTGCGGAGGTGACATGGCAGCCGATTGGAGGGACTAGAGAGCTCCCCGCACCTTTCACGTGCGCATACAATCAGCACTACGGATGTACTTTAGCTGTGTAGTTATATAGCCAAGAACCTTATGAGAATGAGCGGAACGCGTTCGGATCCGCATGCACGCGTGCTGTTGATACCCACATGTATCCTTGCTTCCCCGCACTTGATGACAGGCACCCCTCTACGGCTGGGGATAGCTATAAAACCCCGCAATGGAGCTCATGCTTGCTTGGATGAGTAGAGCTGTTCATTCATGCTAATTGATTGCTTCATCTTGGTCGCGTTGAGCTGAAACTTGACCCCGTCGAATTCTAGAGCTGCCTGAAGTTTGCCAGCAATACCACCAACATCAATTACATTTTATTACGAGGTCAGGAACAAACGAGCAAGTTACAAAAGCAAAAGTAAAGCTATCCCATGAATCTGTTACAAAACATAAAAAAAGCTGAATCAAGCCTATTGACACGATTTGAAGCAGTTTCATCCGCCCAACTCCGACCATGGCAACCGCGGCCCCAATGCCGGCGGAGAAACGCGACTCAATGGAAGCCACGGCGAGTAGTCTTGAAGCCAAGATGAAAGCGGCTTCAATCAATCAAACACCGCGTAAGCGACCTCTCGGGCTCACAGACCTTCCTCCGTCCGTCCGCAACAACATCTACAAGCACTGTCTCGACGCCGAACTTGTCAACCTTGGCAAGCCAAACGTCTCCTACACCCACGCCATCTCCAAAGAAGATGGCATCTTATCCTTCTCAGCCTCGCGCAACCCTTTCCCAGTCAATACGGCTCTCTTTACCATCAACAAAGAGATAAGCAAGGATGCTCTCTCCTACTTCTACGAGAAGAACCTCTGGGTACGATTAGATGTTTACACAAGCGACGCACGACATGCAAAGACGTTACTCGAAGACTCGGGCTTACTCTTCTCAACATCCAATGGCGAACTGGTCGAAAAGACTACACGCCATGCCCTCGAAGTTGTTCTCGTGGAGAAGAACAGCAGTCAGAAACGTGCTTCAGTCATGTTTCCCGCTCAGTATTTGCCTCGATTGATCAATTTCTTGGATCAAGCGAGCAGAGCGACGAAGACGTGGGCACAAGGCCGCAGTCTCTTCCTAAACGTTGTGAACACATACAGTTTCCCTGTATCAAAGCTACAGGGGGATCTACTAGAGCTTTTCCGTTTGTTAAGTGGGTTCGGCAAAGTGGAAGTTGATGGCAAGAACCTCTTACCTCGGTATGCGGAGGGCCTGCAGAACAATATGATGGGCGAGAGCTTCACGGCAGATGGCTATCTGCAGAGTGTAACAGAGTTATGTGATTTAGCGGATGAGGCTAGGGAGAAGGAGAAGTATCAGTTGGCGAATGAGTATGCGCACGCTACTATTATTGCGTTGACGTATGGGTACTTGACGCATGCTGAGACGCTGCACTCGCAGGAAGATGACTTCAACAAGTCCATTCAACGACTGCGCTGGCGAACGGAACTTGGGTTGGGTATCAGTTTGTCTATTCCGCTGAGGGGTCTTACGACCAGTAAGCATTGGTTAAGGACACAGAATCCGACGGAGGAGATTAGGAAGGCTGCGCGCGATCTTCTGCTGGCAGAGACTTCGGTCTCGAAAGCACTGAGTCTTGCACAAGATTCTCCGTCTCCGGCGTCGAATCCCTGGTTCCACTCGCTTCCTGTCGAGCTCATTCCGCCGAACAAACCCATCTTCTTCACCGATCGCGAAAAAGCACAGACGTGGTATGCGCTGGGCACTGTACATATGGCTTTGGGTGAATACATCTTTGCCTGTGGCGACATGGAGAGAGCTTTGGAGCTTTGGGGCAAAGACACAGGCATTGATGAGGAAGGCGGCTTGAGAAGCAAGATCGAGGAGTCTTTCGAAAAGGCAAGGAAAGGTATCGATGGTGACGCGGAGAGTATGTGGGTCGGTGAAGTCAGGCCAGGAACAGGACTGAAGACGGCGGCTTCTCTGGCAAAGGGACTGTCGGATGACCTGAGGAAGTAGAGATCTTTTATCGATACAATTAATCAGTAAGAGTAGAGATTACTTCTCACAAACCCCAACGAGACGTATAATGATCAACTCCGGAAGCGTTGAAGTTTGTCTGTCATAGCGTAAATATGCTTGAGGATTTTAGCTGCTCATACATTGGTGTTTTATCGACTTCTATTATAGTGTTTTACTTCTGAGCGTACGCATGCTACTACCGCAATCTGCAGCTCCTCTCGATAAGTTTTTGAACACACAGTGATTATAACTTGCAAATATTCATTAATAAACATTTATATTACAACCGAAACGTTTTGAAACCATATTTATGGCGTTCTCGTGACGCCATTGTGGGCGAAACGTTGGTGATCCCATGGTAGGAGAGAAACAAAGGATATAATTGCTGAATACGTATCCGAACTTTTGTGCTTTGCCTGCTGCATGGTAACAGTATACGAAACGAGTGGTAAAGGGACTTTGGAAGGATGGATAATACAGCGAAGTAGAATTGGACTTGATAAAGTGGCAGAAGATCGTCAGCCAAGTTCGAGGTTGGATTGGACCCAGGAACGATCTTGGATAGCGGCCATGAATGAAGTTTGGCCGTCTCGTCGTTGATGTATATCTAAGTTCGAAGGCGTCCCGCTTTTGACGTTGTAAACGACTTTTGGTGGTTAGGATGTGGTGGATTCGTATCGTTCGAGGCGCTCCTATCAATGACCATAGTAGCTAGATGTCGTGAGACCGGGCGTATGCTGACTGCACCTCCGCTCCAGGTACCCAGTGCTTGGGTCGTGCCACCATCATTCCTGGGTATGGATGGAGAGGTTCTTCCGGTGTAGGCAACATCGGTCCAGTGGGAATTGGTGGATTAGGTGACTGAGCAAAGAACTGTTCGAGCGTTTCGCCTCTCTCGAGGGCCTGGAACTGGTCTTGTCGGAATTCCTCTAGCACTGATGACTCTACAGGCTTCGGATCAAAGTAAGTGTATGTCCTCGTGCCTTTGGTACCTGGGAGACCAGGCGCCTTGTACTCGGCAACACCGTCCTCGTACGTCTCATAGGTGGAAACAAGACGTTTTCCACCACCTCCAGGGAGGTCAATGACAAATGACGGCATCATGAACCCAGATAGAGTCCCTCGAAGTTCTTTGTCCAGGGTGATGGTCTTGCTGAGAGGCGTCCGGAGGTCTTCGATGCCCTGTACCATGTCACATTGATAGATGTAGTATGGCTGTATGTTGATGTTTGAGAGCTTCTTGACAAGATCCGAGAGCGCCTCGAAATCATCGTTAACACCTTTCAACAAGACAGCCTGATTGCGAACAATGACACCATGCTTGAAGAGCTTGTTCGCAGCCAACTCCGTTATCCACGTGATCTCATTCGCGTGGTTGATGTGGGTATGGAGACATACTTGCTTTCCGATGCTGGTCGTTGCTGTCAGTAAACGTAACACTCAGGGTGATGACTGCTAGACTCACTCTCGCCCTTTGTTGGACACTTTGATCAAGCTGTCAACCCACGGATCAGAGTTGTCAAGTATTCGGCCAGGGGCCACAGCAAGCCCCTTTGAAGCGAATCGGACTCGTTTGATATGTGGAATGTTGAGAAGCCTCTCGCCAATCTCTTCAATATGCTCAGGTTGTAAGAAATAGGCGTCACCCCCGGAAACAACAATGTCTTCAAGGGAGTTGTCGTTAGCGATGTGCTCAAATACTACTTCCCATCGCTTCCGGCTCGGCTTCTGGGGTTTCTTCGATACAGTGTCTGTGTTTCCGCCAACTGCATACGAACGTGTGCAGAAGCGACAGTATACAGGACAAATTGATGTAGCCAAGAACAAGGCTCTTCCGGGGTATCGATGCACTAGGCCAGGTACAGGACTGTCTGCTTCCTCGTGTAAAGAGTCCAGTTCCATGTTTTTGTGATCGGGAATTATGCCACTTCGGAGAGGAAGAAACTGCCTCCGGATGGGATCATCCACAGCATTTTCCCAATCAACTAATGAGAGTACATGTGGTGTTAGACGGATAGCCATAGGCGCCAACTTAATGGCTTCGATCTGCACATAGGTCAACATCGACATATGTACGAGGTAAGACCAGCTCTAAAGTCACATACAGCGTCCTCGATGAAGTGATCCTTGGTACGAATCTTTTGAAATTGAGAATGCTGCGAGTGGGCTAGTTTGTCAGGCAAGACAGCATTGAGAAACTGATAAAGCTTGTGCTTGTCGGATATGGTATTGCGAAGCTGTGACATTCAGTATCAGAATACGCTGAGTATGGTCGTGGTAGAACAAGGTTGGTGGTGAACGTACCTGCCACCGGTAGGATATGAACTCATCATTGGAGACATCCTTCCAAGGCTGTATATGGTTCCAGTAGGGCTTCTGGGCTGCGAAGGTCGACTGGGCTCTGCAATGCGGTAGTAATCGCTTTGCGTGGGTAAAGCCTCGTCGGAGAGGCCGGTTCCCGGCTATGGTCTTTGAAGCAAACATGCCTGCGTACGTGTGTGAGAAGAGGTGTGGAAATCAGGGACGTGATTGAATTTGAAATGGGAAGAGATTGGTGCTAGAAATAACTTCCGCATCTAGGGGATCTGTTTATGGAGCTTGCCACACCGTTATGTAGTCCAATGGAAAGTGCTGCCGCTCGCCTCGCCGTCTAAGCAGGAGCGGTGTTTATACCACGTTACAACGGCAGCAAGGATGGGGCTGAAGTGGGTCTCCAGTAAACATGGAGAATCCCGCTACGCTCGTTCGAACAGCACTAGGTTTGATATCGTGATTCGACGTTGGTCTATGCCTATGATGCGTTTCGACATTGCCTTTGTTGAGGAACCCCTCATCTCTGGCTTGCGTGCAGCGCTCTTAGTGACTGGATGACGCTTGTGGCGCGTGCTTGCAATCCATGGTGGGACATAGGTCCGGTCGCATGCATACGACTTGGAGCAGCGAAAGGGGTCGGTGAAGAGACAATAGCATGATACCAGCGTCAGAAAGGTAGTGGAGCAACAATGGTAGGCTCTCGGTGCTGTATTGGTCTCCGAGACGAATTTCTCAGGTGGGTCTAGAGATTCAGCTTGTCAGTGTAACAATTTGAGATGATAGCTCGTGGCAGAGCGAAGATCTGTTCCTGATAGGGTTATTGGAGCGCAATAGTCTATCCTGCACTTGCGAGGATTATGGCCCGGTATACAATTGAAGAAGGCAAGTCTACAAGGATCGCTAGTTTACCCCCTTCCACGGTCCTGACCCCTGGGACGAGCCACAATCCCAGAAGCTGCAAGTGGGCATGCACATGTGTGGTATTGCACACAAGTACTGCATTAGCTTTCTCGTATGTTGGAAAAGCAACGAAACCCGCATCGGCCGAGGCCTTTCGGCTGCATTGCTCACAAGAGAGTCGCAAAACTCAGCGACTCGATTCCGCAACGGAGCAGTGACACTCGTCAGCAGGAGCGATGGGAAGAGGCCGGCAGATGAAGATGCTACGGTCCGTACCGCGTTTGGCACGGATGGCAGTGAAACCTGATTGCCGGGCTCACAGGTTCACGATGATGTTATGGTCAGACAAGCGGTTGGCAGGAGTCGTGGTAGTTGCAGACAGTACCGGCACTAGCGGGGCCTCTACAAAGTTCCGTAGCCTCTCCACTAGACAGGTGCCAAGCCATGACCTCAGCCCCTCCAGACAAGCGCGGGAGCTGCAGTTGCCATCATCAGCTACCGCGACGACAACTCAACTCTTGACTTTACGCCACCACCACAGCCATGGCTGACTCCCCCGCTTCCGCAAATAGCGCACTGCCTGGCGAGTCGCCCGCCCAGACCAAGGCCAGATTGCGGAGAGAACGTCTGGCCGCCAAAAGTGGTGCCTCTCGTCTTCAACAGATCACTGCTCTGCAAGGCGGCCCACCAAAAGACCTCAAGGAAATCGAGAAAGATGTGCCAGGTAACCATGCTCCTCCTTCCAGCAGATTAGTCTCCACATAGTCAATTCTAGCTCCGTCCTACAACAGCGTGAAGGCACGGCTAATCGCCTCCTAGTCAAACCCGCCTCTACCCCATCCCAGTTCACACCCGCTGCCTCTGGCACGGCTACTCCAGATCCAGACGAGGTGGATATCTCACAGCACCACTACGCGCCCGCCTCGCAGCCTCGTCTCCCGTCGCCTTTTGCTTTTGAGGGAAACCAGTCTGGCCCCTTCGGACCCGGACCCGGCTCCGATGCATCGCAGGATCCTATGATGGCCATGCTACAGCAGATGATGGGCGCTGGAGCCGGCGGTATGCCTGGCATGCCTGGTGCTTCAGGTCAAGCCGGTGCGCCACCTGGCGGTCTGCCACCGAATCTTGCCAATATGTTCTCTGCCATGCAGGGCGGTAGCGGTGCCTCTGAGCCGTCACCAGACCAATCTTCGGCCTGGATCTGGCGGTTGGTACACTCTGTCTTCTCGTTTGGTCTTGCCGTCTACATTGTCCTGCAAACCCCCTTTACTGGATCCAAACTGTCGCGCGATAATGTACTCGACGATGACTGGACCTCGCAATCCACTCCGGCGCACAACTTTGCGCACTTCTTCTACCTCTTTGCGACTTTCGAGGTTGTCTTACAGTCTTCGCGCTATTTCATCGAAAAGGGCCAATTACAGGGGAGCGGTATCCTCAGCACAGTGGCTGGCATCTTGCCGGCGCCGTATTCAGGCTATGTGCGGACTGTAGGCAGGTACAGCGTCATCTACAGTACAGTTGTGAGCGACGCTATGGTAGTAGTATTTGTCCTGGGCGCTACAAGCTGGTGGAGAGGTGCTGAGATTGCATAAAGCTGTGCCATCTTTGGCGTCGATAGAATAATGGTATGACGGACGCCTTCGTACCCGGCTCCTTTTCGATGCAGCGCTCCACTCAGTCCTACCCAGGTACGCCGTGACTTTCCAACAAACCAGTCAATACCTTGACACTACGCCACAGTCTGGGACGAACGAACAATGCACCCATCTCAGTGTTCACGTGAGAGAAAACAAATCAGCAACATATCTCTGAATTTGCTCTTATTGGGTGGCATTGCAGCCGTTCATGGATCACCATTACTACGGGAAGTTAGCTAGTGTATGCACGTCATACCTTGTGACACGTTCCGCGGAGAAAGCGTACATCAAACTCCTTCTACACATTGTACGCGTTTGCACTGCGTGGGCTTGATGCACATCATTATTCTACGCTGTTTGATTGCTTTAATATCACGAGACCTGCAGATCCCTTTTCCAGACGCGCGGAATTACATCAATCATGCGCACATGGCAGCCAGCATTCGTTGGGCAGACAGGACCCGTTATACGGCTACCGACAGTAATATCTCGACAGCATGCGTCGCTCAACAGCAAGATACGCTACGCGTTCTCGTCTGTTCCCGTGTGGATAGCGCGTACAGTGAAGAGCGCACCCGCATACGCGTTACATGTCCATCGCCACATCTGTCTTGCGTAATTTTACTGTTCTTTTCGGCGAAGAATCCCGGGTCAATGTCAATCGCAGTTGTGCATGATGCAATCTCGTCTCGAATTCCCATGCTTTCACACTCATGACCAATTGAGGCTTCACGACCGTGGCTTCAATGATCTCAGCAGTACGCACACGAGTCATATATCGAGACGTGGCGTCGGCAGACCCTTTCAACCGGTTCCACGGCGTTGGTCGACAAGGACACACGCAGCTTTCTGCGGAAGGATTCTTTACAACAATTTGAGATGCCCAGTAACCTGATCTATGACGCCCTTAGGTGCAGGGCCGATACCTAGCACTGTTGCACTTCCGCTCGCGATTTGTGTCCGTCCCGCATCGTGTATGATGTGTGCCACCAACCCTAGGCTCAGTGCTTGCGCCTGCAATAATTCCAGCTCTTCCTCGCTCTTGACTTGCAACGCCACCTTCGCTTGACCCATACGTTCCCAGCGTCGCAGTAGCGTCGACTCGGGCGAGTGCTTGAGGAAGTGTTTGTAGCAGGCCAGTGTCGCATGCCCGCATTGTGCGCCAATCTTGCCTATTTGATGGTTAGATATCTTGTAGATAGTAAGTATGTGTAAAAATTTGCAGTACCTTTGGTCATGCCGAGATCTGTTCGTACTACCAATACCATCTTGCACTCCTCGTTGTGACCTGGGAACTCTGCAGGCGTGCTGTCGTCGTCTTCGTCGCTTGACTCATCTTCTGAATCTTCTGCTTCCTCTTTCTCAGATTTTGTTGGCTGAGAGACTGGGCTGCCCCCGAAGAGACCAAGTGACTTTGCTTGTCCCAGAAAATAGCCTGTTACGCCAGCGAGTATGGCGCATGCGGCTGCTATGTTTGCCGTAGACGGCTGTTGAGGAGTGTCTGCCATGCGTGCGGTTGACGATGATCTCTGATATAGACGACAATAATCTTACAACAGACGGATAGTGGGAATTAGTTTACCTCCAGGTAATGATCAAGTGAAAGCGAGAGTCATGTCGTTTCGTGGTTCACTTCCGCCCGCAATTGTAGAGCTAAACGTAAGGCTGAGGTCCGTGCTGAAGACTTCACGAATTTGCGGACTACCGAGCACATCGCCTATCCATCACGACGGCACCACCGCTGCCTTCGTCACCACATACCATGCCTCCCCGGTGCCAATTACTCTCTGGCCGTCTCCCAACTCGGGGATTGGCCCTTCGCCCGGCAAAATCCACACACCGAACCTACGCGACGTCCGAGGAGCCCACTCCCGCAGTGAAGAACCCGCTCCAGCGACGACGCGGCGGTGATCTCGGCTCCCATCTTCCCAAGAACGTCATCCCCAAAGATGCATACATCCCCGCATATCCCTATGGCGACCACCAGTTGTTCAAGCAAGCCAACAAGGGTCTCTACGGCGAGCAGATGATCCGCTTCGGCAACAATGTCTCCAAAGACACCGAAACCAAGACGCGAAGGAACTGGAAGCCCAATGTACTCTCTAAGAGCTTATACTCGGTTGCATTGAAGAAGAGGATAAAGCTGCGCATCACCGCCAAGGTTCTCAAGACCATGGATCGCGAGGGTGGGCTGGACGAGTACCTGCTCAAGGACAATGTGGCACGTATCAAAGAGCTTGGACCTATGGGATGGGCGCTACGATGGACACTCATGCAGAAGCCGGAAGTCATCGAGCGGTTACGAGCAGATGCTGCTGCTCTAGGCCTAGACCAAGCCGCAATTGACAAACAATGGCCTACCCTCCAAATGCAGGCCGAGCAAAGGGCAGCTGAGGGTACATTGGTCCGGAACGCAAACTCTGGCGCACCTGTTGATTTGGAGTTTGCTGAGACAGAAGGACAAGAGATGTGGGCTGGAGAGGAAGCCGAAGACCCAGCGGCGCTAGAGAAACGCGAGAAGTACATCGAGTCCCGTGCTGCCATTGAATACACAAAGGCGACCAAGGCAGCAGAACGCTACCTCAGCCGGGGTGTCGTCGACAGCGTGGAGGAAGGTCTCAAGTTAGCTTTCATACGAGCCAGGGAGCGCGGAGTTGCAGCCGCACTCCTCAAGCACAAGTCTGTCAGGAAACAACAAGAGGCAAACTTCACAAAGGCAGAGTTACAGGAAATCAGGACGAGATTCAACCTCCCCAACATCAAAGACCATACAGCCAGGAAGATCGCTTACAACCAACGAAAACGCAAGATGATCGACGAAGCTGGTGGCATTGAAGCCTGGAATGCATCCAAAGCCGCCGCCCATCTTGCCCGCGTAGCAGAAGCCGGTGGAGAAGAAGCTTTCCTCAAAGTGCGGAAAGCTGAATATGCTGCTCTTATCGCGGAAGCGGAGACTGCCTCTACCAACGAGGCTATCGACGCTGAACGACGGACTTACTACCAGATTGCTATCGAGAGGGCGGACCGAGCTATCAAGGCCAAGGCTGGTAGTGGCGAAGCCGACTATGTCGAGTCGACCTTGGAGGAGTTCCGCAAGCGGAGTGGTGGTGGTCTGAGTGACATCTACCGTGCGGCGCAAAGGGAGAGGAGTGCAGGCGGTGATGCTTGGGGCGCGCTTGTTAACTCGAGTAAGAAGCCTGCGGATAACCGGACGCGCGTGTGATAGGGTAGTGTGGTCTGTACAAATATTGTTTGTATAACATGATGCTTTGCAAATAGCATTGCCTGCTGCCTCTATATCGGTGTCTTCTCCGGAAATTTCATATTTACTATGACTTGTATGATCATTGCATTTCTGAGTGTCTGCAAAAGGCTTGCGCGTATTGGTGGTATGTGGCTGACGTTGGTTAGGTCATCAGCGCGCTTAGCTTTGCCTTCTAGAGTTGCATGAAGGTGCATGGGAGGCTGTGTCGGATTCTGTGACTTTAGCTTCAGCTCCTACCGCACCCTGACTACGCTCACCACGACATCTCCCATCTTCCCATCATCTGGTAACATCATACCGTTTTACCACTTTTGTCTGGGCCACATTCCAGCAGCTCGAAAATACAGTTCTCAACGCTATCTTCAGCCTTGTGTCTTGCTAATGATAGCATCAAGGATGGCTGCACATAACGACGAAGATATTTGGGGATCCGCAGACGGTGAAATGAGTACCATGCAGGTAGAGCGAGTCACCGACCTCGACGACATGTTCACGGAGGCTATCAACTGGAAATCCTTCGAGCCTGATGGTGACGGTCATTCTTCTTTGGAGGATCCATATTCTGGCCCTCGATCTCCCATTGCAATGAACTTTACACGAGCTAAGGCTGGTGGAATAGAAGATCATGGTGCATCAAATCTCAGCTCGGGCTACCGTCGACAGTCTCCAATATCGACCTTCAACTCTCCAGCGAGTTTTATGACCGCGAGCAGTCGCACCACCTTCGTCAGTGCAAGGTCAACGTACAATAGCCCTGCATACATGTCAGCGAGCAGCTACACCCCAGCGATGGGGATCAAAACCATTCGCGAGGACGAGCCACCTGAACCTGGACTGGCAGCACCGCTTGTACAACTACATCAAGACTACTACTCGAGTCTTCGTGAGCGAGAGATCCTTCAGCCTTTTGATAAGGAACCCAACTGGTCCGGTAAGGGCCAGCACGTTACATTTTCGGCCACAGACGTGATCCCACTGTCGCACATATCGCATCTAGGGTCATCCATGTCCGCGAGCGTCGACAAGGTACTCTGTCGTAGGGTAGCCCTTGCACGGAAAACCATGAGATGTGATCGAAGATGGACTGTGACCGATGCTCTACAAGAGGTCTACCATCTACAAAACCTCCGCCATTTTCACATCGTTCAGCTTGTGGGGACCTATCTCCAAGGTCGTAAATTCTCGATATTGATGTATCCAGCCGCGGATATGCACCTTGGAACATTTCTAGAAGACACAGTGTATATGGACGCGGAGGCTTCGATGGAACACAGAGTTTTCCTCGGTTCAACACTAGGCTGCCTCACTTCAGCTGTGGCTTTCATCCACCGGCATACTACAAAACACATGGACATAAAGCCTCAGAATATACTCATCCGAAAGACAAAGTCATCCGGCTCTCGGAACAAATGGCGTGTTTACATTGCCGACTTTGGGCTCTCGCGTTCTTTCGCTTCACAGGACCATAGTCAGACCGATTGTCCTACTTCACGGACGCCTAAGTACTGTGCACCTGAAGTGTATAACTACGAACAAAGAGGTCGATCTGCAGACGTGTTTTCTCTCGGCTGCGTTTTCCTCGAGATCCTGACCGCCATTTGTTGTATAGATCTGCATGTCTTTGCGGATGCGCGCCGAGGTGATGGTGACGATGAATCATTCCATGCAAACCTGGACAGAACAACTGAGTGGGCTCGCCGGAACTTGTTTGCGTCATCCTATGATTTGCTGCTCACCAGAGTCCTGGTTGCTTACGATCTCAAGTCTGTTGTCAAATTGGTTATTAGCATGGTCGCCCAAGAACCTGAGAAGAGGCCAACAGCAGCGGACGTTCATCACCGTCTTCATTCTCTGCACGGCATTAGGGTGACATCACTCCCAGGTTTTTTTTCACCCATGCCCTGCTGTCTTGAGCCTCAGGAGCCCTATGAAGCATACCAGCCCCTTCTGGGGGAACAAAAATGGATTGTAAACTCGAACATCCAGTAAATAGTGTCACATGGCATAGAGGCGATACAAAGCTGAAGTCATAACGTCTTGAATTCCGTATAAAAATGAATCTCAACATCTCCATCTCTCCTATGCACTTGAATCAGAGCACGTATAGATGATCTGGCCCATGCCTCCCGCAGACATTGTCAAAGCGGGACAACTTCCTCTTTCCTTCTTAAGCTGCGTTCTTCACAGCTACCCCACTTCCGTCATCGTCGATAATGTACAAGAACGAATTATGTTAACCTACGACAGATTGGTAGGTGGAAGAAACAGAGAAACAGATAAGCAAAAATATGCCCACAAAACGCCGGCGAAAGAAGTGAGAAGCAAACAGGCAAGCAAGAAAGATATCCGCCCGAGCTGAAATGGGGTAATAATGTTGGAGATCTAACGCCAGGACGGAGAAGACTGGTGAAAAGTACGATTCAATATGGAAATCGGGAGAGGGATAAACGCCGCGCTATACAAGAGATAGAGATGCGAGAATGTTGCGAGAAGAGAGGTCGCGGAAGAGTGGGAAGGCGAGGGACAAGTGATGAAGAACTAGTTGCCCGCCTTCATCCTCTTGTTACCTCCCACCCTTGGGCTTTGCTTGACCTTTTGCCCGCCGTTCATATCTCCGCCACCGTCATCGTTGTCCATCTTTACTGTGCTCCGCCGCCGCTTGTTGTTCATCATGTTTGGAGATGTGTTGACGCTCATGGTGTGTGAACTAGTGCTCTGTTGCTTCATCATGGGCTGCGAGTTAGGCGAGGGTGTATGTTGGAAGTGAGGCGACCCACCCATTGATCCGTTAGGAAGAAGGGAGTTCTGCATCGCGGGTGACATGAACATTTGAGGCTGGCCAGGGCCTCCTGGTCGCGGGCCAGGCTGCATGTTAGGTTGCATGCCTGGTCCCTGTTGGGGCCCTTGGTTCGGGTGCTGCGGGCCTTGAGGACCGCCTTGGGTGTTTGCCATGTTGTTGTTCCATGACTCCAGAGCTTCGCTTGGCTTCATGTGAGGGTTCTCGAGGTAGTGTACCATCAAGCTTGTCATGTGGTTCATTGGCTCGTAAATCTAGGCTTGTTAGTGTTAATGTCCATGAGAATGATGTGGAGAAGAGTCTTACCTCAAGATAGGCCTGCAAGCCGTGAGGCAGCCCATAGTCTGTAGTACTAGCACTAAGCAACTTGTTAATGGGTAGATACGCTTCTGGCGGCTCAACCCCTCGCTGCTGCGGTGGTCCTGCCTTTTTCTTCATCCGCGGCGACTGATTTGGATTCAGTTGGTTCGGCGAAGGTTGAACAAACATCTGCTTCAGAGCATTGAGTGGTATAAATTGTTCGTGACCGAGGCCGTCGAACAGCAACCACTCCAGCTTATCTGAGCCAGACCAGAACGCGGTCAATTTGCCTTGGTACACGACCTGGCAAGAGTTCTTGTATGTGTAGATGAACTTTGCTCGCTCACAAGTTACTTTGAGCTCAGCACCTGAGACCTTTTCTGTCGCTCCATCCAGAGTGATTTGCAAGCTGGCAACGTCGGTGTTGAATAGTGTGTAGAAGTATCGAGGTAGGGCGGCGTAAACAATTTCGAATTGCTTAGATCTCTCTGTACTTGAGGAGCAAACGATGTGGACAAAGGATCCAGACTCGGCGAAGAATCTATCCACAAAGGCTTGCCACCACTCAATGTTGTTGTTTGTGCCGTTAAAGTTTCCTATTTGTTCCACGAAGTTCAGCAACTTCAGTGTTCCCTGGCCTGAAGAAACAGTCTGTGCTTGTTGCTGCTTCATCATTGCCATCTGACGGGCCTGGTTTTGGGCAGCGTTCGCTTGAGCCTGTGCCTGAGCTTGTTGTACTAGTGCTGGATTCCGTTGTTGCATTTGGTTTTGAGCCTGTTGGTTTGCTTGCTGAGGTAGGTTGGGCGGTTGGGATGGAGCAGGCGTCTGCTGTTGTGGCCCTGGACCTGATTGTGGCGGTTGGGATGACTGTTGCTGTTGTTGAGCTTGTTGCTGGGCCTGCTGTTGAGCCTGTTGCTGAGCCTGCTGTTGGGCTTGTTGCTGGGCCTGCTGTTGCTGCTGAACCTGCTGCTGTTGCTGTTGTTGTTGCTGTTGTTGTGGCTGCGGTGGTGGTGGCTGTGGCTGTTGCTGAGGCGTAGGTTGAGGAGCTGGCGACGACTGTCCTTGATGACTGCCTATCGCGGATGGAGGACGAAGGGGCCCTTGTTGAGGCTGAGAGGTTTGTGGCGGTCCCTGGTTCCCTGCCTGGCTGTGATTGCTAGACTGAGATTGGGCATGTTGCATAGCAATCGCCTGCTGTTGTGCCTGCATCTGCTGTTGTTGATGAGCGTGTTGTTGAGCTGCTTGGGCCATGGCAGCTTGTTGTTGCGGGCCTCCAGGATGTTGACCACCCATCTGCTGTTGCTGCTGGAGCAGGTGGGGAGGAAGGTTGACAAACGGTCCTTGGCCCATCTGTCCATTCCTCATTGCTTGCAACTGTTGTGCTTGTGCTTGGTTCAAGTTCATGGGATTCTGGAAACCCATTCCCATACCGCCTTGTTGGTGGGCAAGCATGGCCTGCTGTTGCTGCCGGTGCATGAATGCTTGCTGGGCTGTTCGTTGCTGTTGCATCATTGCAGGGTTCACTATCAGTTCCGTCAGTCATTGCCCTACAATTGCACGAAGCGGTAATACTGACTCATCTGATGTTGCTGCTGTTGAGGGAACATGTGCTGCTGAGGCTGTAGGTGTGAGAGGGCATGCGCATTAGCACCCATGCCTGGCTGCATGCCCATCATGGGTCCAGCCTGACTGACAGGACCATTGGGGCCAGAGACGTGCTGCATTCCCGGTGGCATTCCATGTTGGCCTGGGTTCGGGCCAGGGCCGCCCATACCTGGGTGTGCATGCTGCATGCCTTGAGGAGGCATGCCGCCATTGTGTGGGTAGCTCGTTGTCATCATCTTGCTGGATCTTCAGTGCAGACGGTCGCCTCGCAGTTGCGGAAATGTATCGGGTAGAGGTAATGCGACAGTTGAAGAAATTGGGAGGTAGGTCCGCGTGATGCGAAGATTGACCGGCGACAAGATGGGTTCAGCAATGTTATTGCTTCCAAGTCATACGTGCTCGGAAAATCGCGTCAAGTCCAATGGGGGGAAGAGTGTTTCAGGTGGTTGCGACGAGATGTCGAAATATGGCCCCGGTGTCGCCGATGGGGGAGGCTGATGAATTGCCCGCGCAGGTGTCGCGATGGGCGCGCTGCAGGCCGGTGGTCGGTACTTGCCGGGCACTTGGAACAGGGCGAGGGTCAAGCAAGAGGTCGCGCAAGGTGCAGCGCAATACTCACGAGGGCGAGGAGGTGGAGGTGAGGTGTGCTGCCACGTCTGGCGCGATGTCGTGTCGGGTGATATCGTGTCGCATCCGTCCCGCCAGCAGAGCGGTGGAGTAGAGACGAGAAAGAGGCCGTCCAGAGGCTGCAGGAGCGATGCGGCGATGGTGTCTAGCGACGCGGTGTTATGCGACGATGCGTCCGGTGCGAGTTTAGATCCAGGGCCAGGGACGATGCCAGGGACGCGGGCGTCGAGTGGTGGAGTTCTGGCGTGGTGAGAGGTGATGGGCGCATGGCCCTCTCCGAAGATCAGCGCTGGTTAGGGGGCCGTTTCGGTATCGCGCGAAAAGCTGCGTGGCTGGGCAGAACCCAATCTATCCGGTCTGCAACTCACGAGCAATATATCCGCCGGCACAGCAGGACAACAACGCGTCTGACTGTTGTTCACTCGTCTCCGACTTGACAGGGCGCACACTGAAGTCTCTTCTTGCTGTGACGCCTTGCTGCTGGTCGCTACTGCCCGGATGACGATTCCAAATAATCCCGCTTGCCCGTTCGGGCGTACACGTGATGCGACAAATCTTGGCGCGCTAATTCGGCGCTGTACTTTTCTTCGACCGCGACACTGGTTTTCTCTCGACAATAAACTCAATCCGCAGGTCGTGATGGACATGCGAACAACCACTGGCTCCGGGCTGCTTCATGCGAATTATTGAAGGCCCGAAGCCAGCCCTCCCTATAACGTAAGTCTACTCCTTTTTTCTTTGCTTTTCTCTGGAAAGATTATACCCTCAGCAACTTCTTTTCCTTACCGATTCGACCTTGAAGATAGCAAAGCTGTTCGGTTGCCCTTCGCCGGGCGACTGCTACTTGCCAGTACTGTCGTATGACCTCTGTCACTGTTCTTGAATCATCTGATTAAGTTTGCACGTCAGATTGCTAATGTTCAAGTACAGTCATCTTCGCTTACTCTGATCGGCGCGTGCCTTTCCGAGTCTTGTCGCCCAGCCCGGCATCGCATCGCATTGTATTCCATCGAGATTTTCGCAATACTATACCAGTCTGGTGACGACTGCATTGTTGAATGTACGCATAACGCAGGCTCAAACAGCTTTGCGGCGTAATAGCATACGCGTATGCGCGCAATCATGACGGCTAACAACAGTTCCATGGCATGTCTGCTGTGATAAAAGGTCAGTTTTCTCCTTTTTTTCACACCTCTCCCTTTCATGATGAAACATTTCCACATTCGCAGTTTCCACGCTAGCCATCAATTGAACCTACAACCGATGGACAATGAGCGCGAATACCTTCCTTGGATGTCTGATCCTTATACATACTCTGTTCTGTTATTGCTGAAGTTGCTATCCAACAATCACTGACATGGTAAAACAGATTCCCGACACTTGTTGTAGAGCTTGGATCTATTGGGCACTTTGGTTGGTGACAGCTTTGTGTTTGCATTAGCTGTATGGACATGGTCAAGATGGCATAGTTTTACAGTAGTATAGAAATATTATGTTCCTGTTGCGACCTTACCTGCACTCAGTCTTCCACTTGATTCATCGCAGAATGTCCTTAGTCTGCTGACCTCGACCCTAACTTTCATGTTTCGCCTTGTTGATGCCTGCGCTGATGCCAAAACATGTAGTAATCATACACAGGACGGCCATGCTTCAGCAAGCT